ATTGACTGTGTCTAAAGATGGAGCACATAAATTGAAGCAGTTTCAAACCTTTATATTCTCTAACAGGAAACCATTTCTAGTCAACATTTCCTTCATCAACAAGACGTCGTTGTGGACGCCTTTAAGAGGTTGACAGAAGCGCGGCAGGTCTGATCCATAACTTGGACCAATTAAAAGTGCTTGCTTCAACTTTTTATCCATCTGTAAACCGAATATTTATACAATTTGAATATCTTGTACATAAGTATTAGCGGACTGCTTTTAAATGAGTCGCTAAAGTAGAAATGAAAATAATAATAGGAAGCTGTTTCGCGTCACCACCAAGAAAGTGAAATTAGTTACCTATTTATTGTGTTTTAAATATCAGGCGGCCAAAATTAGCACAAACAAGGCAATTTCAGTAAGTTCAGTTAAATCTGGTACTATTATTTACTTGCACTTGTCCTTTGGAAAGTGATATTAAAACCGTAAGGATTCAAGTTTGCTGAACAACTTGGAGGGTCAAAAGACTGACGTGGCAAAATAGCCCCAAACATTAGTGGAAACCCGGCCTTTTGGGGCTGGCCTGATTCTGTGTTGCCTGCGAAAACATCCGAAGAGCAAGGAGAAACGGATGTTTTCACTGGCTAGATTCTGTGTTGTTGGCTGATGCTGTTGACGATGTTTTGACAGTGTAATTTTTTGGAGTGTTTATTTAAGTAAATTTTTCCATCGGATCCTGAAAGGAAGATTAATTTCACTTTTTGAGAACAACATCAGCGCCAAACTTTTTTAACAGTTGTCATACAATCAAGAAAATTCACGCAATAGTTGTGTGCGACTGAAGGTGTAAAGTAGCGCTACACAAAGACTGAGCCGGATTGGAAAATCTCACGAAGGCTGAGTGGCTTGATCGGATTCCATGAGTTTTTCTTTTGGTCAGTTGTTGTTGTTTTGTATTGTTTGCTGTTTGTCAAAAACAAGCAAACAAACAAATAAAAAAAATGCTACTATTTGTATTGAATAATAGTTGTTAAAACAAGAAAATGATTCAGAGAATACTGATGAAAATTCAAGAACATTCAGCTTGTACAAAAACGAAAAGCCCATGCAGAGCTCGAAAGTTTTTCAACAGTGCACTGCTTTAGAAACTGAAAGATAATTTACTTGCATTTTCCAGCTTCGGTTTATGCTAGTTAGGTATTTGAATCATGAGGACCAAGTATTGAGCAGTGACAGCGTTGTCCTTCAAGGGCTCTTCAAGTATCAAAAGCGCGAGCCAAGTGGGAACGAGCAAACAACTGAAACTGAAACTGTTTATTCAAATAAACATGACAATTTTAGGGGCACCCAGCGACTATATTGTGAAAAACAACTGTTCGAAGGAGCAAGTATTGCCTAGAAATTTCTAAAGCTTGAGAAAAGCTAAAAATTTCTGGATAACCTTCTCCATTCGTCTAAAATATTCGGAGTTTTTCTAACAGCTTAACTACGATTTTCGAAGGTTGTGTTTTCACATTTTAATATCAAGATATTGCGATTATTGTTAAAAAAAAGGTCTCTTAAAACTTTCGGCCCTGAAAGACGAAATGTCCCCCATAATTTTCTATGAAAGAAAGGCTACTACATGCCCTCAAGGGTAGCTAACACTTCAGGATGACACGAAAAAGCCAGCTAAAACTTTCTTGACGACCAAGGTTCCCCCTAAGAGATCCGAACAGATAAATAGTTTTTAGGGCAACTCCAAATGAACCAAACAGGCTTCTAAAGCACAGAGAAAACCATTCGAGACACTTCTGACGTATTTGGAAACATTCTGTCGTTGGGTGACCCTGAACTTTCTTCAACTTTACTTAATAAAAATCGTAATTACAACAGACAGGGTTAAGAATCCCAACTCAGGAGGCAAAAGTGGTCGAGGATTTGAGCTCGGGACTACCGAGAACAAATCCGGCTTGCGCTAACCTGCGAACAGTAGACGTAAAATCGGTCGTCGGTTCTTTCCCTCCTTTTTCGGATGAAGAGAGGCGACGACCGGAAATACGCCTGCTGTTCGTAGGCTAGCTCAGCTCGGGACAGGGCGAGACTTGCCGAGCACTTGTCAGGGCTCCGGATTACAAGTCCCCCCGGCCAGTTGCCTCCTGGCCTTAAAACAGACAGTGATTCTTCTGTAAAAAGTCTGTCAAAGGTCGAAAAGGCGCGATATTTCATAAGGTGTGCGTTTATCAATGTCTATTTTTTAGTTAGGGGGTCATCTAGCCTAAAAAAGGTAAAACTGTTTGAATGCAGAGGTCCACGCAACGGGTAAATATAACTGACTGGTTCCTCTCGCCGGATCTCTAATCAAAGAGATGCTGTAGCCAGACGTCACTCCAAGTGTGAAGTAAACTGAACAAAACTCAATGCAGGGCTGGCACTACGGCAAGGGGCTGATTATACGTTATAGGCCTTTAATAAATCAGCTCTTTGCCGTAGTGCCAGCCCTGCATTGAGTCTTGTTTTATTTCACACTAGAAAAGGTGTTTTTTTATAACTTTGCTACTTTTACTTCCCAGCATGAGGGAAAAATAAGCTAGTCTTTATCTGAACCGAAGGATTGAACTGTTTCTATTTCTACTTTTATTGTACAATCATTTACCTGTCTATTATTCTATCTAATATTAATAATTGTAGTTAATTATTAACCACTTATGTGAATTTCAAATTCAAATTTTAGGAGCTGTTAAAAGATATTTTCTCTCGGTATAGTTCTGGCCCTGAGGAAGGCTAATTTTATTAGCCGAATGGGGCCTTTAATAAATCAGCCCTTTGCCGTAGTGCCAGCCCTGCGCGCAGTGATGTGCAAATGGCGAATGACACTCAGGGCATCAAAACAACTGAAGGAATTCCAGTTGGATGATGAGGTGGAAACTAAACAATTGGAAAGATCTTAGGGAAAGGGCATCGTAACAACTTAACGAATTCCCTTGGAATGAAGTTCTTGTGGATGAGAATCCCTTCCATTGTAATGTTGGAGAAAGAAGAATTTTTATTTGAGCACAATAGTTTTTATTAGAAGAAACAAAACAACAACAACAAAAAAAAACAAAGAAACCAAAAGACAGATTTTTTATAATGTCTTAGCAGTGATGAAACTTTTGTTTTTCGTTTGCGTTACAATTGGAATAGAATGTTGCTATGGTAACAAATGTCACGCCGTACCTCATTAATTCAGGGGGAATAAGGAGTTCGTTTTCTACATTCTATCTACAAACACTATCTTTTCCACCAATGCCTTAGGGATAGTTTCCGGAGACAAATCGGTAAATGAATAAACACGAATAATCATGGTTTATTCATTTTCTTTGTTTGTGTCCTCTAAGACTCGCTATCATGCTGAATTTTAATATATCGAAAGTTGCCTATTTAACCATCAATTACACTTTTAATCCGTGGGGAAGGGATGTTGCAGGTTCCAGAAATTTAAGGCACATAAATTATATAACTTTACACACTTTGATGAAACTTACATTACTTTTGTACAGTATGGGAAATTTTGCCTTTTATCACATTCCAGAATTTATCAAAGTTGAATTAGTCAAGACACAAAATAGGATTGAAATGTGGGTCTTGAGAAAGCTTTTGTCTGATCAGGAAATCATTTCTGTGACAAAGACATTTTTGTGTGTTTTATTGATCAGGTCTTGAATGTCCTTAGTAGTAAGGTTTCAGCTAGCGTCTCGAGGAACATATGAAGTTACCTTTCACCAACCGCACAAGTTCATTGCAGACCCCCGCAAGTACCTTGTTCATACATCAAAACAGTAAAAAATTTATACCACTAAGTTCATGTTTTCATTTGGATTTTAATTTGCACCACACAGTGTATATGGCTGGTAAAGAGCTCTATGTTTTTAAACTTTGAAATGAGTGACTGACTTCTGCAAATATTATCATTGCAAAGAAAAAATTGTTCTTTTCCAGTTTTCTGATATGGAGTGACTCAGCTGTTCCAGTAGAGAGAATAAGTGAACTAAAATCCTTTCAGGTACAGAATATGAAAGATGTACTGATCTAGCGTCAACTATTGCAACCAAAGGTTATACTATTACATATCGTCAGTAGAATTAAGTATCATTACTATTATAGAAACAATCTTTTAGTCTATGTTGTGATCCATTTTCAATGATTTTCAACTCTAAAAAGTTGCAAAATTGAATTATGCTCAATTTTTTATTTTTCTACTTGAGGAAAATTAACCATTTTCCAAGTATGGGGGAGATATGTAGAAAAGAGAGGGTAAAAGGAATTTTTGCGTAAAAGGTCGAAAAAAAAGAAATTTAAGTCCGGAAAAACACAGAACTTTAATCACCGTGATTTTTAATTTCCAGTTTTTGATGTCCGTGAAACGTGCGTAGGACCCTCTTTCCGTTTACTCCTCCCCCCCTATAAATATTTGGCTAGATGATAAATGAAATATCGACAAAATTCAAATCAATTGCTATATTTATTTATGTTCTTGCTTTTTATTATCGATATTATTATATTGTATAATACTTTTAACTGCGTCTCTTTAAGTTAGTGAATTAAATTCTATTTTAGCTATGCGCTTGTTTAGCTTCATGTTTGTCACCGCAATTTGCCTTTTATTTCTAATCAAGCTTCGTTGGCCTTCGATTTACGTGCCTTGTTTATTGCCTCCAAAATTAGTATCATTGTTGTAAAGTTAAGGCACTTTTTAGCTTTTAACTAGTTACTGACGTCTAACACTGTTTGTTTTCGGTTTTTGAAAACCAATTACAACTGTATGCCTACTCAGTACTGATTTCGTTACTCACGATGCCTCATTTAATTCATTAATGGATGGAAATTACAATTATCAGATAGTTCTTTATTTTTAATGAAAGTTTTCTTTGTTGTTGTAAATTGTTTATCAGTTTTTGCCAAATGTCAAAATAGTTTTTAGCCTCGATTCTGTGGTCGTTGGCTATAGCACTTGTCTCAATGGATCATGACCTGTATTATTTTTATCATTAACAAAATTATATTCTTAAGTTTTCTTCTTGCCGGGTCACCAAATCTTCATTGCACAGAATTCTAACATCCCGTCTGATAGTCAACCACTTGGGATCATGGTAATTAGAGGAGTAATCCGGCGTCGCTTCACGGCTGCTGCCAGCTGATTGAGTTGTAAAGGATGATGGCGAACTGAGAGCGTCTCTGAAGGCTGTTACGGGGGGAAGCATTTTGTCCTATAAAAATCAAAGAGTGCTTTCTCCTAAAACGACATAACTTCATAGATAAATTCTAATTACCCGCTCGCAGCTTATGAATGAGGATGGTTTTTTAAATATTTTACCTGAAAAAGGTAAGTACGACAAGTGAAAATTAATGCTAATTTTGGGAAGGGAAATGCGGGGCAGGAAAACCCGTGTAAACAAAGCAAGTTCCTCTGTTAGAATTCTGAATGCCCAGAGTTTGAGCATCCAAGACCAGTTTCTATATCCTTTGTGCGTCAATTACTTATATAACAAGCAGAGAAATTATCGTTTATTTTGTAAGTTATCACAGAGAAAAGCTGACTACCCAGGACTAGGCGACTTGACTAACTCGGAACGGAAGTATGGATATTAAATCATTATCATACAATACTACTTATGTCTAAGTCTTGAGTGAAGCGTGTCATTAGTCTTCCATACATGTGCTGGTAGATCACACCTTTAAGGACCTGTTTGAATGACGTACTATGATCTGGTATGACGTTTGTCATACAAAGACATTAGAGAGATTTAGAGTGACGTTTACGGCAAACGCCAAACGTCAGATTCAAGTTGAGAATTTCTTAAAACAGAAAACGTAGAACAAAAAACAGGCCAAAACAATTGTTATAGCGGACAAAAGAAACGTTAAATAACTAATTCTGGGCTAGAAACATCAGCAAAACACAAGTGAAGGGAAAACTTGGTCACGTGGTACAAATTCACGTTTTCCGTTTGCCGTAAACGTGACTCTTAATCATAGAAACTTTACGTGAATTGAAAGGCGAAAAAAAAACGTACATCAGGTGGGTTGTGGCCTCTTGTACTGAGTCCTGCACTGAGATCAATTGCAGTCTGTGTGAGAGGCTTGTAGTCGGCCTTCTTTTTTGTGGCATACAATATCAGAATATCATCGCACCACTTGGGTTTCGGCTTGTCAAAATCTGGTTCAGTCATGCGACGGACTGTCTGAGGCTCGACGAAAACTCTTTTGATCGCCTTAGCTGACTCGCCCTCATACAGCTCCTCCGTTTTACCCTTTGAAATAGCATAAAAGATCAGAATAGTAAGTAGCTTAGTCAATTTGGCCCCTTCATAATTTAACAATAAACAAAGGTTTAAACCTGGGCTGACCTCGGGTACGAGCCGTCTCTAAGGAAAGGAACCGTCTTTAAAACTACAATAGGTTTGACATGTTATCATTTGCACCCGGCTCGATTGCCAGTCCGCTAACCAGAGACTGCTCGGCCGCCAGTCCCCCGGTGCTATTGATCGCCGTATTCATGCATTGATTTACTAAAAGCGAGATGGTTCACAAAGCCTGGTGGTCCAAATTTCCTCCCGTGAGTCAGTTTGCATAAGATCGAAATTTTTGTTTCGAAAATGAAACGAACGACATGCGGTCTTGCAAACCGGAGATCTGCGGGTCAAGTTCCATTCTGAACACTGATTGGATTTACTTCATAGTGGAACTGAGTTAAACTAATGACTCTCACAGTAATGTGTTGAATTTACACTATGTAAGCATAGCATGGCTTAAACAAGTCACAAAATCAAAATAAATACAAACCAAATAAATCTTTTCAAATTTTTATTAAGGTGAACAGCTGCAGCAAAAGCATCATATTAGCGTACACTGAATCATTGATTACTTACGTTTTTTGGCGGATACAAGACAACAATAGAGCCATCAGCCTGATATGACATCACACACACGTGAACCAAGAATTTCTCGTTATTTGTGACTTTTATCACAAGAGCATCACCCGATCCATCTACAACTTTATACTTTTTGCGGTGACACCCATGCAACACGTCAGTAACAAGTTCAACCTTGTGCGCGCGGACGGTGAATGGTTCATTTGATTGGAATCCTTACAAGAAAATATATAAAAGGCAAGTGAGATCTAGTCCATTCATTCGGGGGACTAATATATGGAAGGGCTCTGTAGTGAACGCCTTTGCTGCATGGGGATTTACGCGCATGTCAGTCATTTTTAAAACCATCAGGACCGTGCCAGCAAGACTTTAGGCACGTCCCAGAATTGGCTTTTTTTCGCTAGGATCGCTGGACGTTGAACATTACCGGTGGTCGACTACATTACAAGTAATAGTCTTTAGTCATTTACAATTTTCCAGGCATGCTTGGAGAGGTAAGCTTGCGCCTCTCGGAGGGTGTCCACGAAATGTTCACAATATATAACTTAAGACATACCACCATAAAGATCGCCTTTCTCGATTGCCTGATGAATCAACAGACTCTTCTTGTCCACTGAATCTTTGAAAGATGGTACCTTTTCAATCTTGAACACCTCAAAGGTCACGTTCTTGAGCATATCGGGATCTGAGCATTTAGGACTGATAGCAAACTTGTGGCGAAAATACTTGGACAAATTCCTCATCATTAGATGCTCGTCTCCGAATTCTTGATAAGGTACAATCATTCGACCATATTGACAGGCTCGCCAACAATTTTTCCTATTTGTATTCAAATAAAGTTAACGTTAAATACTTAGCCGTAGAAACGTCCACACTGAAATAGTAACGCGTTTAAGGTAAAATTAAACTATCCTACTACCGTTAAATTCCCAAAATAAAGACCTTCCGAAAGTAGCGATAAATTGTGTTGGCAAATTCCAAAAGTCGCGAACCTCCGAAAGTAGCGACTTCAGCTTCTTGCTAGAAATAACACAAATTATAGATTTATTCTTTAATGGTTATAATGATCTTTGGCATTTCTTTATGTAACTCAAAAGGTACATTACATCTTTTTTTTTCTTCAAAAAGTCTTCCTTTCGTCTCTAAATATCCACAACGTAATCAAAGACATCTTTTGATTATACATTTAAAAACCAATAACATGAAATACTTTTCTCCAAATAAAAAGTGCGAATGTTTTCACAATTGTCGCGATATTATTATCGTAACTTCGCACCACCCATATACGATACACGTTTCAGCTACCAGAAAGTAGCGACTCCGAAAGTAGCGATAGAAAAGGCTGCTAAATCAGAAAGTAACGAGGGTCGTTGCTTTCGGAACTTTACGGCATTTTTTTAACGCGATTTCCGGTGCTTAATTCCCTGTACTACCATTATTCAGGCTCGTTTCTTGATCTTCGTGCGTCGTCGTCACTTCCGTCGCGTTGTCATTTTTTAATCTGCCGATTCTTTTATCGAAATTGAAATATTACGGTATTGATGGTATTTCACATAGCTGGTAGTTAATTCCTGTTCAGATATTTTGTTTATGGCTCGATCCGTCTCCGATTGCTGGAAAAGGACTTGCGGTGTTCCTCATGGAACGATACTTGGTACGTTCCTATTCGTAATTTATAAAATGATTTACCTAAGGGACTTGTCAGAAATTAGCAGGAGGGGGAGGGGGTGGGAATTTTAAATTTGGGTTCGTAAATGAGGTGACCCATCCCTGCAATGGGAGTGAAATTTGCTAACCCTCCCCTTGACCTGGGCCTAAAATATCATGATCCTCTCCCTCTTGTATAAATGATAAAATCTAGTTCTTGCAATACACTGGGGTGAGTCAGTATTATGAAAGCTCAAAATGTATTTCTAATCTGTTCTTTGTAATGCCATATACATACATTTTAGATGACAGCATTAAGAGTCCGACTCTGATTCTGACAGCACATCACTCAACTCTCCTATTTCTCCCAGTATTTTTACACAATAAAGAACTTCTTTTTTCTTCTGTGGGTGAACCTCTACATGATCACTGAAACATATTTGCATGACCCTCCCCCTTTTAACGACCCATTTTTCATGACCCCTCCCTTTTCTGCAGTCTCAAAAAGTTGTGACCCTCCCTCTGTTTCCCCCCCCCCTCCCTCCCCCCCCCCCCTGCTAATTTCTGACAAGTCCTAATTGTGTATAAAATTTTCAACCAAAGATGTTCCCTAATGATACGTGTTGGATTAGATTAGCAATTGTAGATTAGATTAGCGATGGATTACTTGATCGTAACAATGTCCTACTTTTTAATTCCCAGTCTAACCATACAAACCCTTTCCATTATACACGGCACATGTGTGGAGCTCTCCGTCTAATCAGGTTTTGTTACAATAATAATTTACTTCAGTAGTTTTTGTAAAGAAACAGTGTTTTAGTCCTGATGAGTGGCCCAAGACAGAATGATTGGAAAGAGAAGGAATAGTAGGGCGTTGGCAGAGATACGTCATCAAGACCACGCGCTACCGTTTCAGAGCGAAAAAGGCAGAATATTGTAATGGTGACTGTTGAATTCTCTCTTGACAACGCCGAATAAAAGTTTGCGGCCCTCTCCGGAAACCAATTTTCGATCAATTCAAGCGTTTAATTGGTCTAAAAATAACTTTGGTTAAATTCACATCAGTCTCAGACTAGGCCGAGTCAGTTCTCTCTCTTACACAAGATTCTCTCTTGGTTGACCGTGTGGTTAAAATAGAGTTCATTCGTTTATGATTGGGAGGTGCAACAATCATCCAACCCAACTGCCACCCTCAACTCCCTCCGCCCCCCCCCCCTCCCCCCACATACACACACTTCCCCTGATCAGTAAAGCTTCTTTTTTTCTTACTCTTCTACTATTTGAATGTCTAGAGTAACACTGTGCGTCGTTTCGCTTCCTTCTATAGCAAACATGCCCTGTTTTTCTATTTCATGTATCAATCTGTCTTTGTGTTCTTGCTCCACTTGAGACTGATCTGTACATGTAGAAAACTTCACAAAGACCGATGTGCACATACTACGGCGACGCTTAAGGACCGCTTTACAGCCAACCTAAGAAAGGAAAGCGAGGAAAGGTTTGAATTAAAGAATGTAATGTCGTCGATTTGAGGACAACAAGAGGCGCTCTCTTTACATTATATATTAACGTGTTAACAGTAATATCTCGGACGTCAGCATACGAGGGCGCCAGCGGAAGCAGCTATCATTCCATTTATGAGCTCACCGTGCAACCCACCCATAGCACATGATATGAATGTAGTGTGATGCGTGAAAGGTAGACCATCGGGGAAACTAATCTAATAGTCGTTACTAAATTGTGCAGCTAAAGCGCCTTAAAAAGCTGAATTTTAACAACACCTGAGTATAGACAACCCGTCACCTTGTCACGGCTAGCGGGTTCAATGAAACTGAGTTGTCATTTTAACACCTCAGTCAGCCCAGGAACTGAGAACTGCTTGATAGCTTTGCTTTGAATTTGATCCTGAGTTAAAGCAAAACACTGAATCGGAGGCTCAGTAAAATAAACAGCAGTGAAGGAATATAATCAGCAAAATAAATTAAAACTGAATATTCAAAGAGCTAAAGGTGGATTTACCGAGAGTTGCACAAAACAGAGTTATTAAACACTAACAAATCAGTAGCACTTCTATCATTACTACAAGACAAGAAATGAAATTTGATATTATACGAATAGAGTTACATTCTGCAATTTGAAATAATGATAAAAAATGATGAAGGTTAGACTGAAAAATGAGACGGAACATGTATATAATAATAAATTGAGAGAATCAATGTTTTAAAAACTGCTGATCCTTAAAAATACTTTTCCAAATAAGTGATTTCAAAGTGATTTTTTCGAAAACAACGAATGTGTCCATTTTTTTTCAGAAAGAGGACATTTTTGTCAATTTATTATGACGCACCTCACAGCTGAGCTGTATACTTTTATTTTACAAGGTGTATAAAGGAGCGGAAGTTTTAATCAACCCTTAAATCTTACGGAGCATACCTTTATTTTTCCTTCAACGTCTTTATCTAGTACTTTAGCAAATGATTTGAGCGCATAGATGTTCTCTTCCATAACTTCTATCTGACCAATCTTCGAATCACTAGTAGCGTTCGAATTAACCTCGTCATTGGTGACGTCAGATTTATAAACGTCATACTGCCCATCCACAACGCCGTGTAATTTCCCAGCATTGAGAAGAACCTTGTCAACCTTTTTCTCCCTGAAGATGACGTCACAAATCTCAAGTGCTTTTGGCTGAGATACTGTGAAAATCAATTTGTTTGGCAAGAAATTTGACTCTTTATTTTTTGAACTGTGAATTCAAGATGCTCCTAAGCTCTTCGGGTAAGGGCTAGCAAAGTCTCAAGTGCAGGGTTGGAATTACTCAATCTTTTTAATTTGAGAAGAGTACAATAAACTGCACTAAAAATATATAGTCCATTGCACACTATACTAAGCCAAAGAAAAATACAGCCAATCGGAATGCTGGAGATTATTTGCACATCGGTTGGCATTTTATTGATCAATCCCATTATGCTCTGCGGTTTTACTTTCCTGTGCGTCGGCAATGCTCTTCTTCGTTAAAGTTGGGTATGTTAACTTTAGACATTCAAAAGTTAAAGTAGCAACCATAGCTTTGAAGCACTCTCCAGTGACTCTCCTCACCGTTTCCAAATTTCTCTTGTCTGACGGCGGTGTCACCAAGAGTCATAATGGGATTATTATTGTCCCATTATGACTCTTGGTGACACCTGTACTATCGCCGTAGCTGTAAAAGCTTTATGGTGATGATAACGTAGAAAGAAAAAGTAATTCTTTTGATCGCTTACCTGTGTCAAAAAAGTCAAAAACGACCATGTCCATGTTACCGCCTTCAAACTGGGGCGTTTGATTTGGGTCGTTATATTCTGCCTGACATTTCTGTTTGATTAGACTGAAAAAAGGAACCATAATTCACACAAGACAGCTTAGATGACATGTCTATTGTATCACACTACTAAACGTTTTTCAAAGGGGAAGGACCTACCTACTGAGAATATCGTAGCTGATCTTTTTGTTTTCTTTTTGCACTTCATCCATGATTTTTACTAAAGCAGAAGTCAAACGGCCACATGNGTTGGGTATGTTAACTTTAGACATTCAAAAGTTAAAGTAGCAACCATAGCTTTGAAGCACTCTCCAGTGACTCTCCTCACCGTTTCCAAATTTCTCTTGTCTGACGGCGGTGTCACCAAGAGTCATAATGGGATTATTATTGTCCCATTATGACTCTTGGTGACACCTGTACTATCGCCGTAGCTGTAAAAGCTTTATGGTGATGATAACGTAGAAAGAAAAAGTAATTCTTTTGATCGCTTACCTGTGTCAAAAAAGTCAAAAACGACCATGTCCATGTTACCGCCTTCAAACTGGGGCGTTTGATTTGGGTCGTTATATTCTGCCTGACATTTCTGTTTGATTAGACTGAAAAAAGGAACCATAATTCACACAAGACAGCTTAGATGACATGTCTATTGTATCACACTACTAAACGTTTTTCAAAGGGGAAGGACCTACCTACTGAGAATATCGTAGCTGATCTTTTTGTTTTCTTTTTGCACTTCATCCATGATTTTTACTAAAGCAGAAGTCAAACGGCCACATGGATCTGTAGGGTGTGGATCTTCATATGCTTGTTCATTAGACGCACAGGCTGCGATGTGAATGAATCTATCATGTTGTGATGGTGTCCATCCTTTTGATGTCCAGAATTCCTGTTTTGGATACTGAAGACGTACGCCGCTGTGTTGCGCTGGGTTTGGAGGTTGGTTCTCTTGAATAGATGAAACCACTGGCTATTCATTAACATCAAAATCAGGATGTGTTAGTTAAACATTTTTTAAAGTTGATTTGACACTTATAAAATACGTGATCAGGGTAATAAGTCTAATAATATCTTTGTTAGTTTTGTACATATATCGTTACAAAAAGCTTTACCTCATGATCACGTAGTGATTCTTTGACTACAGTCGCTGGGTCCTCATGTTCCACAGGTTTTCTTGGACCTTTGGATTTCAGTATCTCGCAATACTTTTCGACATATTCCTTGGGCAAATTAAGCTGCAAAATTATAGATGCACAAAGTATAAACGACCAACAATAATTCTCGATACTTCAGTACATGTCTGTCGTAAGCGTCAGTCAAGGCCGGGCGAGAGCAGGCTGCCCCTTGATCGGTTAAGGCGAGGAGACGATGGACACTTCAGAATATATCTGATGTGACCGATTTTTTTTAATAAGAGGATAGAAAGAAAAGATTTATTTGCATAGAGACGGAGACAAAATTGAGACCTGTTTTTTATTGCAACTTTCAATTCATTTATGAAAATATTCAAGCTACCTGTTTTGGGATTGGAGGCGCTTCTCCTTTTTCCATAAATCCTCGGTACAAGCGACCAGAAAAACAGCAGTCGAAGATGGTGTTAACCAAGCATTTTTTTTTCATTAGATTACAAAGGTGACGCTTGAAGTCTCTACCTGTGATGCACATGTCGTTTATACGATATTCATTAAACTATGGTAGAAAAAGATATATCAGGCAATTAATAAAGACGATTGGCTGAGGTATTCACGAGTGTGCAGCAGTTCGTTCGCGCGTACGTACATGTACAGCCAGAACGTTACTACGTTATCTTTAAATACATACTAACCCTTACTCAGCAAATTCGGCAAGGAAGAAAGGAAGAAGAATAAACTATGGTAACAGATCAAAAATGTGGCTAGGAAAATAAAGTGAAGTTTATAATTATTAACCGGTTGTCAAAAAATCATGATTTGGTGACCTAAACCCACGTCATGCTGAACATGATTTTTTTTCTTATTATAAATTTAATGTAAGTGTTTTTTTTCTACTTATCGAACTCCTGGGTCATGTAATGAACGAAGGAGGAAAGTTGTATGTATATTATTGTATATTTTCCGCTCACCATCTCTTTCTTGAGGCCACCAGGAATTAAACCCTGATCAAATTCCTCTGTTAGTTGATAGCCATGACCACTAAAGTAGATTATTACCAATGATTCGTTGGGTACTGTGGATGAAAGTTCCTCAAGGGACCTCAATATCTCATCTTTAGAGGCATAGTCATCTTCAAGAACCTAAAAATACCGTCATTGGGAATCAATGCGGATAACTATTAAATAAATCAAGTCTAAAGACCCCTGTTGTAACTATTCCTCTCTTTTAACTGCCGTACCTTAGAATTTGAGTGGTTGTAGAAAACTTCTAATTAACATGCAATTCCGAAACCATGAAACCATGAAAACAACAGATCAACAAAGTTATGCGTGAAGATTGACTGTGTCTAAAGATGGAGCACATAAATTGAAGCAGTTTCAAACCTTTATATTCTCTAACAGGAAACCATTTCTAGTCAACATTTTCTTCATCAACAAGACGTCGTTGTGAACGCCTTTAAGAGGTTGACAGTAGGGCGGCAGGTCTGATCCATAACTTGGACCAATTAAAAGTGCTTGCTTCAACTTTTTATCCATCTGTAAACCGAATATTTATACAATTTGAATATCTTGTACATAAGCATTAGCGGACTGCTTTTAAATGAGTCGCTACGGTAGAAATGAAAATAATAATAGGAAGCTGTTTCGCGTCACCGTACCAAGAAAGTGAAATTTGTTACCTATTTATTGCGTTTATCAGGCGGCCAAAATTAGCACAAAAAAAGCAATTTCAGTAGGTTCAGTTAAATCTCGTACTATTATTTGTTTTGCTTGTCCTTTGGAAAGTGATATTAAAACCGTGAGGATTCAAGTTTGCTGAACAACTTAGAGGGTCAAAAGACTGCTGTGGCAAAATAACTACCCACATAAGTGGAAACCCGGCCTTTTGGGGCTGGCCTGATTCTGTGTTGCAGGCTGATGCTGTTGACGATGTTTTGACAATGTAATTCTTTTGGAGTGTTTATTTAAGGAAATTTTTCCACCGGATCCTGAAAGGAAGATTAATTTCACTTTTTGAGAACAACATCAGCGCCAAACTTTTTTAACAGTTGTAGTACAATTAAAACGGAAAATTCACGCAATAGTTGTGTGCGACTGAAGGTGTAAAGTAGCGCTACACAAAGACTGAGCCGGATTGGAAAATCTCACGAAGGCTGAGTGGCTTGATCGGATTCCATGAGTTTTTCTTTTGGTCAGTTGTTGTTGTTTTGTATTGTTTGCTGTTTGTCAAAAACAAGCAAACAAACAAATAAAAAACAAATACTACTGTTGGTATTGAATAATAGTTGTCAAAACAAGAAAATGATTCAGAGAATACGGATGAAAATTCAAGAACATTCAGCTTGTACAAAAACGAAAAGCCCAGAGCTCGAAAGTTTTTCAACAGTGCACTGCTTTAGAAACTGAAAGATAATTAACTTGCATTTTCCAGCTTCAGTTTATGCTGGTTACTTATTTGAATCATGAGGACCAAGTATTGAGCAGTGGCAGCGTAGCTTTTCAAGTATGAAAAGCGCGAGCCAAGTGGGGCCGAGCAAATAACTGAAACTGAAACTGTTTATTAAAATAAACATTACAACTTTCTCCAACTTTCTTCACCTTTGTGTAATATGCACAAGGAAGCTCCTTGTGTTTAATCATTTTCCTGTACATTATTCTACCTAGTATTAATAATTTTAGTTAATTATTAACCACTTTTGTGAATTTCAAATTCAAATTTTAGGAGCTGTTAAAAGATATTTTATTGGCCAATAATAAATCAGCCCTTTGCCGTGGTGCCAGCCCTGCGCGCAGTGATGTGCAAATGGCGAATGACTCTCAGGGCATAAAAAAAACTGAACAAATTCCCGTCGGATGATGAGGTGGAAACTAAACAACTGGAGAGATTTTAGGGGAAGGGCATCGTAACAACTTAACGAATTCCCTTGGGATGAAGTTCTTGTGGATGATGCTCCCGCCCATTGTAATATTGGAGAAAGAAGAATTTTTATTTGAGCACAATAGTTTTCATTAGAAGAAACAAACCCCCCCAAAAAACAAACCAAAAGACAGATGTCTTAGCAGTGATGAAACTGTCAATCCTCCTTTTGTTTTTCGTTTGCGTTACAATTGGAATCAAATGTTGCTATGGTAACATATGTCACGCCGCAGTTCGATCCTACATTCTAATCTACAAACGCGATCTTTTCCATCAATGCCTTAGGGATTGATTTTCCGGAGACAAATCGGTACTTCATGCTACGATGTACTCATGAGGAAGAAAGGGACATATCAACTGTATTTCTGGAAGGGAAAGCAGTTTATCCTTTGCCATGGAGACTCCACTGTCGCCTCGAGTGCCTTCGATTACAAATCGCGATCGCACTGAATACTCGCCCATTGTGGCAAAAGAAGACTTCAGTTTGATAGGGGGACCAGGCACTGGCAATGGTTTTCTTGATAACCAAGGAAAAGAGAATGAATGCGCAGGATCTGTCGACGAAGACTTCGAAGAGGATGAACAACAAGTCCGAAGTCGAAAAGCTCAAACAATCAACAACGTTCATGGCAAACGTACAGGAAATAATTCAAATAAAAAGAAATCTCTCCGTAAACGCCGTGTAATAGCCAATCTGTCTGCGACAAAATACGATATTGGTGAGGGAACACTTTGCTGTTGAGAAGCAAACTAGATTTTATCATGAATTGAATGCATGGGCGCCAGATTGCTGCGATTACCAAGGAGAATCGATTACCAAAATAACGGTTCATTTACCGCGCGTAACGAAGGTTTACGTTTGATAAGATTTGAAGTGAATGTTTTTAAATTGATTCTTATCTCTAAAGTATTGGTTTGATTTGTTACTGGTGATGATGATGATGATGATTATTATCATCGTCATCATCATCATCATCATCATTATTATTTTAAAGCCAAGGATGTACAGAGATAAAAATGAAAGTATGATCAGTGGAGGCAACCAAAGTCATTACGAACTGTCAAGTATGTACATGTATGTCAGGTGTTGTGACAATGGGAGAGATATCAGAAGAGTCAATTTACCCCCAGAAATTCTTTTTCTTACTGGTATCAGGGCAATCTTCCTAAAATATATATATTTTTTTTGCAGTGCACAAAGTGTGCCTTCAAAGTGGAATGTACATCACAAGAGATGATGACTTTAACTGGTATGGTTAAGACCAATTTTTTTTTATCGCACTAAATAAAAAAAGGGTGATTATGATGACTGACTGGCAATTTAACCATCATACACTTTTAATCTGTGGGGAAGGGATGTTGCAGGTTGCAGAAATTTAAGCCACATAAATTATATAACTTTACACACTTTGATGAAACTTACATTACTTTTGTACAGTATGGGGAATGTTGTCTTTTAACACATGCCAGAATTTATTGAATTTGAATTAGTCAAGACACAGTAAATACCACTAAGTTCATGTACTCTTTTGGATTTTAATTTGCCCCAAAGAGTGAATAAATAATAACTATGGCTGTTTTATAGCTCTATGTTTTTAAACTTTGAAATAAGTGTGACTTCTGCAAATATTGTCATTGCAACAAAAAATTTGTTCTTTTGCAGTTTTCTGATATGGAGTGACTCAGCTGTTCCAGTAGAGAGAATAAGTGAACTAAAATCCTTTCAGGTACAGAATGTGAACAATGTACTGATCTAGCGTCAACTATTGCAACTAAAGATTATACTATTTGGTATCGTCAGTAGAATTGAGTATCATTACTATAATAGAAACAATGTTTTAGTCTATGTTGCAATCCATTATCAATGATTTTCAACTCTAAAAAGTTGCAAACTGAATTATGCGCTATTTTTTATTTTTCTACTTGAAGAAAATTAACCATTTTCCAAGTATGGGAGAGATATGTAGGAAAGACAATCTTGCTCGAAATATGGCCAAGTAAGTGACTTCTACACTGTATGTTGAATAATTAGTGGGGCAAAGGAAATTGAGAATCAATCTAGGTGAAAAAATTTTAACCTAAACTTAAGTTTGACTTGCAACTATTAATCAACAATAAATAAGATAAATCCAAAACACCCAGCTGTAAGCCGAGACCATTTGTTACAAGACCTGTAAAGCTTAACAATTTTGAAAAAAATGTGATCTTCTCTGGGAAAACATACAATTGTTGTTTGGGTGTGTTGCTGCTATCAATCTTCCGTCATGTCTTCTTCCCATTATGCTTGAAATGATAACTAAAAATGCCTTTAAAGACTTTCAATCAAAACAAACTACATCAGTTTGCACTGCATTCATCTGTGCTTAGTAACCTGTTCCAATGCACTGAAAAAAAAATTTTGCAAAAAACTCTAGGCTATAAGCCGAGATCCCCTCTTGGGCTCAACTTTTACTGAACCTATTAGCTTTATTTTGCATAAAAATTGCTCGGCTTATAGCGGAATGAATACAGTAACTTCTTACAGTACACTGTATAATCCCACAAAGTAAGTTGACTGGCTCCGGGAAAATTCAGGGGTAGATCGCTTTTCTTGATATTGTCTGGAAGAATATATTCACTGTAAGGACCTTTAAATGGACTGTTTAAAGTGCTCAAAACATTTCAAATCAATTGTGTTTTTTAAGAATGCAGAGAGCTCACCCTGAAGAGTACAACTTTGTGCCACAAACCTGGGTTCTGCCAGCAGAGTATCCTTTGAAAATAATGTAAAAATTATTATAATAATATTTTATGGTAAAGTTTTGTTAGTTATGTATGAACAAAAATTGTATAAAATGCACATATGTAAAACCCCTATTTTAAGAAGATGTGAAATCACATTCTCTAAAGACAAAAGTCTTTGACATTAAACTTTTTGTATAACTTACATGATAAAATCTGAAAAATTGAAATCAAACAAACAAAATGAAGCTTTGTTACAAGTGCACATTTGCCTGATGGTGCTTTATTAATGTGTTATTTCACAATATATGAATTTTAATAAGTATTGCTAAAAAGAATAGAATGTAAAAACTATTTATGTGTTTGTTGTTTCTGACAAACAATCATGCAGTGCCTGCAATATTACTGTTCCCTCAGGTTTGAATACTGATTAGTAAAACTCCTTAATAAGGTTGCCCATTATATCAGATATGCTGCATTCCAAGGTTACTGTCGTGAACTGAAAAAAAGAAAGAAACAAAAAACATTCATTGTTAAGCCAGCTAACGGTGCCATGGGAAATGGGTAAGTGTGACAATAATTATTATTTACTATGAAATATATAATGTAGAATGCCAGTTATCACATTTACAATACAGGTGTAATCCATCCCATGCAGTAACCCTGCAACTATTTAACTGCCAGCTCTCCAGTGACTGCATCATCCTTAATTTGTAGGAAGTCATAATTCATAATTTAATTTTTTTTTTGCCATATACTACTAGTACTGACATACCTGACTTTCTTTTAATTCTATATTTCTTACAATTTCAGAATTTCTTTAATAAAAATTGGAGATAGAATTCCCTCACATGAGCAGATAGTCATTCAAGAATATATTGAAAAGGTAAGGAAAAACAGTTAAATACTAATTAACTTTGCAGCTCATTCAGTTAGTTGTCCTCTTGCTTGAAAATTCTAATGAGCCAGGCAGCCAAAATTTGGTTTATTGATTATCTTTTATTACATTGTGATAACAAACATTATTTTATTACCTTTTGTACAAGTTGTAATAAAGGCAACGTAGATTTAAAGATTTCAAGTGAAACTAATTGCAGCAACTATTCATATATTTTTTAGCCATTTCTCCTTGAGGGATTCAAGTTTGACCTTAGAGTCTATGTTTTAGTGACTTCTTGTGACCCACTGAGAATCTTTCTTTATCATGATGGACTTGTAAGTACATTAATATATTATAAGGAAGGTCTAAATCAAACATTGATCTTTTTATGTACCAAGGCTTATAGTCCTTTCAATTAAGTAAATGAAAAGATCGACATTTGACATATCTAATTTGGGTGGAACCCAAGAATTAAGATGGAGTGGCCCACATGGGAATTTTGCATGTAGAGCGACTTCATTTCAAACATTGATCGAACTTCTAATGTGCCAAACCTAATTCACAAATTACTAGAATTTTCACTTGTAAGCATTTTAGACCCATGAACGTGGTTAAAATGAATTTAGCCCAATTAACTGATTAAGTTCAACATCTGAATCAAACATTAAACTTATATCATTTGGGTCAACCTAAATAGGTAATAAATTCAGTACGTGAAAAGATCAATGTTTAAACTGGCCCTAATTCTTGTACTGTATCATTATATATACATGTAACAGCTTTTTGTCAATCAGTTACTATCTACAGTGGATATGAATTTTTAAATTTTTTAGAAGAATCAGTTATCTGTACGGTTAGCTCTCTCTAAAATGGACACCTTCAGAACTGGCACCCAGTGTCCGTCTCAGAGAGGTGTCGGCCATCTCATATACAGATTGAGTCAAAAAAATAGAGTAAAGAAAGACTGAGGACCAACTCTAGCTGTCCTCTTACAGGGTGCATGTCCTTTAATTAAGAGGGAGCCGACTGTATACTTTTTTTTATCTTAATCTACTTTGATTCTAACATACAGTGTAAGGTATATAGAACAGCGAAAGTTAGTGGTAGTGCAGAACAAATTGCAAGTTGCAGTTTACTTTGTTTTTAAGGTTCGCATGGGAACAGAAGTGTATGAACCTCCGTCAGATGAAAATCTGGTAAGACTTAACTTACAGTACATACATATGTGACATGCAACTTTGTATAAATTGCTTTAGTTTAATCCTCAATCTTCAGAATATGCATTGAACACAGTGGAAATTGATCTAATTTTGATTTGTTTGTTTCGATAGGTTTTTGATAATTTAGTGTATTGTTCTTCAGTCCATTAATGATAAATCTGCTATATTAAGTCATTGGATACCCATCAAAAAATGAAGTGGTACAACAGTCATCTTTGTAAAGGTTTTTTGTTTGTTCCTTTTCAGGATGAGCTGTTCATGCATCTTACAAACTATTCAATTAACAAGCACAACGAAAATTTTGATCGGCATGACAGCAATGATAGTGGAAGTAAACGGTGAGAATAATTTAGATTTATATGCATCATTTGAAAAGATTCTATTGTCTGGAAGCTTAACTCGCTTAATTTGTTGAATTTTTTTAGGTCCTTAAAGTTTTTAAATGAGTGGTTACAATCAATGGATTATGATGTGAACTTTCTGTGGCAAAGCATAACTGTAAGTACATGTATTTCAAAGGTTATTTGTGTTTTTAAAGTAGTTTTCAACACTGACCCGTAGGTGGCGAAACTGAGAATCCTTTTTTTTTGTTTTGTATGTAGGATGTGCTTGTGAAGACGCTGATAGTTGCTCAACCCCATATTCTCCATTCATACCGAATGTGTAGGCCAGGAAGCCCGCCGGCCAGTGAAAGCGTCTGTTTTGAAATCCTTGGATTTGATATTTTATTGGATAGAAAACTAAGGCCTTGGCTCTTAGAAGTAAGTCATTAACTTCTTCAAATCGTTTACAATTTAACATTGCGAAGTGTTGGCTGATAAACGCGTCACACCCCTCTTCAACGTTCGTTTGTACGGGGACGATGAAGAGCAAAAGGGCCTTTGGATTGACTTTTCATTTTTTTTAGCCAATGTAGTTTTTAGTTTCCCTTTTTTATCAACATTAAACTACGTTAAACAAAAGACTTATTAATGACATACCTGTGTTACGGTATTATTCAACCGACAGAAAAATACAAAAAACTCTCCTTAAAATCAACTAATTTAATTAACTATACTTCAAGTGATAACTACAACTTGGGAGCAACTCTCGCACAATACAACCTTACTACAAACTACTTAGAGCCTATTATTAACCTTCAGTCGCCACTGACACAGACTCACAGTTGACACTGCTATCACCAAACGTCCTGGAGCCACTTGGAATGACTTCAAAGTACTCCTCAGCAAACTGCTATAACTCTCCCAGCATAGCTTCTCCTATCAGTCTCAGCCGTAACAACAACAACTAACTCAAAACTCACTAAGCCCTTATATACAGTCATTTCATGTTCTAGATAGTTCTAAGAGCTTACAAGACTACTATTTTTGTAACATTACATCGTGAGTTACATCATCCAGCAGAATGTTCTAGACAGTTCTACTACGTGACAATAGAAAGTTCTAGTACAAACATCGCGTGACCGGAAAACTCTAGAAGCTTGTTATTTACATTAGCTCTCCATAACACCCTCCCCCTTCAAGAAAAGAAAGTTTGCAAAACTTTCTTGCAATAAACTCACGTTCTTGAGAGGCAGTCCGCAATAACATTGTCTTTTCCTTTGATGTGCCTAATGTCTAAAGAATATTCTTGCAACATTAAACTCCACCTTAGTAATCGCTGATTTTTGTCCTTTAATTTGTGAAGAAAAACAAGGGGATTGTGATCACTATAAACAACAATAGGCGAACTGGAAGAACTCACATAGACTTCAAAATGTTGCAGTGCTAACACTAACGCTAAACACTCTTTCTCTACAGTGGAGTAGTTCTGTTGACTCTTGGTGAACTTCTTTGAAAAATAACACACTGGGTGTTCCACACCTTCATCATCATCCTGTAACAGCACTGCACCAGCAGCCGCATCACTTGCATCCACGGCCAGCTTGAAGGGAGAGCCAAAGTCGGGCGCTCTAAGTACAGGGGCACTTTGCAACATGGCTTTTAATTTCTCGAATGCTTTATCACACTTTTCACTCCAAATAAATTTTGCCCTCTTATTGAGTAACTGCGTCAATGGTTCTGCGACGGCGGCGAAATTGGGACAAAACCTTCGGTAGTATCCAGCCATACCAAGAAAGCGCATCAACTGCCTTTTGCTCTCGGGTTGCGGAAAGCTAGCAATAGCCTCGACCTTCGCGGTTAATGGTTTTACTTGACCTTGTCCAACAACGTGTCCCAAATAAGTTACTTGTGCTTGACAAAACTCACTTTTGGAAAGGTTGATAGTCAGCTTAGCTCTACTCAACCTCTTGAAGAACTCACGGATGATCCTTAAGTGTTCTTCCCATGTGTCGCTATAAATAATCACGTCGTCAATGTACGCCTCACAACCCTCAAGGTCTGCGATCACCTTGTTAATAAGGCGTTGGAAGGAGGCTGGCGAATTCTTCATACCAAATGGCATAACTTTGTACTGGTACAATCCATAAGGTGTGACAAAGGCTGAAATCTCCTTGGCGCGGTCTGTCAACGGAACTTGCCAGAATCCTTTAAGGAGGTCGAACTTCGTTACATATTTGGCTTTTCCTACTTTATCAATGCAGTCGTCCATCCTTGGGATTGGAAATGTGTCCGTCTTAGTCACGCTGTTGACCTTTCTGTAGTCTGTACACATTCGGTAACTTCCATCTGGTTTAGGAACAAGGATAGACGGAGAACTCCAGCTACTGTTACTTGGCTCAATGAAATCGTTCTCAAGCAAATACTTAATCTCTTCCTTGAGATACTGTTGCTTTTTTGGATTTAGCCTGTACGGGTGTTGCTTAACTGGATCAGCATTGCCGACATCTACGTCATGATAAATCTGATCTGTCCTTGTAGGAACATCAGGAAACAGGTGCTCAAACTCCAGCAGAAGTTTCTCCAGGTCCTGTCGTTGACTTTGTGATAGGTGAGACAGCTTAGAATCCAAGTTCCGCAACACATCGGAGTTCGTGAGTCTTGTTGTGTCAGTGGGACTAAAAGCATTGCTACTAAGCTCGTTACTTAACTCCTCTTTAGGCTCGATAACGACTACATTAACGGTTGCAGGTTCTGAGGCTAGATTACTGTTTCTCTCTACGTAAGGCTTTAACATGTTGACATGACATAGCTGTGTTTGTTTACGCCTATCCGGAGTAACTACTATGTAATTAAGATCATTTAACTTCTTCTGGATCTCGTATGGTCCAAAAAATCTAGAGCGTAATGGGTTGCCAGGTACGGGCAACATTGCAAGGACCTTTTGCCCTGGCTTGAAACTACGTTCTACAGCATCTACATCGTACCTCTCTTTCATAGATTTCTGAGATAAACTTAGATTGGCTCTGGCTAATTCGCAAGCCCTAAAAAGCTTAGAACGAAAATCTGAGACATACTGTAAAAGATTAATGGACTCACTACAGTTAGATAATAACTTCTCTTTAAGCAACTTAAGAGGTCCTCTCACAGTGTGCCCAAACACAAGCTCGAAGGGACTGAATCCTAGAGACTCTTGCACTGACTCTCTTGCAGCAAACAACAGCAAATGAATACCCTCGTCCCACTCTTTCTCTGTTTCGAAGCAGTAAATCCTCATCATGTTCTTCAGAGTCTGATGCCATCTTTCAAGAGCTCCTTGACTTTGAGGATGATATGCGGATGACTTATACTGAGTGACCCCAAGCTCGTACATGACCTGTTGAAACACTCCAGACATAAAATTCGAACCCTGATCCGACTGGATAGAGCTTGGAAGGCCCACTAGTGTGAAAAACTTGGTTAAAGCTTTGACAATAGTCTTGGCTTTGATGTTTCTCAGGGGTATTGCTTCAGGGAACCTGGAAGTCGCACACATGATGGTCAACAAATACTGATTTCCAGACCTCGTCTTTGGTAATGGACCAACACAATCAACAATAATTCTACTAAACGGCTCCTCGACAGCTGGTATTGGCTTCAGCGGGGCTTTGGGGATGGTCTGATTCGGTTTCCCAACCATCTGACAGGCATGGCATGATCTACAATATTCTGCTACATCCTTTCTTACATTTGGCCAGTAGAAATGGTTAAGGATCTTCTCATAGGTTTTATTGATGCCCATGTGGCCAGCTAGAGGAGTCTCGTGCGCCAAACTTAAAATCTCCTGCCTATAACTCTTCGGGACAACAATCTGGTATTTGACAGCCCACTCATCTTCAGCTGGAATATCAGGTGGCCTCCACTTTCTCATCAGCACTCCGTTCTTTGTAAAGAAGCATGCAGGGTTCTTTGACACTTCGCTTTCATCAACGACTCTCGCAAACAAGCTTGATACTACTGGATCTCTTTGCTGTTCTGCAATCAGATGAGGCGTGGACATCTTGTCAGCCTGATATGTCAAACCGTCCTCGGTAACGACTACCGCTGGCTCGGGGACTAGGGTTCTTGATGGCTTACTCTTCAAGGCTTCACCAATGATAGTGTCCGCTAATGTGACCTCTTCCTCTGTGCTTTCTTTCTTCTTGCTCATGGCTCGAGTTACAACACATGCTGGGTACAAACCAGGAATTGCCTTCTCTACTGGATCTGGACACTGTTCTAAGCAAGGCTTATCCGTGACGATAGCATTAACAACAACTTTTTCTCCAGCAAGGTCATTTCCTAAAATCAGCTGTACTCCCTCAAATGGTAAAGAAGACTGTACTCCAACTTTGACGGGCCCAGACACAAGGTTTGAGGACAGGTAAACGGTATGAAGTGGTACTGGAGTGTATTCAGAGCAATTGACTCCCTTGATAAGAACACTCACACCAGCAGACGACTCCTCAGAAAACGACAAAGTGTCACTCAACAGCAGGGACTGTGAAGCTCCAGTATCTCTTAAAATCTTGATTGGCGTACAGTTGGACATATCACTTGATAATGACACTGAACCATCATGAATAAAGGGCTCAAAAATGTCCATAACAGGCTTCGACGGAACACCCATGTTACTTGACTGAGTCTTTACATTGTGACACTTGGTAGGCATATCTTCACTAACAGCAGGTAAAGACAATGACGTAGCAATGAAACCAGTTGGCCTAGGCTCGACACTATGCTGTTGTCGTGTCATTCTCCACTTTTCTGGGCAATTTGAAATCATATGTCCCTCTTTTCTACAATAATAACAAGTAATTGTCTTGACGGACTTGTTTGGTATGTTCTTGTTTTGCCTTGGTGGCTCAGAGTTGAAACCGCGATTTGCATGGGTGTTACCTGAATTCCGTTTTGGGTACCACTCATCACTCTGTCGACGTCTTTGATTACCAGGCCAGCGTGGTGATGTAGAGGGTGGAACTTGACCAGGTGATGTACAGCTGGGCCGAAGGGGCTTATCCACAAATGTCACCTTGTGACTTAATGAGAACTCATCTGCTAACCGTGCCGCGTCTTCCAACGTTTCTGCTTTCTGCTCATCGATGAACGTTCGGACATCACTGTGAATGCACCTCTTAAATTCTTCTATTAAAATTAACTGTCTTAACTTATCGTGACTTTTGTCTACCTTCTGTGAATGACACCATCGGTCAAATAACTGTTCCTTACTCCTAGCAAATTCTACGTAAGTTTGATTACTTAACTTCTCACAGTTTCTAAACTTCTGACGATAAGCTTCAGGAACTAGTTCGTAACCCTTATGAATGAGCTCTTTAACAGTGTCATAACTTGCAGCTTGCTCTACACTTAGTTGCGTATATATCTCCCTGGCCTTACCTACTAATACACTCTGCAATAACATTACCCAATACTCTTTGGGCCACTTAAGATTTCCTGCTACTTTCTCGAAGTGCAAAAAATACTTATCGACATCTTTCTCCTGAAATGGTGGTACTAACTTAATATATTTAGTAACATCAAACTTAGCACTATACTTTTCAGTATTGTATGTAGCATCTGACCCTAACTTTAACTGTAGTTCCAGCTTTTTCATTTCCAACTCATGTTGTAACTCCATCTTCTCTTTCTCTAACCTTTCCTGGCGTTCCTTTTCTTCCCTTCTTTCTTGTCGCTCTTGTTCTTCTTTCTCCAGTCTTTCTTGTCGTTCTTTTTCTTCTTTTTCCAGTCTTTCTTGTCGTTCTTTTTCTTCTCTTTCCAGTCTTTCTTGCATTTCTAACTTTTTAAGCTCTAACTGAAATTGTAGCTTCTTTTCTTCTGAGTCAAATGCTTCATATGTTTCTAAGACTGCTTCTTCAAAAACTTTCAGACTTACTAAGTGTTTGACAATAACATCTTGAATCTGATGTTTTCTCATTGCTTTCTTAACCTCTAGTTTCAAGTGTTTACCTAATGAAATAAGCTCATCCTTCTTTAAGTCATAAAATGCATCTTCGCTGGGCTCTAACATAAACTGTTCTGGATCAAACTTTGACATTTTGCTTCACTCTGACTATCTCCTTCAGAAAACTATTTATCCTTAAACAATATATACGATAGATTCTACGGCCAAAACTCACTGCTCCCGGACAGGCCCCCAATTTCTGTTACGGTATTATTCAACCGACAGAAAAATACAAAAAACTCTCCTTAAAATCAACTAATTTAATTAACTATACTTCAAGTGATAACTACAACTTGGGAGCAACTCTCGCACAATACAACCTTACTACAAACTACTTAGAGCCTATTATTAACCTTCAGTCGCCACTGACACAGACTCACAGTTGACACTGCTATCACCAAACGTCCTGGAGCCACTTGGAATGACTTCAAAGTACTCCTCAGCAAACTGCTATAACTCTCCCAGCATAGCTTCTCCTATCAGTCTCAGCCGTAACAACAACAACTAACTCAAAACTCACTAAGCCCTTATATACAGTCATTTCATGTTCTAGATAGTTCTAAGAGCTTACAAGACTACTATTTTTGTAACATTACATCGTGAGTTACATCATCCAGCAGAATGTTCTAGACAGTTCTACTACGTGACAATAGAAAGTTCTAGTACAAACATCGCGTGACCGGAAAACTCTAGAAGCTTGTTATTTACATTAGCTCTCCATAACACCTGTATTTCCTTCCTGTTAACTTAAAAGATTGCGCTTACTTTATACAGTACGTACACTTGCTTTTAGTAATGCGCGTTCATCCAGGCTAATTAGAGAAAAAGCTGGGGCACTCGACTCTGAGCTTCAAATTCATTTGCTGAAAACGCGAAATTTATTTGGAATACTTACGTTGAAATGGTTCTTTTTTTCCTTCTGGTCGTTATTTTTTCGTTTAGGCATATGCGCAGCGAAGACTTTTACCTCCTCGGCCTCCTCCGCAGGCTAGTCTGGCTTTAGTCTGGCTTCCCTGTGGTTTGAAACGGGAAGAGAGGAAACTGGGATGAAAAGGAGGGAGACTGGAGTGGAGTAGTGCTCGCAGTGCGTTTGTAGTGCGTAGGATCCTTGCGGAGTTTTTCCACGTGCGGAGGGGGCTTGACTTTAGGTAGCAGCATCTGTTTTCGAAAAGGAAGTTTTGGCGCTTCACACACTCGTCTAATACAAAGTGCAGTGCGAGCTTTTCAAGGTCTTTTAAAATCTTGGGTTTGTGCATGGTCAGTTTACTACCCTTTTAGTAGTAAGCAGCAAGGATGGCACATAAGGAACAAGGCGGCAGTGACGACAGCGTGACAAACTGAGCACCGGAACTCGCGTTCAGTCCTTTCTGCGCGTCTTCCCGTCCTCAACTAACGTTCCCGTTCTGTTGCTAAATCACTCTAGTTTGTTTGTGTGCGCGGCCTTCTGTGCACGTGGTCTTGAGTTTGATCCCCGGTAACATTACATCCTTGTTTCAACTTCTCTCCTTTCTGTGTAGCTTTGACTAGCTTTAAAAGCACTTAAAACAGAGCATTGGTGGAGAGAGAGGGTAAAATGAGCGCACTGTCGACCCCCAAAAGTGTTAAAAATACTGTAATGTCTTTTATGTTCTGTAGGTCAATCGTTCACCCAGCTTTGGCACTGACACCAAACTGGACAGTGAAATTAAAGGAGGAGTCTTATTTGACACATTTAGCTTATTAAATATAAGGTACGAAGTGATACTTAGGAAAATCAGTAAGCAACAAAAACAACAACAATACTACTACTACTACCACTACTACTACTACTACTACCACTACCACTACCACTACCACTGCCACTGCCACTACCACTACCACTACCACTACCACTACCACTACCACTACCACTACCACTACCACTACCACTACCACTGCCATTGCCACTGCCACTGCCATTGCTACTGCCACTACCACTACTCATAATAATAGTAATAATAATTTGATTAATCTAGACCAATTTATGAAGTTTTTCATTTGCCAAGGGGATTTTCAATTTTTGGTATATCAGTTGCTTATTGTGGAGTTTTCTTTACTTGCGTCCTGCTTTTCACGTCAGCTTCCGGTAAATTACGATAGACGATTTACCCGAGATTTTTTTAGGATAATTATGTGAAATGTCCTTTTGTTGATAACAGGGCAAGCGACAAAAGACGCGGTATGGCGGCTGAGAAGGCGGAAGCCCAAAAGAGATTACTAATGCAACCGAAGAGGAGCGAGTACTCTATGTCGGTAAGTGATTATCAGGACGATTAATTGTGTCATATATGATTTTAGACGATGATGACGGCACCCTGTATAAGCAGTGTGAATAAAATAGCGACTGTGAACTGGCGCCATAACTTGGCAGTTTGAAAAATTATGAGTAGGACGGACACGCCTCTTTTGAGCACGTCGTCGTGATATGAGAGAACATCATTGGTGCACGATAATACTCCTCCTAACTCTTATGAAAGTGGATGTAAGTGAGATTTTAAAACGCAAGTAGCCCTAATATTGTAGCCATAAGAGTGTCAAGACATGAATTGATATCAATCATCACGTGACTTTCCCTTAGGAACTGGAGAAGAAAAAACTGATTTTGAACAAAAGGCGAACTGAACTGGTAAGTGTCATCAAGAAGGGAGGCAGCGACGGAAAGGTAGAGCCGATTAAGAAACGTGAGAAAATAATCCAAATGTATTATTTTGTAGTTTCTGTTTTCTAACCGTATATTACAACAGAAGGGCTGGTTGACTTGAGATAACTATGTATCGATGCTAAAAAATGTTTATAGATCGTGTTGTCTCTTTGCAGAAAGATCGACTTACTCATCTGAGAAGAGAGGCTGCGAGAGAAGAGTTTGAGAACATGAACATGGTAAGTAAAAACAAGACAACTGACAAGATACTATTAATAATTTGTCACCCAAAGAGGGATCAGCATTGTTGGATAGCTCAATCCTTCTCATTACTAGTGTCTGTCTGATCAAGAGGACAGTTCAACCTCAGTAGCCGAGACATCCAATTTGAATTTTCTGACATGACCACCATAACTGTTCCAAGACAACTTCACGTTTCTTTCAGTTGCCCAATCTTTCCTCGAAGTTGGGTAAGGACTGGGGAGTAATACTGCGTTTTTATATATTTTGGTTCTGCAGGGGAATTTTCGAAGAATATATCCCCCAGACGATCAAACAAGAAAGGAGAAGTGTAGTGGACTTTTAGCTGATGCATTTAAGCTTTTTTTATCCGGTGAGACGTGACACAGTTTATATATTGTAATCATCATCATCATCATCATCAACATCATCATCATCATCATCTCTATCATCATCATCATCATCATCACCCCTAATCCTGACCCTAACCCTCCCTTTTTCCCGTCACCGCCCCCTTTTCTCGGATCATACACTCATATTTTCTTGTGCCTTCCACTTACGCGTCTTCCCTACTAACTAAGAGCCTGGAACAGGCTACGTCATCATCATCATCATCATTGATAATTTTGCCTTGTATTTTTGTTCTTGGAATCCATTTCTGGCCAGTCTAAACCACATACTATTATTTTTGTCTTTGATGTCGTCCGTTTACTAATGGGTGCGTTTTCCAAGTGAAGCTAAAGCACTGTGCATTTGCTTCCGTTCTCTAGTAAGACCCGTCGAGACACTTTAATTTCGTTTTGGTTTCTCACACATTTAGCCCTCCAACATTCCATTTTGACTTGCTTTACAATGAATGGTGATGAGCATCCTTTGTCAGGGTTGTATTTTGTGATATGCAAAACTTATTTCCTCTTATCTGATCTTGGATCCAAATAAATGGGTTGGAAAAATACATTGTACATTAATACTTTTGTTCATTTGATAAATATCCTTTAGGAAGAGCGACATCTCTCCAAAAGGAAGGTAATCAACCATTCAGTACACTCAGGGTAGGTATTAAACTAACCGTGTCTAGTCAATTCTTGTGTTAATGTATTTCCCTCGGTAAACTTGCTGTGGACTAGCCGGCCACCAAAGAGAATGACAACAATTCTGTCTGACGAGAGGTAGTTACTCTTTTCTATAACGAACCACGGTCCAGCAATGCCTGAAGTATGCGTCAGAAATATAATTCGTTCTGTCTATTTCTTGCAGGAAGAAGAAATTCTCGATTTATTGGAACAATGCGAGGCTGACGAAATCATAACGTTCGACTCGAAAAATGGAAACCGTCCAATGAGCAAAGGACCGAAGGTATATCAAACATTTCTTCTTATATTATCGCTATCCTATGATACTTTCTATGACACTTGTAACGTAATTTTCGTATTTCTTTTCTCATGTGTGACGATACCGTTTAAACTAATAACTTGTTGTTTTGCTCTTTTTTTCAGCCTTTGTCATCCATGCCAAGTGCAAAATCCGCACAAAGTAAAACAGATGCCTCTTCGTCTTCCTCTAATTCTTCAAACCCATCAAACACGGTGCCATTACGGCCTGCATCTGCTCAAAGGACACCAACCAATCATAGCTTCATATTATCCCGCTCTTCTACGCAGAGAATAGTGACGTCAACGTCCTCTCCGCCAATGAAATTTAACCCTGTTGTAGTGAGTTGGTTTTATTATAGTTTGTTTTTGTTTTTTTTAACTCTTCAGTAGTACAAAGTGGTTCTGTCAGTTTTTGTACTACATACAAGATGAATCTTTGACCATGCTAAAAAGGAGAGACCATCTGCACCGTTGCCAACTCTAACCTCTCTATTTTTTTCTCCCAAAGGACTCTGTTTTTCTTGATGCCGCTGTTCGGGAGAGAGAAGAAGAGCTTAGTAGGCGAACATTGCAGGCTTTGCTTGACATGAGAATAAAATTTCCCGGCAAAACAGATGAAGAAGCTGAAATCATATTGGAGAGTGTAAGTACGAAACAGACCTTTTAGCAGACTGAGCAATTTCGCTGCTGCATGCGCTTAACTAACCTAAAGTTCCAACCAATTTGCTGCACTAATAAGAACACTGAGGGCCATTCTTTTTATTGTCACAAGGTATGCTCAGTGAGCTATTTAAAGTCAGACACCTTTTTAAAAAGTGGCCAGTTGCTTGCAAACCTGAATGTTACGGTACATGTTTGTAATTCAGCTATGTACAAGGCATACCGGCTGCAAGGACTAATTAATCTCTCGTATAGGGTCACTTTGCTGTATTGTTCCTATTTACAGATTCAGGATAACTGGAAAATTCATAAGCCACGAGTTGCATCTTATTGGCTTGTCAAACTTGACTCGATAAAACGTAGAAAGGTAAGAGGAGATATGACTGTTTAACAAACATCTTACTGACACGTGACACCTAAAAGGGCGCAAGTCTATTTTTGCACTCTTGTTTATTCAAGTTTAAAAAGCGATCTTTCCTTGTAGCCATGGGCCCTGATCTTTGAAACAACCTGGTAAATAATGCATGATTTGCTATTGCGTATGACTGAATATTCAACTGACGTTTCTTTTCGCAGGTTGTTGATATTGTTCGCACAAACGTTCGTGCCATATTACAGCGCGTATGGCGGGCGTCTGAAGTTGACAACTTGCGCCTGTGTCGCGTATTTTCGAGGGTTTTTAACAGATTATTGTGGAGCCATGGACAGGGATTGTGGAACTGCTTCTCAAGTCTCGGGTAGGTCATTCAAGCATCGCAAGTTGGTTAATAACAACTTTGCTTCACTTATGTTGACTTGGCCTCAATTATTTCGCCGTTGTTTTTTAGAAATTCATGGGAGACAATATTCAGTAAGAGCACGGAAGTGATATCACTAGTAAGTACTGTTTTGAAGATTTGACATTTATGTTGATACATTTATTTGCGCTGCTCAAGTCTCTGTTAGGACGACGTCCTAGGCTGTCATGAAATGTGGTACTTTTGGTTCTATGAACTGTTGCAGCAAACTTTCCCCAAGGTCGACGCCCATGTAGAGCACACTCACTCTTAGGACGATCAACAACGGCTGGCTGATTTCAATCAAATCTCAATCTTTTGTCAAATGTAGCCAGACTCTGTATTGAGAAGTAAAAATGCAGAAGTGAAGGCGTTATTTTTTGGAACAAATGACTTTTTAATTCACCGCCACAGAAGTCTGAACGCTAGTTCAGTGACGCTGGCCTTTATTTGTTTGTTGTTTACAGACTGAGATGAGCTGCTGTCGTCGGATTGTTCAGTTGTGTCGCGACTGTTTGCTGATTGTGTATCAGTTTGCTGCTGATGCTAAAGCTGCGGGCGCTGGTTCTGTTTTGTATCAAACAGCAACACCTCACGATGGTGACACGAGGTACAGTATAACTGAGCAAAACGGCCACGGAGGACGTTCTAATATGCAGATGGGTTTTCTACTCCCCATAATATTTTTAACTACTTTTTTTTAGAAAAGAAAAGAACTACGCGTTTGTAATGGAATCTTTCCTTATAGCTAGGAGTATAATATAGCATGCTTGGTTACTGCCGATTGATCATTAACTTTCCAGCTACACCTTCTCTTGGTATCTGAACTGATAAATAAAGACATTTTGGACGTTTTTCTAAGGCTATTTGTCTTATTTCACAGACACACCGACATTGTTCGAAGAACTCCAGACCTTACATCACAGCAAACTCTAACAGCAAGAATGTCAAAGTACTGCAGACCCGCCCAGTTAACATAACGACACGTAAGAACGGGGGACCGATGAGCTTTCAGAAAGTTCTCAAGAGGCAAACGTTGAGCACTAAAGGGTGTTACTTAAACAAGCTTATTGTTGGATAAAGTACAAACCAGAGTTCTCGTGGCCGAATGGTGCAGGCGCTGCTATCATAAAGCATTATTTTGCACGAAATGATAGTAGCTTTTAGCGAACATTTTGAGTTATTTATTTGAAAGTTATATTTATAGTAAGCAAAAGTATATCATTTTCCAGGACAATTAACTCGCAAACCCTTCTTCTTAAACAGTACGGGTAAAAATCTTCCATAAACTTGTGCAATACGTACATCCATACATCTGGAAACTAAAGAAGATATCATGCGGGTATTGAATTGCTGAAGGGTACTAGAAGCTATATCGAACATCCAGCACTTATCATCTATTTCAGTGTACGCAAAATTGACATCCATTTTTAGTAAGTAAGAACCTGCATTTTTCCAAGTTGACCTTAACAGGTTCTTAAATGAATGGTTATTTGCACAAATTTAAGCTATTTAGGTTCTTGAATAGTTTCCGAATTTCTGAAGAAAAAAAACTAACTTGTATTTGATTTACAACATTGGCATTTACATTGCATTTGGAGTGTTAACGCACCTTTGTCTCCAAAGATGATCCGGAATGTTGACTTATCTTATTTGTCTAAGTCTACAGAATTGTAAGAATCTTTTTTAAATTTTAGGCTAAAAAGGTTCTTGTATATAGGGGGTCTAACTGGGAAATTTTAGCCTAACAAGCTCTTAAAAACCAGGTTCTTTCTCGCGGGTCTTCACTGTATTTGTCCCGGTACACAATACTCGGCTTGATTATTTGAGTATAATAAGAGGCTTTATTGGACTGAGTTACACAAAGAGATATATTACTAAAATATCTGATCATATACATTTATTGTCCATGTCAATAGGAGATTGTAATTACAGTATTTGTTGTTTAAAAAATATCAGAATTATTACATGAAAGTATGTTATGTTATTGTGGTCTCTATTATTCAATGATAATGTGTTATGTGTAGTTCAGTAACCATACCATTTCAGATACATCTGAGCATCGGTTAGAATGCGTTTACTATCTTAAAATATTTCAGGAATGTTTTATATTCACGGTGTGAAGATCAATCAGAACAAAGATCATGACAAGCCACAAAACCACAAACTGTATAGTTAAAGGTATTTTTAAGAATTGCTTGAGAACCTGAAAAGGCTAACAAGGAGAAAAAGTGAAGTTAAAAATAAAATAAACTGAAATTGCAACTATGAAATGTTATTTTCCTATTAGTTTATGTCTGATGCGTATGTCAAGGCGGAGCTTTGTTGCTCAGCTGTCTGATCAATACTATTCGAAATACTACATGTTGAAGACCATTTTTAAGGTAACAGTTCATAAAAAGAAATACGGAATTACCTTCATATTTGGTTTTCTTGTGTATTTAATTTCCCCGTCCTCTTAGCTCGAGATCACTGCAGAAGCCAGGTGCCTCCACTGTGGAAAGTTTGGAAATCCCCTCTTCAGTCCCAGTATTATACGTCATCGTATGAAGCGTGGAACTGGGACAAAGAAACCAAGAAAGGCGGCTGTTAAGCAGTTAGGTTGCTGAACAAGAAAACCTGTTGATCAAAGGTAAACAACAACAAAACTTAAGGTAAGCTATTTCCCAATTATTGAATAATTGAGAGAATTCTGCCGTTTTAAATGGAAAATGGCATTGGTTTCTACATAGACAGGCAACAAAAAAGCTGTTACAGCAGTGCGATACAGCGGTGGCTTATATTAAGTTAGGTCATTTCCCCTTTTTAACTTGACAACATTTAGACGCGTGCACCCTTTCAGTATTGATAGGTCACCATAAGAGACGGGCGGAGCAACATACACCTGCACGTGACGTCACACACTCAAACGAAGCTCGACATAAAGCAAAAGGGCTCAACCGACTTGACATTTCGAAGTCTTGCGATCCTGTCATAATTTAAAAAGTTTCTCTTGGAAGTTTATGAAGAAAGATCACATCACCGTGTTTTTCGTTGTAAAAAAAATCTTGTTTCGCAAACGGAAGCGATTAATCTAAACATATATCCTACGACCGCTCATGTGCGTAATTTCAATAAATTAAATACAACCATCAATGGGGGCTGATATTTGGATGAGAGTTAGACATATTTCACTCAAGGGCCGATATCTGAATGCAATAAGAGAGGTGTCTTATATTCATAGCCTTTAGCTACTACTTTATAGCTGTAGAATTTTAACAAAGGACAGTTGCATGTGCAAAACATGTGTTTTAACAGACAGTTTATGTATTAATAAAGATATTCCGCATGAAACAAGTTAGGCAATTTTGAAATTGGATTAAGGTTACGCCATCATATAACAATCAATTGATTTATTTTTACCTTACGAATCATTTCTTGAGAAATTAGATTCCCTCGGCCTAGAATATTATCTGCTAGGTGATTTAAACTGTAACCTGGCCTCTGCACAATATGATTTAAATACTCGACGCTTATGTGAAATTTCTGATTTATTTGGGCTTCAACAGCTTATAACTGAACCTACTCGCATAACGGAATCCTCTTCAACATTAATTGATTTAATTTATACAAACTATACTGACAGGGTAGTCTGTTCCGGAGTCTCTCATATTGGTATCAGCGATCATAGCCTTATTTACGTTTATAGGAAATTATCTCTCACTTTTCCTTCAAAAGGGCACTCAACCATTTCTTATAGAAATTTCCAAAATTTTAATAGAGAGAGTTTTCGGAACGATATCGCCCAGCAAGACTGGTCCTGTAATGTTTCTGAAGATCCAAATGTTTTGTGGACTAACTGGAAAACGAAGTTTTTGGATATTGTTAATATTCATGCGCCACTCCGAACTAGACGTACTAGAACAAATAAAGCACCCTGGATCAATTCAGAATTAAAGAAAGGCATGCGTGATCGTGATGCTGCCAAAAGAAAAGCAATTACATCGAATGATCCACACGATTGGAAAAGGTACAAAAAGTTGCGAAATATAATAAACAATGACATCAAAATTTCTAAAGCATCTTATTATTCTAATGCATTTATTCAATCTAAGGGTAATCCTCGAAAAACGTGGCAAACCTTTAATGAGCTTACATCCCGTCGTGTGAATAATACAACGGTGAAGGAACTGAAATTGAATGATACCATTATCTCTAATTCTAGTGAGCTTTCTGATGCTTTTAATGACCATTTTTCAACAATTGGGCCCAGACTTGCTAATGAAATACCTCTAACTGCTGAAAATAATTCAAGTTATATCAATAATATAAAGGTAAATAACAACAATTTCAGCTTCTCCTCGACTAACTGCAGCATTGTTTTCTCACATCTAAACAAATTATGTAGATCTAAAGCAACTGGTCTTGATAATATTTCTGCTAAAATTGTACGTGAATGTGCTGATCTTATTTCAGTTTCACTATGTGATCTCTTTAATAAATCTTTAGTCTCTGGTATATTTCCTGATGATTGGAAATGTGCTAGAGTTACTCCGTTGTTCAAGGAAGGTGAGCCATCTGATCTGAATAATTATCGACCTATTTCAGTCATTTCCGTTATAGCTAAAGTGTTTGAAAGGATTGTTTATGATCAGTTGTATAACTTTTTGACCAATGAAGATATCATTTCTAATTATCAATCGGGTTTTCGCTCGTTACACTCAACTGCAACTGCCCTTCTGGAAGCTACGGATAATTGGGCCTTTAATATTGATCGTGGCAATGTTAATGCTGTGGTTTTCCTCGATTTAAAAAAGGCTTTCGACACCGTTGACCACGATATCCTTCTAGCTAAAATGAACCTTTACGGAATACAAGGTACAGCTCTTGATTGGTTTAGGTCGTATTTAACTAATCGTACACAACGATGTCTTGTTAACGGTTCTCTTTCTAGAATCTGCTCTCTTAAATGTGGGGTACCGCAAGGAACAATCCTTGGCCCCCTTTTATTTCTTATTTATATTAATGACTTGCCAAACTGCCTTACTTCGTGCCAGCCTAGAATGTATGCCGATGACACCCACATTACTTATGCTGGCGTTGATGTGAATTCAATACAGTTAACTCTGAGTCACGATTTAGATAACCTAAACAAATGGCTTATTTCTAATAAACTTACTTTGAACACTTCTAAAACTGAATTCATGCTAATTGGCTCCAGACAAAAATTGAGTACTTTGTCGAACCCACTTGAGCTCTCGATTAATAATGTTCCGATAGAACACGTTTCCTCTGTCAAATCGCTTGGAATATTTATTGATGAAAATCTACGGTGGCAAACACACATTGATAAATTATCTAAAAAGGTCGCTTCCGGAATTGGAGCAATAAAAAGAATTAGACCTTTTGTCCCTCCACCTACCCTTCACTATATATACAACTCACTAATTCAATCTCAATTCGATTATTGCAATCTTGTCTGGGGTAATTGTGGTAAAACATTATTTGACAGGCTACAGAAGCTTCAGAACCGTGCCGCTCGCGTTTTAACCTTCTCTAGCTATGATGCTGATGCTAACCGTTTGATTAGACAACTCGATTGGAAAGACTTGAACACTCAATTTCAAATACAGAAATCCATAATGGTATACAAGTCTTTAAATGGCCTTGTTCCTGAATATTTATCATCTAAGTTTGTTAAACGAAATGAAACGCGTTACTCCCTGAGGGACTCTGTTAACAAACTATTTGTCCCATTTCCGCGAACTAATTTCATGAAAAACAGCTTTACTTATAGCGGAGCAGTTCTCTGGAACAGCCTACCCTGTCATGTGAGAGAAGCCGAATCTCTTAGTCAATTTAAAAGATTAGTTAATGTTCATTTTTAATGTTATACACGGCATTCATGAAAAACAGGTTTTAGTTAGATTAGTTGTAGTTAGGTTTTGAATTTTGTTTAGGATAGTTAGGTTATCTTTAATTTTTAAATTCCTGATGGATTTTACCGTGTTTAAATAAAGATTGATTGATTGATTGATCACGATAATGAATCAAAGCCGATTCTGCTCGTTTATCGGATAAACCTTTTTCACTTTCATGAAATGACATATGTGCATTGGTTTGTGGCGAAAAGAGTAATTAAATCGAGTACTAAGACATTAATTTGCCGATTACGCGGTGTTGCAGGGTTATCATCGTATCGCCTATAATATCAATTATTCGCCTTAACAAGTAATTTACTGCTTAAGGGAATTATTCATCAGGCAGCCAGCCCTGGTTTTGTGGTCATGTTCTGATACCAACTAAGCGAGAATAGCCACAATACGTGCTTTCTGGCGTCAAAAGTTAACGCGATCGAATAAAGCTACTTTGTATTTTTCTTTATCACTTTTTCGTTTCTTCTGCTCATGATAAAATTAAGAGCAAAATTTTTTAAAGGTCTGCCGAAATCTTTGTTTTGATTCTCGAACGTTTTGGTTCTAGTTTCGCCTATACTAGCATGTTCTTCTAAATCTGTTTATCTATCCTATTCTGTACTATTCTGCTACAAGCACTCGTTTCCCAGTAGAATGATACTGTTGTGGCTTACTTGCAACACTATTTACTTTTCCGAAGCGATCCGGTCTTTAAAAATTGTTCCTATGTGTGCATATGTAAAGTACAGCTGGGCCCAGTTGTTCGAAAGGTGCCGGATAACGCGATTTACTGGATAAATCTCTATTCACTGGATAGCGCAATTCAGTCCCTAATACTTATCCCCTTGATAGCCGGATTTATCCAGTGGATAGCGCAATTGGTTTCCCTAATACTTGTCCACTGCATGGATAGCGATTTATCCAGTGGATAGCGCAATTGGTTTCCCTAATACTTGTCCACTGCATGGATAGCGATTTATCCGGTGGATAGTGCTATCAAACGTTTGAACAACTGGAGCCTGAAATTTCAAATGTCGAAGACGTCATTTGATTTTTCCTATTCCCAACCTTGCGAAGGTAGCAGCAATTCGACATCTGCATTCAGGAGCAGTAATTTTTCAGTCACTCAGAAAAAAAAAAAAAAAACTAAAAAGTACCGATGATCGGTCCCTGAATGTGAGTGAGAGGTTTTTAACTAGCTTCAATGCGTCAGTTTTCTTAAATTTCTCTCATAAAGAAAAAAAGTAGATGAAACTAGGTTCTTTTTTCTTTCCCATTATTTAAAGCCTAACAAACACTGGCTGACTGTCGATATACTTTGCTGTATATTTGAAAGGAAATTGTCAATGATACGCTCATTGTTGTTCAAGAGTGAAAAAATATCCATAATGATTCTTTTCAAAAATTGATTGAAAACTAGTATTTCCCCGGTCGAGGAGCGCTTTGTCAATACTCGGTACTGAATGCATGCTAGCTGACTTAGTACTATAGGTCTGTTTACTGGTTACGAAAGAACATTGCTTTTCTATAAGGATACACGACTGAAAAAGTGACCTACCTTAACTCTTCGAAAGTGTAAATGAAACGCTAAATTTGAACTACTCTGCTAGTCCGCAGACTAACCTCAGCTACAACGTACTCTTCCTTGATACGCAGTTGATGGTGTTGTAGAAGGCCGTTTTATTTTTAGAGGAGGTGGATGAAAAACTAAAGTGAACACATCCGAAGAAGGCCGCCTGCTGAGTAATGCTTGTTGCGTTGCGATTTTAGCTTTTGAATCACTGGATCAAATGGTAAAACCACAATGTTGGCTGTGGCACTGTCTCAGACCACTAGATGTAGAAGTTTATATTATTGTTTGATTCTGTGGATGGATTTTGCTTCCTTCAGTACTGTTTATCGCATTGTACAGGGCCTCTGTTCATTTTAAAGTTTGTAAGCCGTTCATGTCCAGCTGAATAAAGACCTAGAACACAATACCGCACTATTCTGTGGTTTAGTTTGCGATGTTGCACAATTGTTTCAACCTTTGAGTATTTGGATGAATCCGAGTGAAAAGTAGTATTTTAATTCAGACTGGTTCGTTTTCCAAAATATATAACATTAAGTAAGAAAAGAATTGAATTCAGTTTTTGAAAGCTTTTTGGTATCTGGGAATGTCTGTTACCTTACACAGTACATAAGTAAAAGATACTATATGCTTGAGATACCGATTAACAACAAAAAATGTTTCATTACACGTGCCTGAATTTCAATTAACAAATTTTTATTATTTGTTTGAAGCATTTCGTCAAGTTAGAAACCCCATTTAGAGCCTTGAATGATCCTAATTGTTTTGACAGGTGAAGAGTGAGACATAACTCCACCCATTGTGAACAAAACATTTATTTCACTATCTGGTTTAATTACGTAAGTACAAGTATACATGAAAAACACAGAAAGCGATATTACCAAGTAAGATAAACCTCAGGCCATGCGTACCTTTCCTCCAGAAATTTTGCGTTTTCCGCCAATTTTAGGAGTCTTAAGTATTCCTCAGTACAGGATTCGTTTAACGTGACGAATTTTGATCAGAATGTCTATTGAAGCATTGTCTTATTTATTTGATCTTTTTATTACGTGAGTTTTGTCTTTTACCGTCGCAACGATAATCGATTATTTCGTTTAGGAAAAAAAATGAAAGAAAGGTCTGCGCATCAATCCTTTCTCTCTTGCCCAGTTATGTCATTTCGCAAATCGTCTTCTACTGTCTATAATATAATTTCCTGTGGGAGCAACCAAAAAATAATGAAATTCACCTCAAAAGCTCGCGGAACACAACAGGGAGTGATGAATTGTTAAAGCTTTTTATTCAACTTGATAACTTTTAATGAACGGACAAGAGTGGAAATGAAATAAACTACAATTAGCATACTCAAGATCTGACAGGTGTTACAGTTTTTTTGTCGCACGAATCATCAACAAAACTATAACAAAATTAGAAACCTTTGAGAGGATAATTTCATCACTACTTAGATTAATTTTACTCGAATTAGCTTTCTTTAAAAAGACTACATTATTCTTTCTATATCAAAGTCTCATTGGTTCCAAGTGAAGAAGTAAATGTAAAAGAGCTTTTACTGCGTTTTATTCCCTCATAAACATATACCAGAGAAAGTTCCGGATTTATCTCTGTTTTTGATCAATATAAATATTCCTCATCGATTCCCACATAGTCGGGTTTTGTTTGATTATTGTTTGTATATTTCGGAAAATATGAAAGGAAATTAAACCCTAAAAAACGTATGGTCTTTACAATCATTTAGTTTGAGAAATTAATAATTGTGAAGTGAAGTAGCAAACAAAACTGTTGAGGTTGTCACTAAATTGTTGACCCATTGCATGGATTGTCTTTCACACTTCTCAAATTTTAAAAGCCAGCTTCGTTCGCGACAAAAAGAGTTAATTAAATTTCAAATTGATTCTCGGTGAAGTTAGAACAGTGAGTCTTAATTTTCATTTAGTATAATCAAACGCAAATACTGGCACTTATTTGATTTATTTGTTTAAATTATACCCTTCACGTTTGCGAAAGTTTTAGAGGCCAAAACAACAGCTATTGGGAACAAAAAACAATATATTAAAATTACTCACTTTAATTTGATTTTGTTATTCCCTACTTGCTTACAATTTGCGTCGAATGATACATCTAACTTAGACATACCCTAAACATTAAAATTTATTAGATAAAATTGCTTTCAACTTAATCATAATATGCTGCTTGTTCTTAAAATTTGGGCAAAAGAAAAGGTCCGAGTTTGTCAAAACTCTAAAACGGCAGTCAATTTAAGAGGTCATTGTAAAAAACTTTCTTGGACTCGCGTGGCACTAAAGAAGTGTATACAGACGTAAATGCTATCCTAACACGTCCGCTTAAAGACGCTTGAAGTTTCCGACAATTGTAACCCAGAAATTCAAATAAAACGACACAATTTTGTCTTCCCTACTGTGGCTAAAATAGAAGAGCGTTTCATCAAAGACATGGAGGTAATTTTTTACGACAGCTTAGGGTTTATAAACGCATGCAAGAGATTTCTGTCGACAGGATAATTCGGATGCACTGCCGGGCGAAACCTTTTAAAATATCACCTTTCATGTTTTTACAGTGTATATAGCTTCCAAGTTAAAACAATCGCTTGGTCAGACATATATCTTTATGTAATAAAAATAACTGAAACGAAACTAAATAATACTTAGCAAGCCTCGAATGGGGAAAAAAGAAATATTGCTAAATTTGAATGAAAAACTCTCGGTGTGTAGATTACCAGTAAAAAGTTGTTTTTCAGTGCTCTCGACTTTTGCATTAACAGGGTTTCCTTCTATAAATAGTTATTTTTGGCGAATTAGAAAAAAAGATGGTCCCTCAAGGAAAAGAAAACACAAAACCATGTAATAATTCCAGAGATATTTTAATCGATATCTTTGTGGGGTGAAAAAGAAACGGCACACTTCCGCGGCGTGTTTTGGGTTATCACGTTTTATGTTTGCAAACGGTTAAGTTAAGCCCTCAAAACGATCTCAACTCAGATAGGCTGCGCATACCAGGATTATCATCTTTTTTTCTTTTCAAAGATTTTTGCGTGTGGAAAACTCCTTGTTTCATAGACCTCTTCTGAGGTTTTCAAACAGCCTGTTTTCTACGTCTTCTTTTCGCGTGGCTTTTTGGGGTTTCTTATTTTACTGCTCAAGCTAATTTGGCCGAGAGGAGTCTCTGTGTTTATTTACCCTGGCAAGACATAATAATACATCTTATCTCAGAAGTATATTGTAAACAAAAGTGCTCTTAGCAAAATGAAAATCAAACAAGAATTGATAGCGCTGTTTAACGTATGGTTACAACATCTATCCTATTAATTGTGCTATTGAAATTGTCTTCACGATTTTCCTCCCAATTTCCGCTCATCTCTCTATGACGTTAGGGCTTTTAACTTGACTTTCAATAGCCTTATCTGATATTGCTAAGTAAATGACTCGCGACATCTGTGAATAATTTGAAATAGATTTGGACTGACTCGCCTTATAAAATTTGTTTGCGCTAATTTGACACCAAGGGTAAAATTCTTCATAACGTTGGTGTGGATAGCAATGCACGAGAATACCCAAAAACATGACTTTAAATTCCGTGATTTTGATACAAATAACCAGTGTTGTCTCGGAATCAATTGCTTAAAGCCACTGATAAACGGTGGCGTTTCTTCCTGTTTAAGTTTACCGACCAAAGAGAAAGTTTTTATACTGACTAATTACAAAGAACACCACCTTAATGAGGTAATTATTACATAGGATGTAGCAGAATAAACCTTTTTGATGCTAATGTGTGAATAAATCGCCGGTAGCCTCAGGGAGAGCGGTTGTTATAAGTGGTTACTGACTGTCCAGGTGGGTGGCCCCTGTATACTTTGACTTATTCAAACAACCTTTGCCGACTGAAAACACATCATTCCTTCGTCACCTTTCGTAGAGTAAACCCACTTGGTGTCAGGAGAATTTTCGGTGCAGCATATCATATCGTCAGGATTCCGTGCCAAGTTTAGAAGGTTCGTACTCGTGCCTCGATGGCTTTTCTTTTACAAGAAAATGTTTACAAACACGATAGTGAAAAAACTGTAGAGATTGAACGCTTTGAAGAAACAAGTGGCGAAGAGGAAGATGTTCTCGTAGAAAAACAGCAGGATGAAGAAGATGCAAAACAAGATGAAAGTGGAACCCAACAGAATCAAGCGATTGAAAACAAAAGGCATTCCTCAATGTCAAAGCCGCCTTATTCCTACATCGCCCTCATAACAATGGCGATATTGCAGTCACCACAGAGAAAACTCACTCTCAGTGAGATTTGTGACTTCATCAAACGTCGTTTTCCGTATTACCGTGAGAAGTTTCCATCTTGGCAGAACTCGATCAGACATAACCTCTCGCTCAACGATTGCTTCATGAAGATGCCTCGAGAACCGGGGAATCCAGGTAAAGGAAATTATTGGACACTAGATCCCGCCAGCGAGGGTATGTTTGACAACGGCAGTTTTCTGAGACGAAGAAAGAGATTCAAGCGCCCTCGGCCTCCGGAGGGAACTGTGAGTGCCTTTGGTTTTCCATACTATTGGAACTGCATGGATTCATCAGGATGGAGACCACCACTGTATACCCATTTCCCTATTCCCAGTTATTTGTCTTGTTTGCCGCCACCTTTGCCCAGACCAAGTGAACCTGTTCGAGAGAGAGAAAGGCCCGTTAAGTTTTCTATTGCGAGTATCATCGGCTCGGACCGTGACGAGGAATGTTCACCACCGCCCAGCAAAAGAAGTCCTCCTTTGCCGCCATGTTGCTCTTCCGTGCGCTCGCCCTACAATAGCACTGCTGTAAGACCGTGTATTGTTTCCTCGAGTTCTTATTGTGCGTACTGTAGTCAACTGGCTGCTAAACGGTAGCAGTTAACAGAGGACACTGAGCGGAAAGTATGTGCTATGGTATTTGTACAGAGACGTTTCTTCCATTGGCGGTGTTACGACCAAATTTTGAATAGAATTCTTCAAAAAATTAGAATTAATTTTTAAAGTAATTTTAGTCATATAAAAAAATTCTGATCCCTCACTGAAATGTAGTATATCTGCTGTATGTGTACGTGTGTATATGTGCATGGTCTTACCTACTAGTCTAGCAGGGGACGTTTACGTGGTTATGTTAGTCTTTGTGTAACTTAGTTACTCAAAGGGTGAATTCTAAGCACTTATGTATATGCTAGGATCCTTTACAATATTCACTTTATTAAAAATTTCCGATTTTGTCTAATAGTCTAATAGGAAGGCAACTGAAAGAGTATTCACTGATAATAGGGAAAAAAGTGGTTAAGTAATAAACGTGCGGGTATAAGAGACCTAATATTACCAAAGCAGATTTGTTGTTCTGTAATAGTTGCTAGAAAAATATTGAAACTCTGTTTAACGAATTGTTAGATTCTTTCTCATTTGAGTTTCCTCGTCTAGTAGCTATCGTATACTTTTTACTGGTAAAGAACATTCAATATACACGGTATTAATCTGAACTGTCTGTATGCAGCCAAAATTTAGTGAGTTATGTAAATAGTAATGGGTTGATTGCCAAACAATATGGTCAGAAAAATCTCTCAATAAGCCAGGGTTCTTGAAAATAAATTGCAATATGAACCGGAGGAAGTTGTCCTTTATTCTCAGTACCGAAGAAATTATTTTCCACCACGAAGCATTTCACAAGCCCCAACTAATAAGCTTCTTAAATTATTTCAGTGTATTTGTTATTTTTCCTCTGTGGGCAAGTGTTTGTAATAAAAATGTATCTTTATAATGCGACCAAAACCTGCCGGCACTACAGATGTTTTCCAAACCTTAAGTTTAGCCATTTATCGTTTGACGAAGATGAAAAGTAAACAAAAAAAGACTCATTAAGCAATCAGCGTTATCTGTCAGCTTTACGCGAGTAACCAATTCTTGTTGCAATTGCTCAAAAGCTTCCGAAAAAAAAAATGAAAGTTCGCAAAGAGACAATTACACACTTATTTACTCATCAATGCGCATCACGTTCGATACACCCGATATTTGTTAAGGATAAATGTTAAGGATATTAACAAAAGAGGATATTCAAAATTAGTAATTACGGTTTGGGTTGCGAAAAACAAAACAAACTTCTTTAGCAATGAACCAAGCCGACTTGAGTGGGACGTTTATTTCTGTTTAAATGGCTTTAACTTTCATACAACGTTTCTCAATTCAGGAAGTCTGAATGACCCGCCACACATTTACTGTATTCCACAAAGCCATCAGCTGTACACCTAAACACAATGCGTAAGCGAAGCGAATATAAAAGACAGACTGTACATAAAAGATGGCTCTCTTCTACTTTACGCACCGGCACCCGAACACATCTCGAAAAATGAAGAGTCAACGCGCTTGCAGGCGGCCATTTTCCTGTGGATGAAATCCCAGTTGCATTGCGTAAATAAATGATTCATGTACGTATGGTTAAAGTATTTATTTAAAGATACTTTTCCATCATTTTCTTGTCTTTATTCCTATTACTATAGGCAGTAGAATTATTGAGAAGGGGAAATATAAGGATGATCTTTGCGTAATAGTTTGGAGATCAAGCAATTGCTTTGTTGACTCCTGCCGAACATAGATATTTTATCCGGTTCCTTAGTTGGTTTAGTTGAAGAACCATACGGGCGTAATAAAGACTAATTTTTTCTATCGTTTTTTGTTCTTTCAAGAAGGCATTCGAACAAATGGTCTTGTATTACCCAATATTATTATTGCAGATCATGGAGTTTAATCGTCAAACCTCAGAATGTTTAGGTTTTAAGTGTTGCTTTTCAATGGGTGTTGTACATTTCGGTTACCAAAACTGCTTAATGCCTAAATATTACCAAAAGATTGCACAAACAATGCACATTAAGAATTCTACATATCACGTCTCATAGACAAAAGGTATTTTCCTTTTTCTTTTCTTCTTTATCTGAATGTTAACAATTGCAAAACTCGTAACATGCACTGTCATTGCATTGTAAATCGACTGTTTCTGATTTCCATTTTGTTCAAGTGCAAAATTTACTATGACTAAGTTCCTGGAAACATTATAATTGATATAATAACTTAATATTTTTATTTCTTACAGCAAAGTTCACTGAGGTTGTAGTCCTTTGTTGTCAATTCTATACCACATACTGTTTGCTTTTTTTCCCTGTACTTAACGAATCAAACGCCAAACAAAATGACATATCCTTTTTTGCTACGAACCAATACATTTTTCTTATATGCGAGTTTGTGCTGGGTTGCATGATGCTTGCTGTTATCGCGTTTACGGCGTTTCTCTTACACTTGATGGTCGATAAATGCCAAACTGAAATCATGTTTTAAACAATTACTCACCTTTTATCACAGAATTACTTTTTAAAACTCAAATAACATTATATATCTCAAGTCCTTTTTGAAATAGACTTTTCTCTTATAGGCGTATACGTTTTATTTCGGAAAAAAAAACTACACAGAGAAAACAGTGTATCTCAGCCTAGTCCAGACCCCCAAGTTGGGACTAATTTATTTACTTTAAAAACTATCACTGTTAGCTGTTGTTTTGTAAAATGCAAAATGTAAATATTAGCGAAAGAACACAAGTGCTCTAAATGTAATTTCCCACGATAATAATAAATTTCTCAGTTTTCCTATAAAAACTTATAAGACTTTTAGACCGACTTTTTTCTTTCTGTGTTATATTATTTAGCAAAATTAAGGGAACGGATATATCCCCTCTATTTCTTAAATATCAACGAGCTTTTGGTTGAGTTAAAAACAGCCTTCTAAAAATTAAATATGCACCAAAACATTATTTAAAGGAAACGAAAAGAAATGATAAAATATTGATAATATCGCTTAACTTAAAACAATTAGGACAAAGGAGTTCTAGGGACTCCAACATCTGTTTATCTTTACTACACTTTTGTGTACTCAATAGCAGTTTTTCTGTTTGCATTTAGTTTATTTATTAATAAAAATTACTATCATATATTAAACTACAGTACATTTTCAAAAGCACTGAAATGTATCAGACTGCTCCATTCACATAGAACACCGCATGAAGTATTAATTACTCATTTATTCTGTTTTGTTTTAGAACCTATTTTCTTTCGCATTTTTAAGTTCACGAATGTTCATATTTTGAGCAGCCTTTAGCTTCCCAAGAACGATTATATTTTCCGATAGAGATGTTTTCTTGACGTCAAACAAAGAGTTAACTTATTTAAATCTGTAAACCTTTGCTTAAACTGTACACACAAAAATTTAAATGCAACCGTTTTCATAACACATTTAATGATTTTTGAATAAAATCACAAATTATTCTTGCTGTGTTTAAGTAAATATTTGATATTTATTTAAATGCATTAAGGACACCTGTAAATGACGAAATAAATTTCTAGCAGCAGCCTGCAAAGCTAAAAGACTTTTATTTGGATTACAATTGATTGAAACTTTAAAATTTATAGTTATTTTTACGAATACTCATTTAGCTTTCATTGTTATTGTTATTTCCTTTTACTGGCACCGTCATCAGAATCAGTATATACATGTGTTGCCTCATTTTAATTTAAGTATTTCTTTTGCACCCAGTATATTATAACTCGTTCTTGTCTGTACTCTTGAGTTGTTGCGTTATAGCGAGATTTTTAGCCTTAATTAAGTAAACTCTTCTTGAAAACTAATTCTCTCTGAGTAATTCCAGACTCGAATTTGATCTAGAACATACAATCATATCCCTGTCAGTTTTGTTTAGGCTGTCAAAACACTGCCTGGTTCGTAAATCAAACTGTCACCCTGATGTTGTGTTATTCAAACAGTGTATTAAGAAAACTGAAGGCAAAACGGCATGTCAGACTGCTATTGAAGATTTCAGTTTCAGTTAAAAGGAGGCCCATGGGGAGATTTCTTGAACTGAATGTTAGTTACACAAGAAAATTCTAATATTCAGGTTATTTAGCAATAATTGCAGATAATTAATAACACAGAGCATTTAGAAAGGTCATTCTGTTCGGGAAATTGTACATTAATATTACCGAACCTTCAGTGATTCTATGGACACTTGGCTTCAATGCGTTTGTTCTCATTTGAACACTGCCGTCCAGAATATAGTATTTTTCCAGAGGGTTTGGTCATAACATTACTTGTTTTGTTCATTAAGACGTTTTTAATGAACACGATCACACACATTCAATATGCTGAAGGAAAAAGTTTTCTCATGGATTTCATGACTGTGAAATTAGTGTCGGTAAATTTTACTTCACACTTACTGTTTTTTTCATTAAGAAAAATTAACGTCCATTGTACGTCGAGTCGTTGGTAAGTTTAAAAGGAAATGAACCTCTCGTCTTTTAAACAGCTTATTATTCAACCAGTTTTCTCAGTTATGGACTGTACGAGCTCGTTAAAGTGTTTGCTTACACCTTACAAACCTACAGCAGAGTTGACCATGAAACGGGCTTCAGATAAGTTAACGATGAAGGCCATCAAAAGAACGAAAAATACCTACGAAAAACCTTATGAAAAAGGAAGAGACAAAGCTGATAGAAAGAGGGGGAAACCGCCGTATTCTTATATTTCCTTGATAGTTCTGGCCATTTTGGAGTCGCCTAATCGACGCCAAACGTTACGCGGCATTATCGAGTATATCCAAAAACGGTTTGCATATTATGGTGTCAATTGTCCCGCAAAAGGATGGAAAAACTCGATCCGTCACAACCTTTCATTAAACGACTGTTTTGAGAAGACCTACCGAGATCCAAACAACCCCAGTAACGGACATTATTGGTGTCTTCATCCTCGCAGCGCGCACATGTTTGAAGGAGGCAGTTTTATGAGAAGAAAGAAGCGTTTCAGAAAGGACTCCGATAGATTGAAAGAAAGTGTTCCTACACCACATTGTGACGCACCCAATACCTTGACTTATGATTTCAATTTGACGCCGTTTCGTGACGTCAGCGTGACGTCATTTCAAAGCCTCAGTATGACGTCATCAGAGAGAAAAGAAGGAAGCAAATGCAACGTTCTACCTGCTCACCAAGCTGCATACCAAGCACCACCATGGTGGATTCCTGCGGAAAGCCTCAAAGAAGAGGACTTGTCGTTCAAGGATAGTTTGAGCAACGTGTTGCTTCCCCCAACTTCCAACAACTCCATCTGCCTCGTTTGCGCTGGGTGTACGTGTTGTTATTGATTTTTTTCCAATACCGCCGTCTAGATCGGTTTTAATACAAGCCGGACCTTTTATTTACGAGGAACTTTATGGCTTAAAACTGAGATCCCAAAGAATTTTTTCTTCTCCCTCGCAATTCCATTTACATTGTAAATCTAAATATGTAAACTGGATGAAAATAAACAAACAAAGAAAATGAGCATGAACAAATTACTGGAGTTTGTCTTGTGACTATTTTCTAGTTTTGCCTTAAACGAAAGGAGAAGCAGTTGAAAGCTCTTGTGTGAAGCAAATGCAGAGAGAGTTGTAAACCAAGGATTGACTTTTCAGCTACCATCGGTACTGCGTTACAACAATGAAAAAAAGTGCACCCATTGTCTACTGAGACAGAAAGAGCTATTAGCTACCACATTAAATAGAAAAAAGGGCCTCTAGCTGACCCCAGCTGTACTTATCCATGCCCAGGTGGACGAAGTAACGACTGTCTTTGAATATTTTATTGTATTCCATCTCAGCTCCGTTTTTGCCTCGTCACGTTTCATATCATGTTTTTGTAACGTTTTTTGTACAGTTTGTTGTGAAATCCATAAAATGAGTTCCATTGATAAAATTTACTACGAAGCTGTGCAGGAATTACTTCCAGCTTATTGTGTCAAAGCTTTATTTACATAAGGGGGTTCCCGGTTTGGAGACGAAATGCAACTCATGAAGTCAAATATGGGACCTCTTGATCAGTTTTTATTCTCTTTTTTAGTAGTGTTTGCAGGTAGCCATTATTCTATCCGCTTTGTAAAGAATGGATTGTTAAATTGACACTTCTACGAGACTGATAGTTTTAAAATCAGACCTATTTGGCTGGAAAAAGGCTTAGAAATATCTCCGTAATATCTCGGTAGTTTCGTTTTCTTCTATGAAAGTCTTAAATTAAACTATTTCTACATTTTCTTGTAAGATGGATGGCGTATCATTTTTCCTAGCCTGCAAACCCAGGCCTGTAGCAGGCATAACATATGACTGAAGGGGGGGGGGGGGGTGGTTGGGCGGAGGCCCCACTTCTACCCACGCCCCCCCCCGCCCCCCCCCCCCCCCCCCACATGTGCGTAATCCAAACTCTGTTGCTCTCTGCTATACTCATAATGTCCTGTCTCATCATTTTTTATCTTTATCTTATTCCTTCGTTTTTTTTTTATCATAGTTGTTTACAATTAATTGTTATTGTCTTCTCTTGGGAAGGAGGGGGTATTTTCTTTTTTTCCAGGCGCTCACCCAGGCCGCAAAAGCGAGATCACATTGCACGGGGGGGGGGGGGGGGGGCGGAGCTGAACGGCAGACCCCCATTAACCCCCCTCCCCCCCTCCCCCCCCCCCCGCTTCGGTCCCCTTGTTATAGCATACTTCGTGGTACATGTCGGATCACTACATTTGTCTACAATACCTTTTGTTCTTGTCTCCAATTTTCCGTTTGTGTTGACTTTGACGAAATGGAGAACTTGTTTGGGATATCGTTCACGGAAAATTTGCCAAACAACTGCTTTCGGTTTTCTTTCTCCCCGACGAAGTCATTAGCTACGTCTACAAGGGTCAGAGTATCTGTTCTGTCCTTGTGAACATGCAACATCATGAGGTGGTTCAGGTGGGATTGTCATTGGTGCATTTCGATCCATTTTGCTTCTGAATATTTTGATGCTTAATAAGCAGATTTTAAAGCTGTTGGTTCTTTTTGGCAGAGCAAAAATACGATTTCGTTCATTTACACAATTCCAAATTGCACAGAAGAACAACAGTACATAATCTTACTATGATCGACAATACTTTGAAACTTTAGCTTCCATTGACAGCTGTCCATTTCAGTAGAAAAATTCCACTTTTGTAGCAGAATTTAACTCAATTCTGAAAATTTCTAAGGGTGGGGGGGGGGGAGCCTCAAGCCCCCCTGCCCCTCCCCCTGCTTCGGGCCTGAAACCTCAGACGTATTTCCGATCGTCGCTTCTCTCCCTCCAGAAGCTAAAGCCAAAAATACCGGATGCTCTCGCAGGCTACATTTTTCCTGGACTCGGGCAAAGTTTATCGGCAGTTTAGAATTACACACTCGATATTTGTTGAATTTAAACGGTAAAAATGAGAACGTAAGTTGACACAGTTTCCTTCAAAACTGGAGTAACCACAATCAAAAGTTTGAATTCACTCCTTTTTCAATTTTCTCTTTATCCTTCTCCCCTCTATACGAGAATTTGCTTTTGGCGAAGCCGGACGCTTTCTTAAAGTGACGATAGACGTGAATGAATAAGCAGCTCGGAGCAAGAACGCCGATTTGGTCCGAATCCGGGGAGTGTTTGTCGAGCTTTGTCACAGTTAATAGAACAAAGAACTGTGCGTCCAATGTCTAAGATCTGTTTGAAATTTCAATTAACAAAAATATTTTAACATAACGTCTAAGAACCGGGGCGGGAAATATCCCACTTTTGTTCCTGTCTGATCTTTGCTAACAAATTAGGTAGCTAGTATGACGTAAATGAGCAACCAACTGAAAAAGTTTTGGTAGAAGCCCGGGGGTAGAAGCAAATTTGCCAGTTGCTTCCTGTGGATTTTTTTTTCTAGAAGCTTCGCCAAGGGCTGGTTTAATTCTCAACGTATTTCCTTAATGATCCTTTCACCTTCCAGTATATAAGTGTCCAGTTCAATTTATACACATGTACAATGTGAATAAGTACAAGAAAGATTGATAGTTTAGTGCGTATTCGGCGATTATTCATTGTGGATACTCTCTCCTCCGGAGTGGCCTTGTGTCAGTTCATGCAGTTCAGCTGTCGATTCAGAAATATCGATGTCCACTGTCTTTATTTTATTTAGAATATAAATAAATAAATAAATAATAAATAAATAAATAATTGGCATGCTTTATCTAACTACTGTTTAAGTACAAAGACGTCTCCATCATTTTTGATAAGCTTACATAAACGCATATAATTCGATTATTCGTTTCGTTGCCACTGCTAATTAGTACCATTGGAGTTAATTTATCTCGGTAAACAATGATTTACATATTTGACATTGTATTCGGTAACAGTGATGATAAGGCAATAAGGAAGGTTATTTATATCCACGAATCTAATCCAGACCTTGAGTAATACTATTGTAGTCTTCTTAAGCTTAGTTTGTTTGCGTGTGAAATGTCGGCTCTAAAAACATCTCCAATATAAATGGAGATGTACCTTAAATGAGAAAATCATTTCAGTTTTTTAATTGAAAATATATAGTCTAGCACTGTCCTCACTGAGCCATCAAACTCTGTTTCTCAATGTTCATTTCCTCATGACGTGAGTTCCTAAAAAGACCGAGTCGGGTATTACCCGACACTCACTGCCCTCAAAAGGAGGGAGGAATTCGATTTCCCTTTAGTAGCATCATGCTGGACGGCTGAGCTTTCCTCGGCTCGCCCAATTTAATTTTTATACGAGGTCTTACAACCTGTTGATATGGCTTCAGATGAATACGGTTAGCAAACTAAGTAATTTGTTATAATTTATGTTGTGCAATCGTATTTGTTAGGGCGATGCTTTTGCATTCTGTGAACATGTTTGTTGGTCAGGAAACGTGAAGTACTTTGTTTGCAATCGAAGTGGTCTAATTGAGTCGTTTCTTTAAATATAGGGCCCAAACGTTCGAAAGAGAAACCTCACCAGATTCTTTTCGGTTCAGCAACTATTACTTTCGTGTTATTTTTAAACAGTTGCTAAAATAGATTGTCTCACATTATTCCGAACAACATAGTCAAGAGAACAAAGCAGATTTATTTAAATCATTGTTAAATTGTTGAAGCTCTGTAGTGTACGGATACTTAACTAGTTCCTGTTTATTGGTATCCATGCAGAGCATCTTCCATTGCATTGTGGTTCTTTAATTGAGATTTTCTCTCCGGCTGTCTTTAAACCTTTAGTTGCTGCTACAACATGTCTTTACCATTAAAAACGAAAGTTTGACAATGCAAAATTACAAATCATTATTGGATAGGGATAAAATCCGGGGTCAGTAATGACGTATGGCTTCTTTGTTGAGGCAAGACCTTTGCCAAACTTAAATAACTAAGACTTGACGTAATATTTCTTGCTTCTATTTTTTTTATTATATGATCCAGGCCCGCTGTAATTGGCCACAGCTGTTGCGGTGTGTTTGTATATTTGTTGGTTTGTTGTTGTTGTTTTTTTTTGGCGAAGCTAATAAAGTAAAATAAAAATAAAATAATTAACTATTCTAACTCCAGTCACTACTGCTTTTCACTTTCGTAAAGAATCAATATATTTACACAGTATATGTAACGTAAATTATCTGATTGACGCCCCTACTCAATTAAGCACCTCTTGTCTAATATTAATTAAAACGCTTTTAAGTTTGTATTAGACGCCCCTCTTTAATAAACGCCTTAATCCTCCGACTGAAAGAAGTAGAACCCAGTACCCAAACGCTTTCAATTGATTGTTTTACAAAGTGTAACGACTCTTTGCCAGTATTTATTATTTATTTATTTCATTTTTGACACATTTTAATCCCAGGGGGGCCATGGCTTTCGCTAAAATAAGGGCCGCACGCCCTATCAAATTGAAAAATAATTAATTTAATACGCGGAAACAATACTGACAACGAATAAGGTACACGTATTTGCGAGATATCAGACTCCTTTACGTTTATTAATACTGCAATTTCTTGTCGCGTGTTAATCCAAACCACCCTATATTATCATCCTTAATAGCTTTACTTGTCTTACTTGCACTGAGCGCAAAAAACCTTGGCCCCTTTTGTTTTGGTTATCTGATGTTGTCATTAATAGCTAATTTGTTATTGTTTTTGTTACTCTTCTTTAAAGGTTCGACTGACACACTGACTTCAACAACTTCCTCGGAGGCCTCTGGTGAGTACAATCTCGTTCGCCTTATCCAACCGTACTAAATGGCACAATTTATACTCTTACAAAGTGCGGCTTATCAGAGCCCAACGCGCTTTTCAACGGTAAAGATTTTCAACACAACAACTTTGTTCAAGAATGCGGCGCTTTTTCTGAACTTCTAAGAACGGTTATTAAATAGGACTGCTCAATTGAGCATAATACTAATAAAAATTTAGGAACAGGAAGCAATCAACAAAAGAATGAGTGGAAATGTGTTTATACCGGTCAGGACCTCTCGCCGCGGTTGTCAGGTGCTTTAACCACTTTTCTTTGTGCCGGTCTTGTCATTGCAAGGCCTGAATCGTTGGCGTAGCTTCAGGAGGTCTGACCCAGTAATCATGTCGTTGAACAGATTAAATTATTAATTATTATATAGTACATATTTAAAATCCACTGGAGTGAAAATGTTCCCAAATATTGTTGAAAATTTTGTTTTCTATTCTGCTGTAGAGAATTATCAACCCAAGACTAAGGTGGTCAGGCGGAAAAAGGTCATCAATAATCTTACTGTTTCTAACGTCAGCGGCTGTTTTGCTTATGGTTCTCGTTCAGCAAAAATTCAATTTCCTGGAGGTGAAAACAGTGCTAACGCAACATCGCCGCAGACAGAAACTTTAACCGGTGTAGGAGATGCAGAGTATGACAGAGAGCAGCAAGAAACAGAGTATGAGAGAGAGCAAATCCATGGGTCCTACTGCGTCTATAGGCGCCATTCGGAGCCTTTGTATCAGGATGAAAAGGAACCGTGGAAAGCTCGAGCCGGGAAAGGCATCGTCACTAACAAAAGTAATTTGACATATTTTGCATTTTATTATATAGACACGAGTGTTTTACTGGAGAATATACCACTCGTAAAATTCATAAAAACTACATCCGGGACCCAGATCCATAATCTCACACGTGAGATTATCGATGACGTAGTTTCGGTAATTTCCCTCTATTATTTTGTCGATCTCTTTTTGTCTTTATAATAAAAAAAACATTACACGGCGGCTTGAAGATATGAATTTTATTTTCTCGTGGCAAAAACAATATTTTACTCACTCGCTGCGCTCGTTCGTAAAATATTGTTTTGCCACTCGAAAATGTAATGTATTTTCCAGCGTATAATCACGGTGTAAAGGCAAAGCTTATACTCTGGAAACCTGCCGTGAAAAAAAAATGTTCCTATTACAGCCCCTCTTCAATGCCCCGCTAGCGACAAAACCGTCCAGTCATAGCCGGGTTTCTTAGTTTATTACTTAGTTAATGGATAATGATTCCCTTGTTTTTTAATGACCACCTTTTGGAGTCCCAGTTGTTATCTTCTACGCAATTTTATATCGTTGATAACATCAGAGAATAAGGCCTTGTGAGGTTAAGTGAAGAATCATTTAACCTGGTAACAGTAAGCTTTTCACTTAACGCCTTCCACAAGTACATAAGTGCGCGGTCAATCAATTCATGTGCTTGATATCAGACGTATTATGAATGGTGAAAATTAAATCATCAGTCGAAAAAGCTTTAACTCAAATTTTAAAGCGAGCTGATTTTACTGCCATTATTTCTTCAGAATTTCTACAGCTGATCATTATTTATGAATGACAATATACTAACATGGCCTAGAATCCATAAGGCTACTTCTTAAATCATTATCCTCTTTCTCTCTTCTTCTAGTTCACCTGTTGTTTTTACACTTTGTGTCTGTTCCTATTTTTCGATTATACGTTTAACCATAGTTATTAGAGGAGACTGGTTATGAAAAGCGGCAAACATCAATGATAAAAACAACAGTGCTACAGTTTATGTTGGAAGCACCCTGAAAGTGCACAATCCTTTGTTTTCTGTTGGCCAATTGTTACGGAATAAATTAATGCAACGTTTTTATTGGTCAATACAATCAAAATGATAGGAATTCTTTTGAACGTTGTGCACTTTCAGGTCCACAAAAACATATAACAAAGGAGTCTGACGGGTTTCATAACCATTCCACTCAATTAACTATGGTTTAACATAACGTGGATGTGTATCATTCTCACAGGAGACGAGGAATTCGAGTGGTCAAAGGAATCGTTCTTTCAAGATCTAGATCTGTTCATCCAAGAGATGGACAAGACTGGTGACATTGTCATGAAACAAAGGGAAAGCTTTATTCTGCAAGTCATTCTTCCGCATCTTGAAAAATCCTGGGATAAAAGTGTTTCCAGTAAAGGAGAAGTTTACAAGAATCTGGCAAAGATTAGCCGCAGCGCAAACAGCGGGATTGTCGTTAGAAACTGCCTAGATCTCCTCCTTCACCTGATCTGCAGAGACAATTTTGATAGGGGCGCAGAAAGCTTGTTGATTGTAGAAAAAGTAATGAGGTTTTCGATTTTCTCACAAAACGGGATGTTTAAAAACGACGAACATGGGGAACAAAACCTCAAACTTTTCGTGTATAGCCGTATTTTGTCCTTGCTTTTGTTGCACCAAGAAAGGGCAGTTACCTTGCCAATCGATGATCTGAAAAACGTTCAAGAGGTTATAAAGCAACGGCGCAAAGAGGTTAAAAAGAAGGATAAATTTCGCTACTCATTGGAAATAATTATTGATACAATTTCGTATCTCTTAAAACAACACGACAATACAATAACAGGTACAATAGTAAGGGGCTTTGAAGAATGCCAACAATTCTGTAAAAGTTCAAACATGGAAGCAAGGAATTTGCAGATCCTTCAAACACTTGGACGTGGCGTGGACCTGCACTACATCTTAATTCATCTCTATGGAAAGGTTTGTGAGTTATTTTATATAAAGTAAGTCGAGAAAAAACTTAAACTTCAATAAAACCTGAATAGAGTAACTTCACTCTTTCTTGCAAGATGCAAGAAACTAGAAGTGCTTTCGGCTACGTTTCTAGTATGTTAGTTTTGAAAACGTACGTTTAGTCAAGCTTTCCAAGCTTTCTGCGTGCACTGATCCATTATTCTATATTTGCAAGCCCAGCGTCAATTAGACCACAAAAAAATGGCCCTTACATAGTACGGTCTATTTCTTTTAGGTGCACAGCGAGCGTCCTGTCCCACAATTGGAGACCGAAAGACTAGCTATGAAGCTCATAAGATTGATTGTTGAAGCTTACTTTAACAGAGATGGTGGAGCCCAAGAGCGGTGGAAGTTTTGCTTGCTAGCGTCGTCAATCCTTGCAGATATCACCCAAAACAACGTTACGAAAGGTAAACTCTTGACATTAAAGTTGTTTACTGCAGATGAATATTTATGAAGGAATTTTGTGTGCGAATCTCGTCATACGAATTTCCAAACAATATTTGTTTGACATTTTATCAAGTTACTGTGAATGTTATCATCTCAGCCAATATATCAGGATTCAATTGAACGGTTACAGAAACTGCTCACTTGTCCGGTTTTAAATAAACTTTTTCTTAATCACGATGTCTCGAGTTAAGAACGGGGGGCGGGGGGGAGGAATAGGCACGAATCAACGAGGAAATGTACTGACTAGTATCAATCCTTCTTTGCGAGCAACGATACTAGAATGTAAGAAGCTCAATAATTTTTGTTTTTGTCGTTGTTTTGTTATTTTATGTTTGGGAAGAATTAAGAACAGAAGCTGGTGGCTGTCTAGCAAACATCCTTAGGAATGAAAAAGTGCAGAAAAGACCTGAATGCAGATTGTTAGTGGAGCAGATGTGTTCAGAGGTCCTTTTCTGCCCTGACAACGAAACTAGAACGTTTCTGCTTCACTTTTCCAACAAGAACAAAAATTTAGAGGACTCTCTTCCGGCAGACCAGCAGACCAAACAGTTATGCTTGGCTTATAGAACGCAGAGGTTGGAGATAAACGCAACTACTATCAGCAAAAAAACGGATTCTTTTGTCAACCATGGCGAGTTCCAGGGAAAAAAGGTACGGACTTAAGATAATGCCTAGTACATACTACGAAGTAGTCACCTTCATCATCTTCATTTGCAAATCAATTCATGTTGACGAATAAAAGATCCACCTGGTCCGGACAAATAGGTCGATGTGCCAGTCATTACTTACACCGTAATTTTTAGGGAGTTATTATAACTCCAAAAATGGAGTAAAAATTTTAGGTACAGGATAACCCCTTTTTTGGGGTTATTTTAACTCCTAATTTAACTCCGAATTTGGGGTCATTTTTACTCCTGAAAAAGAGTTCTTTTTACTCCCACTCTGGAGTTAAAATTACTCCGAAATGGGGTTATTTGTACTCCTTACATGGGTTGTTTTTACTCTTTTTGGAGTTAATTTAACTCTGAAAGTGGAGTAAAAATTTTAGGTACAGGATAACTCCGTTTTTGGGGTTATTTTAACTCCTCAATATCTGGGGTCACTTTTACTCCTGAAAAAGAGTTCTTTAAACTCCTTTTTGGAGTTAAAGTAACTCCACGAAAAATAACTCCACTGTAAGGAGTTAAATTAGCCCCACTAGAGGAGTTATTATAACTCCCTGAAAATTACAGTGTATCTGTGTATATTGTATATAGAAAATCTATTGGGATATTGCAAGACAAGCTAAAAAAGACGTGTAACTCATCATGAAATAAACATGTGTCGCAAAACTTTAAGATCGTTGGAAAAAGTAAAACTTGCGTGCTACATTGTGCAAGGCTTTCCGTGTGACACGTTGTTGGGAGGCATTCTTACTTCATGGTGTGCAGCTGCCATGGCGAAAAATCTGCGAGAGAACGCCGATTTGCCGAACGAAGCAATGCTTAATGTACCCGAATAAACGCTTATGGTTAATCTCAGCCGTTCAAGTTTAAAGTACCCGGACTGGTCCATAGGGATTTTGCAATTTTTTAAGTATATTATATTTTGCTGTAGGTAGCCATCAAAGTCCTGAATGTAAAAAAGAAGCATCTTTTGGAAGATAATCCTGAATTTAAGGCCAGAGAGCGACTTATCCAAGAAGCCTACAACATGAGGCGACTAAATGCATCTAAGCACTCAAACTTCCCTGTTCTACTTGCCTACGACACTCAAAGTTTGCCCTACCATGTAATCACCGAATTTGAAAGATTTGGAAACCTGTTGAAGTTTGTTCAAAACTCTAGGGAAGACCACCGATTAACGCTTCGATCAAACCAGCTTCTTTTGATGCTGAAGGACATAACGGATGCCTTATTACACTTGGAAAAATTGGGATTGGTACATCGCGCCATCATGGCTGAAAATGTTCTCGTTGGGGACAACTATGTCTGCAAATTAAGTGGTCTGCATGCCATGGAAGAGCTTACTGGCTTAGGTAAACTTAACGAACTTTGAAAATTAACTGTTTTGTCCAACGAGTAACTAATTGTTTAGACAGAAAATACTCGCATACTCGGTTATATTTATAACTTGAAAAAACTTTATAACGAGCAGGACTCTTCTAAAGTGATTTTTGCTGCCAAACCTTATTCCTGTTCCATCAACAGTGACCAAACTTTTATCTGTTAACTCTTCATAGATACTTTTGACGGTTATTGCTCGGCTGATCTTCCGGACTTTGTAAACTTATCCAACGACGACGATCTCCCAATTAGGTGGAAAGCACCTGAATGCTTAACTGATGGTCGCTACTCCACCGCCTCTGATGTTTGGGCCTTCGGAGTGCTTACGTACGAGGTGCTAACATTTGGGTGCACCCCATTCAGAAACTTATCAACAGATGAGGACGTTCGTAATCGCGTGAGTCTGTTACATATAGACTTAAAATTTCTATATCTCTTAATTGCTCATGTTGGCGGGAAAAAAACTGGCCAAATGAAATCGTCGAAGTATTGTCAAGAGATAGTAACTGCTCATATTTGATGCCCGAATTTTGCCTTAAGTTACACTGATTTCATTACTCTGGGGAGACTCTCAAGTTAGTTCCAGGCGTCTTGAATTTAAGGAGATCGCCGCCTTACATCTACTCAATTTGTACGATCATCTGACTATTTAGTGTAACGAACATTTTTTTTCAAAAGTAAGACTGTAGTAGATGCGACCAGCTATGAATGGACGCATTAACGGGATGGCAGTGTACCTTGTTTTGGAAAGGGATACGAAACAATAGAAACGTTCACGTGATGTGTTGCTTTAAGGGAGTAATCTTCAGTTGTTTTTCTTATAAGGTTGTTGAGTTTCAAGAAATCGTGCAAAAAGAAGAGTGTTTCCAAGATAAAGAATTTGAGCTGATAAAAAAGTGTTGTGAATGGCAGATGATCAAGCGTCTCAATTTATCTGACGTGAGAGAAAGGCTCGAGGAAATGAACCATCTTTATACTGGTACAATACGTGCTCTGTTCTGTTTTTATATAATATATATGTATATATATTTATATTTGTATTTGCTTTTTGTTTTTTGTTTCAGGAGCCTATATTCATTTGTGTTTGTTTCTGCTCTTCTTTCAATGCTATTAGTCTGATTTAAACCACCCAGAAATAAAGGAATATCTCGCTATGTTGGTTTATTCGGCCCAAGCTGTCAGTAACGAAGCTTCATATTTTGTTAAATGTTTTAGGGCGAAGATAAATTGAAAAACTTTCAGGACGCATCTTAATCTTAATTATTATGATGTTATTAGTAGTAGTAGCAGTAGCAATAGCAGTAGCAGTAGCAGTAGGAGTAGCAGTAGGAGGAGTAGGAGGAGTAGTAGCAGTAGCAGTGGCAGTAGCAGCAGCAGCAGCAGTAGTAGTAGTAGTAGTATTGCTCCCTGGTCTAAATCTCCTACACTTTCCTTGCTGACCCCAAAAGGGCACTTATTATTATTATTATTATTATTATTATTATTATTATTACTATTATTATTATTATTATTATTATTATTATTATTATTAGTCATGGGATGAACAGAGAGAGTTAAAAAAGTCAAAAGAGTCAAAAACACCTTTCTCACACAGGCGTTTCTATTGTCGAATTAACCCTTTGCCACTAATATGCTGTCTCTTAGGAAATAGTGAGCCAAGGTCAGATCTACCGCCCCTAGGAATACAGCAAATTGTGCGTGAAAGCTCCGTGAGTAATTTACTTCCTTATCCATCCTTTACGTGATTTAAAAGGGCATCTGTTTTTTTTCCTGTGTTCTTTTCAGTTAGGCTCCAAGTTAATTAGTGTAACTGTTATTGTGTCATACCCTTGACAAAGATAGTCTTGGTTGATTGATTGACTTAGTGAGCACTATATATGTGACTGACTAACATTTCCATTAATCTTTATTTTCCCCTCATTATCTCTACTGGAAAAGGATTCTGACTACGAGGAAATATACGATTCCATAACCGGTAAGCTTCCGATTGATGGTACTTGTCTTACACGAATTAATCATGTTTGAGCTAACGCTTTTTCCTTAATCAAGATAGAAACTCGGCTTTTCTGCACTTGCAATGTTAAACGTGAAAGTCAGGCAGGGTTTTTATGTATGATGCGTTCTTCCACTAGCTATTTTCTCACGTTATTTCTCGCCAAAAACTCGATTGCTACTTGGCGAAGTGAGGTTGTAATCAGTGGTTATTGGTCTTATTGGCATTCAATACGCGCACCTAGCCTTGCCTCTAGTGCATTAGCCATTACTATCGCAGACAAGCTTACCAAGATTAAAAGTATCTGATTTAGAAACACGAAGTGTATTTACAGCAAACATGTAACTGCTTTTATTATTTTTGTTTTCTTTGAATGAATTTCATTATCTCGGTCAAACGTTTGAAAAGCTAAAGCTGCATGATCATCTAAAAAAATGAAAACGATTACAGCGTTAGGAATTGTTCTGCGCGCGCCTTATAGCTCTCCCGTTGTACTCAATACTGTATAAAATTGTGCTCTTACTTCTTTTCAGAAGTCTCCGAGGATTCCACAGATTACGATTCCTTGTCATTTGATAAATATGATGGTGGGTTTCAAAGAGTCAATTTCCGATAAATAAGATCTGAAAAACGCATTGGTCTTTAACACTCCACTAATGGAAAATTCAGTGGATAGAGAAAGTCATTGATTGATCTCCTTGTAAAATCCCCATGGTTTCTTCTCTCTTTCGGGCTCGTTTTCTTTTTTCTCTTCCTCGATCTGTTTACTGTTTTATAGATACGATTATCTCTACTGGACAGAGTCACTTCTTAACGGTCCGGCATTATCCTCTTCATTTTGCTATCCTATTTGCTGACAACGAATCTGTTTTCTTTTTTTTTCGTTTAGATACGTGTGACACTTTTGCAGCTGATCCAGTAAAGGAATATATTCAGGTATAAAATATTGAAATAATTAGTATTTTTACGAGTTGACGAGAAAACGAGTAAAAATACCTAACGTTTTTACATCTCTCAGAAAGGAAACGGATTTTGATTGGTCAGTTTAGGGATCGATTTGTATTTGATCATATTTCACTGTACGGAACGGTTAATTCAAAAGTTTGTTTTGGCCCCAAACAGTGGCAGAAAAATACTGCAAAGTTACTTGTTTATGTAGTTCTGGACTATGTTTTAAAACGAGTGTTTTTGAAGCTACTTTACAGTGTAAGCCATGATTTTGAGGTCGCTCCTGTTTAGCGCTCGATATTGATATATGATATGATATGACGCGTATGGATCATCAACTGCCGATTCCCTTGTAGACTACGAGTAGTCCCCCATTTTTCCTCAGGGATAGTAGAGTGAGCGAAACGCGAGCGGGCGTAAAAATCACCCCACGCGAGAAAAGGCGACACGCGGCGAGGAGAGAGAAAAATGAGGGACTACAGACAAAGCCCAAGCTTTTGACCCTTTACGGCCGACTGATTTTGGAGTGTGAAGTTCGTATCCCCTTCCTAATCAATTAAGCGAATCCAATGGGATTCCTTCCCTCATTGAGCTGTCATTGCTCTTGTCATCGTTAAACTACGGGGGATATTTATTGCAAGTAAAAGAAAACCCAGATACTAATTTTCTTCGTGAAGAACTTGATAGTGTAGGCAACACACGACTTTTACTCATGCTAAAATGCTGCTTGTTCCAATTTATTTTTGTTTCCCAGACGGTTCATGCTCTGAAGGAAAACGTTTTGACTGAGCAAATGTTATTTTTGCCGCTTATTTCATACTGAAAGGTCGTGACACGCATATTAATTTTCTGCGGTTATTGTTTATGGTCTGCATGATTTGCCCTCTGATGCAAGAGCATTTTCTTTGACCTCTTTTGAAAAGTAAAGCTCTTCAATGCGGCTAAATAAGGGTTTTGGGTTGTTTAATTTCTTCGGCGATTGCCTCCTGGTTCTCAATAATTTTAAGCGATTTTCTTTTTGGCCGTGAATGTGACGGTTTCCTGCAATGTTTTGTCACGCTGGGCCCAGCTCGTTCGCGTTTTTAGTAGGACGGATAGTGATATCCAAATCTCGAAGAATGGATTGCAACTTAAACTAAAACTACATCAACTATGGAGAACTGCGATGTGACTCAGTCATGACTACTCGTGAATTTTAACTACCGGTTGTATTTCTGGAGATAATGTGAGTCTTTGGACTGGAGTGCGTAGTTCTTCCCTTGGTGATAACTTTTGAAAAAGCTTACATTTGTAACAGCCTTGCGACTGTTCTGTTATTCCCACTTTGTGATCAAGCAAAACCATTGTTTCGGTTCTCCACGAGAACCTCATCAGTTGCCGGGTTGGCTTTCTTCTTAGTTGCTGCTACAAGAGCAACTCTAGTTATTTGTTCTGTGCTGTTATTTGTTCTGCTCTAGTTATTTGTTCTGCAAATTGTGATTACGTATGTCAAGCGTTGATAGCGGCTGGCGCGTTTTTGACAGATGTTGACAGATTTCCATGGAAGAGCAAATCAGAGTTTTTCGTTGTGAGAGCAACGCATTAGTTCAAAAGCTTGGGCTTTGTCTGTAGTCCCTCATTTTTCTCTCTCCACGCCGCGTGTCGCCTTTTCTCGCGTGGGTGATTTTCACGCGCGCCCGCGTTTCGCTCGCTCTACTATCCCTGAGGAAAAATGGGGACTACTCGTAGTCTAATTCCCTTGATTTCCTTTCAGTTTCTGAAACCCAGAGGTATAATTAATATCTTATTGAGCTCGTTTTGAACCTCGACCATTACTTTTCGCTCGGAATTTCAGGGAAGCGCACGAGCTACAGATCATTATAGATCTTACAGTAGGTAACTCGAACTCGGTTGGTGAGAGGTATCTATTGTATTAAATTGTAAGCACTAACAACCCCTACACAACCAACAGTCCCTCTTTTACACAATCTAAACGAATTCATGTGTACAGGGTTGCAATAGACTGGTGCCTGAACACGTCGAGCATGTGGAAAAGCTTAGGAGTCTCAAACACGTCAATCTTGCACCAGTGTTGAAAGTTATGCGCCATGACTCACTGGAGTGCCCCAGTTGTAACCTTAAGGAGTACGCTCTCGACAGACGATGTAATCTGGAGGACATGGTCATGTTCCTGTCCCAGGTGGCGTCTGCTCTTCATTATCTTCATGCTAACCACATTCTACATGGAGATCTACGAGCTGAACACGTGAACGTAAAAGCACCAAACAAGGTACTTGCAACCGGTCATAAATTAGCAGTGCTTGCCATCTTTTTTTTCCTGAAAAGAGGGGCACAAACACACCAGATCGAGTTAATGATGACCAATGAGTCGACTCTGTGTGGCTAGTTCAATAACGTTTAATTAGGTCATGCGTTATTTTAGTCTCGCAATCATCTATGTCGCCTTTTTGGCTTTGATGCATTTAATTTGAGGATGTGAATTGCTAACAAACATTGTAGTTCAGACCTTGTCTTGTTTGAATGTTGCCCAATTTGTGGGTCTGGTTTTTAAATTTTAAAATGTTTGTTATGTCCTGTAGCTCCGACGTCCCTTTGTTCATTAACAGGAATGGCAAATTACAGTTTCAATTGGCATTTGTTAACTCCCAGCACCAGTCTGCTGTAGCTTAGAGGTAGAGCATCTAGACTAGTTCGTCTCCTTTGGTAAATCTTACTGAAAAAAAAAATCAAGATCATGATGTTTTAATGTGCAATACATATTTGATGGCGTTCACATCATCGTCTTGATTTTAGGTACAAGTTGGACATCTTGATCGATCCAAGTATCTTTCTATGAATGCTTATGAAGCTACCAGCACAACGTGCGTAGTTGAGGCTACCCCGCCACCTGATTCCATTCGGTGGTAAGCAACCATGACTTTATGATCAGGGAGCCAAAATGAGCTAGTGTTTCTTGTCAAACGAATGAAAGGGTGTTTTATTCAAAACTGAGTTTTCCGACTGCGCGACTTGGAGGTTGGTTGATATCGAATGATTTATCTTTTTTTTTTTTCAACTTCTTTAGAAATTCATAATTCTTGTAAGGAGTCTATTAAATATGTTCTTGCCGCTCAATTTTATTCCTGGCTCAAATTCAGTATTTTCCTCGTATTAGGAATAACAAAAGGACCATTTGAAATGAAATTTCAGTCAAAGATAAAGTTGAATTACCACAAATGCAAGATATAGTGCCTGCGTACGTATCCATATGTATGTCATCGGGGTATGTCATTGCTTTACAATCTTTGTAAAAGCTTAAAAATGCATTTTTCTATAGGAGTGCACCAGAGGTGATTTCAGATGGACGCTTCACCCATGCAAGTGATGTATGGGCATTTGGCATATTGGCCTGGGAACTTTACGAATCCTTCAGAACTGGTCAGGAAAACAGAGAGCTTTCGGTTCCTTACCACAGTCTTGACAATAATGAGGTAAAAGTTAACGTTCATGTATTTCTTTCATCCTTTCTATATATGGACTTGACAAGTTTAAAGCAAACTACTCGTTCCTCCACGGGCCTTTCTAATTTTTGTAAAATCTGTGGTGGCGTGGGAGAAGTAGAACGCGCTACTGGTAAAGAGACGAGCAAAGTTTCGTATTGTTCCTTTCTCGTTTATTGCAAGTTGATTCAATAGTTTTGTTTGCGTACTGCGAATCAAACTGCGCAGTTTGTTTGCATACGGAGAAAGGTCTTAACCATCACTTAGTCTGACAAAGTCTGTAAAGATGAAGTATTGAGGCATGTCGGTGAGGAGAGAGCCATCATATCTGATATCAACAGAAGACAGAGAGTCTGGCTTGGTCATACCCACCACATGGTGATCTTGTCCCATCAACTATTTAGGGAAGAATAGTAGGAAAGAGACTACCTGGAAGACCTCGAGCGGGAATGCTAGACAGAGTAAAGAATGGCAGCCCTTACGTAGCAGTTAAGAGGCTCGCCTTAGATCGAGAACTATAAGAAAGGACCTGTCTGTGGGCAGAATACACACACACACACACAACAGACACACACACAAACACTACGAATAAGAGACAGCGGCTTGCTGCATTCTTTCCTAAAGATATATGTTGTATTCTTAGTTTAACTTAGTGTTGCTACTAACTTACTATCATTATAGAAAACGTACTGGAATTCTTTCAAAGCTTTAACACTGGTAATAGTCCTAAGGCTTCCAGTGTTATTAAGTGGTTCCATGACTGAGATACAAAGAGAAAACTTTCAAACAAACTTTTATATATACAAACTTTTTTGAATACCTTGAGATTCAACGTTTTAAGACAAACTCCTTTTTATGTTACTACGTTTGATGCGTGAGACTGTTTAATAGTAACCGTTTCTAATTGTTCTATAACATCAGATTCTCAATCATATGACAGACGAAGGACCAATGGAGCAACCAGAATTCTGCCCGGACTGGGTGTACATTTTGATGCATCAGTGTTGGGCGTTCGAGTCCGTACAGAGGCCACCTTTCCTCGCCATCTTTGATTGCCTTACGAGCAGGTACCTGAAAAATTACACTTTATTCACGCAAAAGCTGTTATTAGTGACTGAGCAAGTTAAAGAAGGGGATGTTCTTCTCATTAAGCTATTGTACGCCCCAGGCTAAGCTCCATGCAGATTAGCCAATTATCTAGACCTTGCATTCAAACGTTTTACGGACTGAAACAGTCGGAATTTTGACACTAAAAGTTTTTTTTTGACTAGATCTGCACATGTAATTGTTTTATCAGCTTAGTTCATACCAAGGTTATTTGCCTTTAAGAAACCAAGTTTTTACTAACTGGCATTTAGAGCGCCTGTCCTTCATCAAAGCAAATCGTACAGTAAAGCTATAAATCCGAAGCATAATTTGAAAGGCAAAAGAAACATACATGGCAACCTCGTTTCCAAGGTTCTCTCCTACCCGCCCTATAAGGCCCTATAGGGCGGGTAGGTGAGAACCCTGGGAACGAGGTTGCATACATGGCTTTTTCATTATTTAAAGGGAACCAATGAAGTCCTGGATGATGAAATGTTGGTTAAAAACGCACAGCGAAAGTGACTGGCCAGACTTAAACGTTTGTCAGACGGAAGATTCCTCCCATGTGTTGCCTGAAAAGTTCCACCCATCCCCAAAGAACATCGAAACGATGTGTTCAGACGAATATTTCGGCAAGCACACTTACAAATACGACAAAAAAGTTAACGAATACTTTGGGGAGGGTGAGAGCTTATACACATATGCAAGGTGTGACGTTGCAGCTAACTCTTCGGAAGATACATCGGGTTATTTATGTCCCAAAGAATCGTGTGTTGATGCTTTTAAGAGCAAGAAGCGTCCAGACGAGAGCAGAGAAGCGTTTCATTTTTCAAAAACAAAGCGTGTCACAGTATCCTCTAAATTAAGGAAAGCAGAAGACGACATCCCTGAGGACAGAAAATACGAAAACGTGCAACAAAACGGCAAGGCAATACCTCATTACGCCCCAGCTGAAGAAAACCGGGACTATCAAAATATGCCACTCAGTGTGGCACAAAACCACGTCGTACCATCTAACCTCGAGATAAACAAAGAGAAATGTGAAGAGTACGAATTTATTTGGGACACTCCAGAAAAATACGACCAGGAAGATAAAGAGAATAAGGATTGCCAAGCCACAACGGCCCTTGAAGACAGCCCTCCAACAATTCACAAAAGAAAGAGAAATGCACCATGTTTTAAAGCCAAGAGGCGGTTTAAATGGCGACCAGAACACAGGGAACATATTTACGAAAACACATTCGTAAATTACCCGCTTAGAACAAGAATAATAAATTTTCAAGACTCATTTTGATTTCTATATAGAGTAGTTTCAAAATCACTTTTTTTTTCATGGATTAACGTAATTCTTTAAATAAATAAGGAGGAGAAGAAACACTTTTAACCACGTGACTGTGCAGCTTAGGGCTTTTTGAAGGGGTTACTAGATTTCTTGGATTTATTATCATTTATTAACATGTTTGATGATCACATTCTCTTTATAATGTTTTCTTTTTATACTAGTTTTAAAATGTAGTTGTAAAACGCTGATAACGGTTAAATGGAGAGTGGACATGTAATGTATAATAAAACTGCCGGAAGAGAAAATAATGACAGAGATCTATCATGGCTACCCTCAACATTAAACGGCTCTTGCTTGAAAAAGACGACCGGACGGAGTACGCATGTATGTGTCAGCCTCAAATAAGGTGTATTTTAGATGTTTTAGTCTATGTGAAAATTCTTTATTTTTCAGTAATCGTGGTAACTAATCAATTATCATCATTATCTTTTATATTGTGTATTGTGTAAGCTTGAAACAGAGCGTGAACAAGTACTAATATCCTAATCTAAACTATAAACTACATTTTTATAGCTTTGATGTTCAGTACCTAGTTACAGCTTGGTGCAAGTTGTATTTGAAATGGAAATATATATATATAAAACGATGATTACTCGTGAAACTTGAACTTCTGTGAAGTTATATATATATATATATATATATATATCACGATACAATGTCAAGAGTTTCACGTTTTCTTATTAACAAAAATCACAAGATTAAGCCTCTCAGGGAAAACCTTTAGAAGGTAGGTTAATGGCACCAGTCAGACAGAATTGTCCATTGAAATACACAAGCTCCCCACTTTGACCCCCCCGGGAGAGCAGAGCCATGGGTCATCAGTATAGCGTTGTTATGTCAGCAACTCCTGACGCATCTCCTTCACTTCAGCCTGATAAGCTGGATTGTTATTAGGTTTTTCAGCTCTTTAGGGTCAGACTTGAGGTCATACAGCTCCCACTTCGCTCGGTAATAGTACTGTTTCAAGGTATGAATCCAGCCTGTCTCTGTACCATTCCTGGTCCGTTTCAAAATATCCCTGAATGTAAACGAGGTAAAAATATCAAGGGCAATGGGATAGGGCATCTTGTACCATAAGTTGTGAATCAGTTTGAGATTATTTTTCTGCATCACCCTCATTGGATAGTACATTGTGACTTCATGCAAATCGTGGCTGGCAAATACAGTGTCCCATCCAGAAACTGGTTCTTCTTTCAACACCGGAAGAACAGACTTCCCAGTCAGCTGTACATCATGTGTTCCAAATAATTTGTAAGAGGGATAATCGATGCTAAACCAATCTAAGATGGTTGGCACTATATCCAAAAGGCTCACTGATGCATCGCTAATTTGACCCCAGCGTTTAGTGACGTACGGGGATGATAACAGGTAGGGCTCAGCCATGCCTAATGATTGAAAAGAAAAAGCCCCACTCGTTTATTGAACAGCTAGATAAAGGGAACCCTTTTTGTGAGATTACAATAACTAGAACCATTTTAGAAAGCCAGTTGTGCTACAAACAAACTTTGCCACCAAATTCAGTCGGCCGGGTAGCGATGAATTTTTAATAACATGATTAATTTAAAAAAATTACAATTCTGAATTACGCCCTGCACCAACCATAATCAAACCTCGGCTAAAGAGAGAACACGTGCGATGGAAAAGAAAAGTTTGCTGTCATTTATGTACCTGGATTATACAGATTGGTCTTGGCGCCAGGAAACGGGATACCATTATTAGAACTGAATATCACGAGCGTATTTTCCTCAAATCCCGCTTGCCGAAGTTCATCTAAAATTATTTCTTTTCTGGCAGCCGGAGTGTCTGGTATAAAGTATGGGCTTCCAGTCTGGTATCACACCCATGCCTGGCTCACCATTTCCAAATTTCTCACAGAACTCCCCTGCAACAAAAAGGACGTAGTAAAGTTCATCAGTACCGGTTTTGTTTCTGGTGTACAAACAACACGGTGAACAAATTTAGTTATTCTTTTGACTTCTCAAAGCCTCGTTTTAAAGTGGAACACTTTTCTTTTCGATGCTGGAGATGCAATTAGAGTAATGGAATTAGAGTATCAGAGTTCGAAGGGTTGATAAGTTTAAAAGGAAATGAACCTCTCGTCTTTTAAACAGCTTATTATTCAACCAGTTTTCTCAGTTATGAACTGTACGAGCTCGTTAGAGTGTTTGCCTACACCTTAAAAGCCTACAGCAGAGTTGACCATGAAACAGTCTTCAGATAAGTTAACGATGAAAGCCATCAAAAGAGCGAAAAATACCTACGAAAAACGTTATGAAAAAGGAAGAGACGAAGCTGATAGAAAGAGGGGGAAACCGCCGTATTCTTATATTTCGTTGATAGTTCTGGCCATTTTGGAGTCGCCTAATCGACGTCAAACGTTACGCGGCATTATCGAGTATATCCAAAAACGGTTTCCGGCATATGATGGTGACAATTGCCCCGCAAAAGGATGGAAAAACTCGATCCGTCACAACCTTTCATTAAACGACTGTTTTGAGAAGACCTACCGAGATCCAAACAACCCCAGTAACGGACATTATTGGTGTCTTCATCCCCGCAGCGAGCACATGTTTGAAGGAGGCAGTTTTATGAGACGAAAGAAGCGTTTCAGAAAGGACTCCGATCGATTTAAAGAAAGTGTTCCGACACCACATTGTGATGCACCCAATACCTTGACTTATGACTTCAATTTGACGCCCCTTCGTGACGTCAGCGTGATGTCATTTCAGAACCTTGCTATGACGTCATCAGAGAGAAAAGAAGGAAGCAAATGCAGCGTTCTACCTGCTCACCAAGCTGCATACCCAGTACCACCATGGTGGATTCCTGCGGAAAGCTTCAAAGAAGAGGACTTGTCGTTCAACGATAGTTTCAACACCTTGTTGCCTCCTTCATCTTCTAACAGCTCCGTCTGTCTCGTTTGTGTTGGATGTACATGTTGTTATTGATTCTCTTTCTTTTGTACGTTACCGTCTAGATCGGCTTTAACAAACGCCAAACCTTTTATTTACGGGGTAGTTTATTAAGGGCTATTCTTTGCCGAAGGAAATCCAACACCTCAATGACCAATAAAAGATCTCCATATAACTTTATATTTTCTTTTGAAAGGACGTTTGTTTTATTTTGTCAGCTTGTTTTACTAAATCTTTCTTTATCAGTCTGAAGAGCCTTAACACTGTTAAATCACTGCATGCACAAAGAGCTTTCGTAAGTATAGACTATTATGCCGTTGTGATATCTCCATTGATCTCGTCTGCTCATTTATTTTTTTTCGCTCAGGCGTTTAACCTGTTTCACGGACCTATTTTAATCAAACGAATACTACTAACAAATACGATGGTCAGTGAACTAAGAATCAAAGGAAAACCTTTAAATTATCTTCTTTATACTGCCTAAATGTGTATTTATTTTTCAATTTTAAGCAGGATTCGAATGTAATCGTAACCCTAACCACATGTTTCCCTAAGAGCCAAGAGAAATTATTAGCTGTACTAGTTCAAATATTTAGCAAGTGAAAATACATGTAGAGGATTTTGTGTATGGTTAAAAGCACTAAGCAGTGACTTAGCAAATTGACCTAAAATATACATATGTTAACTGCAACATAACGTCCTCATAACAATTAAAGTACGTCATCCTTTAAAAAAGTGTAAGAAGCTTCCAGGTTAATGTGAAAGGGCACAATGAAATACCGGACTATAACTCAAAAGTTTATTCTCCGGACCCCGAGGAGAAGGTAACCAATTTGTGCTATGCCGGTAACAACAATGCCCCGTTGCCGTGATTTCTGATGGCATGCATGGAAGACTATATTATGATCACATTGACTAAATTTTTCAAAGATGAATAGAAGCATCTCATACTGTTAATTTATAAGGGACTTTTCCCGTAGGGACTTAAAGGGAAGTTAAATGACCTCTTAAATGACCTGGCCTATTCGACACACAAAAGAAATCGCTTCAAAACCACTCTGCTAACGTTTGTCCACTCTCATCAGAAAGCATGTGTAAAAACGATTAAATAGTCGTTTCATAATTAGTATTGGTCTTGAAAATTTGAAGGATGAAAAAGTGACGAACTTTGTTTGTAACTGAAGTGGTCATGGTTAACATGGTTAAGTGCTCTTAGTGTCGGGATTCTGGCAAAGTGCCTTCATGATATATAACAGTAAACTACGTCATCCTTCCAAAAGGACTTCCCGGTTGTTCTGAAAAGGCACTTGAAATTAGGGACCTTTTATTCAAACTTTCATTTTCCGTGTGCGATGAGGTCGGCAATCGATTTGCTGCAAATAACAACTATCAGTTGCCGTGACTTCTGATGGCATGGAAGATTACGGTGAGTTGACTGTCCAAATATATCGCTTGATATTTGCTCGTAGAAGAGCTAAAATCGTTGACAACTAAATTAGTCAGTGGGATTTAGCTTACTTATCTGGGGGAGCAGGGATGGCGCGGTGGTGAGAGCACTCGCCTTCCACCAATGTGGCCCGGGTTCGTTTCGCGGACTCGACGTCATATGTGGGTTGAGTTTGTTGTTGGTTCTCTTCTCTGCTCCGAGAGGTTTTTCTCCGGGTACTCCGGTTTTCCCCTCTCCGCAAAAACCACCATTTCTAAATTCCAATTCGATCCGGAATGCTCGAGCGTTTAATACATGAGCCCCTGGCTCGGGAGATTGCGCAACCACTCCTCATGCTATCGAGCTTAAATAAAATTGATTTTGATTTTTTTGATCTGGTGGATAGCTTCTTCTTCTCGCTTCTAGTTTACTGGCTCCTGCTATTTATACTTGTGTCATTGTTAGTATTGTGGATGCCATTACATCAATTGTAATTAAAATTGTCAAGGAAATTAAAAATATCTTTATCGCATGAGGAGGCATATATTGTACAGCCAGGTTCTTTACTTTGTTCTCTGATTTGTGCTTTCACAGACAATATTCTCATGGAAGCTTACAACGATTACCTTTAAAAAACTAATTATTTATTCAAGATCCGTAAGGAAGTGGATGCTTCATCTGTTTATGCTTTTCAGAATATAAAGCTTGTTAACCTCATATAATTTTCTAAGCTGATTCAAGTGTTTGTTACAAGTAGACTAGCCGCGAATTAAGTATATTATTGCAGTATAGCGCCGGGCGGGAAAATAAAGCTAGACGGATAAACAAACCCCTGACCTCAGCTCCGATCAACTCGCACTTCAGCTTGGTAATGATACCTCTGCACTGGCATAAAAATGATCTAAAATAAATACCAACATTATGGAATAAGTGTCAGTGGAAAATAAGAAAACTTTGTTAGGAATTGAAAAGACATCTAAGCCTATTAGACACAAAGAAACGAATTGCTTCACACACTCCCAATCTATACACTCATAAAAACTAGCCTGCGAACGGCAGACGTTTGTCCTCGCTCATCATCCATGAAAAAAAAAACGGGATTAAATATTTTTCACACTTTCGGATTGGTTTTGGAAATTTGAAGAATGGAAAAGTGAAAAAACTTTGTTCAGTCATAACTGAAGCGGTCATGGCCAAGTGCTCATACATGTCTCGGCTCGAACAAGTTGAAGTCGGCTGTGCAGCGTATTGTGCAACATGGTTTATCACCTGGTTTATGATGTGTAGGAATGATCTTCCGCCCTTAAACTTTTTAAGAAAGAGTGTCTCGACTTTATTTACAAAATATTAAATCGAAATATACGGCATCGACTGTCATTAAGTGTCGTAACTAACATTTTCATTTAATTTCATGAATACTTAATGACGTCATGGTCAAAATAGCTAGAACAGAACGGAAAGTGTCATAAAAGTTATTTTAATTTTTTCCCTGAACAGCCGATTAGTCAAAACAATTCTACATTAAGGAGATAAAAATAAGCGGGGGAAAGTCCCTTTTTTGACCTTTAATAATAGATTATAACGCAACTTAAATCTGTTGTTAAGTTAAATTGATGTCGTAAGCATTTTCATCTGAACAACCTCTAGCAGGTTCCAAGTTTCAACTGAATTCGTTACATATAATATTAACTATTGGATACATATATACGGAGATATAGATCCTAGAAGCGACAGGAGATTGCAATAGATTACGTTTTAAAAGTAGTGTATGTGGGCTGAGACGGGCTAAAAGCATAAAGCGGAAGTTTACCTTTAACTGATAAAGAACAAATTACAAAGCCTTTGCCACGTCAGTACTTCAGCCGCCCTGCGCATAATTATCATGGATAAAGAAAGCAGTTAAGGAATATGCGAGGCGTATTACTCTAATGGACGACTCTTGCTTGCCTTAAGTAGCTTGTTGTACACTATGTTGGTTGGGCTAAGCGGATCATCATTTTAGGTTAATAGAGTGAATATCATCATTAATAATGTCTTTTAAGATCTTGCTTTTACCCCTTGGATTGTAGGGCGAAGTTTATCGAGACAAGGTAGATCATTTATTTTGTTCTTGAAGAAAGGAAATACGTTCAGTGCTACTAACTGTCAGCACGTACACATGACAGTGGTCCATCTGGCGCGTACCTTGACGTCACTGTCGGGCACTGATAACCTTTCCACTGACCTAATTAATTAGTCAGTATGAACAACTTCAACTTCAACTTTATTTGAAAAAATAGTTGTAAATAAACGACACAAAGAGACTGGTCCCAAAGTAGAATTTGCTAATCTGGGAGGAACAGTCACACTAAAACTTTGCAATGAAAACAATCTAATTTAAATTTACAAAAGGAGACTTACTTAATTACTTACACAAGTTTTGGTAATTTACATAATTAAGCATGCAATTGCAAGTTCATTAACATCACTTTCATTAAGGACCGGTAAGTTTGAATGATAATGATAGTGCCAATAATAATGATAGTAATAATAACGATAATGATGATAAGGACATGGCTTAATATAATCTCTCGTCTTTTGTGCTCTCTCTCTCTCTTTAAGATCAAGTTGAAACAGAATCCATTACGTCCTCAGGCTCTTCAGGTAAGCAGGTGATCCCAAAGCATTGTTAAAAATCTTGAGTCTTGGAATTATGCTACAGCTTTGAAAATAGGGAGGCGCTTTTGAAAGCAAGAAATGTTGATTATTATCCCAAATAATCCAAAGTACTGAATTTATTCATTCAGAATTACAGTCATCATTTCGTCATTGTCGTCATCATCATCATTGTAAGTATTTATTATTGAGGAGGACACAAATGCTGACAACCTTAGCTACATTTGCTAACAACCATGTAACATAGGAACACAAACTTTTTCCTCTTAGGAAATTACTCGTACGTCGAGTCATCACAGTCTCCTAGTAACTCTTCACAAAATATCAGCCCCATTGAAGAGGAAAGAGAATATGACAGTGTTCCAGAGGAAGAGACAATTCGAGTTATTGAACCTTACCCAGGATCTTACTGTTTGAGCAGCCACTCTGAATTACCGGTCGTCAACAGAGGGACTGAGTGGAACTCCCAACCTAGCAAGGGCATTCTTGCAAGCAATGGTAAATTGGCTATTTACTTTAGATTAGAAAAATTAAACTTAAAAACGTTACTCGACGTTTCGATTTTTCAAACATCATTCTCAAGAGTAAGAAATGCTAAGTTTTTTTTAATTAAAAAAACAACTTCGAAACTTAACATTTCTTACTCTTGAGAATGATGTTTGAAACATCGAAGCCTCGAGCAACGTTTTCGAGCGAATTTAATTTTTCTTGTTAAATGCTTCAACAAGCAACTGACAATCGGATCTACTTTAGACACTTTAGAATAGATTTTGGTAGACTACGAGAAGTCCCCATTTGTCCTCAGGGATAGTAGAGCGAGCGAAACGCGAGAGCTTGAGAAAATCACACACGACAGAAAGGCGGAGAAAAATGGGGACTACTCGTAGTCTAAGATTACAGTTATTAAGCATTAAATGCTGAAGGGCATAATTATTTGTAATCGATTATTACTTGTATGTTCTGTATTTGAATTGCTTAATCGCTACGATAACAGAATTCGAACAAAAAACGAACATCCTGTTCGAGGCATCACAACACCAACAAACAAGCGCGCATGGCATTGTGGGAAGTCTGTAATATACTTCCGAAAAACTTTAAAAACCCAACTATCCAGTTCGATATACTACAGTTACTGAAAAGAAAACTTTTTTATGCATTTTAGGTGACAATGAATTCCAGCAGTGGTCCATCGAATCTTTCTTCGATGACCCAGATAAATTCATTCATGAGATGAACAAGACCGCTGACCTGTGTAAGGGACAAAGGGAACAGTTCATCTTGCATACGGTTCTTCCTCATCTAGAAAAATCATGGGGTAAATGTTCTTCCAAAAACGAAGAGGTTTTCAAAATTCTGGTTCAAATAGGCTGCAGCGCCAACAGTGGAGTCGTAATAAGACACGCATTGCTATTGTTTCTTCACCTGATCTGTCAGGAGGATTTCGACAGTGGGAACATTAGTTTGCTTGTTGTGGAAGAAATAACAAGATCATCTATTTTTATCCCTGATGGAGTTTTAAGAAAATCCCAACATTCAGAGACAAGTTTACAAGCCTTTGTTTACAGTCGCATTTTGTCATGGCTTTTGATACAACGAGCTCGAGACGTAGATGTGTCATTCGTGGCTGTAGAGCAAGATTTGAAGAAGATTCAACATGAGCTGGAGAAAAGTTGTAATCTTGTCTCAGGCAGAAAGAAGGATCACTATCGATATTCAATGGAATTTATTAGCAAGACAATTTCTCAGTTCAGGTCAATGCCAGATACAAATTTGAAGACACTAATAGAAGAATGCCACAAGTTTTGTGAAAATTCGACGTTGGAAAGTGGCAAATTAGGAATCCTAAGTAAAGTAAAGAAGAATAACTATGGAGAATGGGTTGATCTGCATTGCGTCTTAATTCATCTGCATGGAAAGGTCGGTAGTTTTTACTTATTCTTTTCACCTAGCCGTACTTAGTTACGATAAAAATATACTGTACATATTCAGGCACGCACATAGACATATAACTGAAGAGTTCTCTTCGTTATCGTTGTTACATTAGGTGCAAAGTGAACGTCCTGTTCCACAGATGGAGACCGAACGAAGGGCTCTTAAACTCATCAGATTAATCGTGGAGGCTTACGTGGAGGGAAGAAGTAAAGCTGACTGGAAATTTTGCCTGTTGGTATCGTCTCTACTAGCAGATACCGCAAAAAACAGCGTGACAAAAGGTATAGTCTGTTTGCTCTGTTGAATCGCAAATTAGTTAAAAAGAGAACATTTATTAAATGTGAGTGCCTGATCATTATTTCTTCTCCGTGTCAAACAAAATCACATACGGCAACAATAGGAACCACCTTTACCTTATAACTGTAGGATTATAAATGTTGTGATCAATAAAATTTTAAACCATAGGTCCATAGTCTCCATATGTTTGTAGCTGAAAAGTCAGCAGTCTCTGTGACACAAAGCGCCGCGTATTAAGGCTTGTGAGTGTAAATGCATGTCTCTAGCTAAAGTTAATAGCACTGAACAGGTATAGCTCAAAGGTCGGGTTTTAGCTATTATGACGCGAAACAATAGAACGCATACCTAGCAGGATAAATAGCCAAAAACAAGGATTTGTCGGCAAGGTTTAAAGTTTAACGTTTTCAGGTTTTATGATTGATCATAACTCTTATTATTGTATTGGTTAATAAAGGAAATGTTTAATTTTATATTTTAAATTGTCATATCATAGCTGATATAATTTCACCTTAATTTTTAAGTAAACCGTGATAAGCCGTGAGATATACTGTAAACTGTCCGAGTGGCTTATGACGAACTTGTAATCAATCCTAGGCCTCATTATACTTTTATATTTTATTTTTCCTCTTCTTTGATCGAACAGAATTGAGGGTGGAGGCTGGTGGTTGCTTGGTCTATCTCCTTAAAAGTGAAAAACTGCGAAGAAGGCCAGAGTGCAGAGAGTTACTGGAGAGAAAATGTAAAGAGGTTCTTTTCTGCCCAGACAAAGAAACTAGGGAATTTCTGGTCCGTGCTCTCTACCACAATTCTACCGGAGGGGATCGCGATTTACAAAGACCAGAACGCCTTCCAGTGGAACAGCTTACTGAACATTTGTCCTCGTCGTACAGAACAAACTCGTTGGAAATCAAGAAGCAAATTATCAGCGATAGTCCATCTAGTTTTGTCAAAAGTGGAATGTTTCGAAGCAAAAAGGTAAAGCAACTTTATATATGACAGTACACCAATTAACGTAGTGTGCCACGTTTTTACTTGAAAAGCTAGCGAGTTTCCATCTGTTCAGCGAGTGTGCAGCACAAATATGTTTCAGAAAACAACCTGGTGGGAACAGTTAAGACAACACATCTCCATGAAAACGGATTTACTGCGTGACAATTCAAATGAGTAATGAAAATATGTAGTTCTAGAAAACAATAAATCCTCTTCGGAAAATACCCCTTATTCAGATATAAATTTTTAGTCTTCTAACCTTTCTAGATCGCCATCAAATTCCTTCACGTAACAAAACAGCATCTTAGGGAAAAGGATCTCAAATTACAGGCCAGAGAACGACTTAACCGAGAAGTCTTGAACATGAGACAGCTAAATGCATCTCGACATCCAAACTTCCCTGTCCTTCTGGCCTACGACACTAAACGTTTGCCGTACCATATCATCACAGCATTTGAAGAACGTGGAGACCTATTAGCGTTTGTTCGGTCGTTCAGAGAAGGAGACCCGCCAGTAAAACACTATCGGCTTCTTGAGATGCTTAAAGATGTCAGCGACGCTATATTGTATTTAGAAGAGCTGGGATTGGTCCACCGAGCTGTAATGGCTAAAAATGTCCTTGTGGGGTCTCAAAACTGCAAATTAACCGGTCTTCATTCCACTTGCAGAGCTTTTTACACAGGTAAATCGGAAAGAAATTGATAAAGTTAAAAGCGATTTATTTCTTAATTTGTTCTCAATTCAGCTGTTGAGCATTATATAAGAATATCAGGAGCCCTATCCGTGAACAACGCAAAATCTATGATAGCAACTTCGCTTAATTCGTGCCCTGTTAAAACTCATCCAGATACTCCCAACACGAATTGGTTTATTGCAATGTCGATGAAAGACGTTATATATCCTTTTTCAATTACAGCTACAGATTCTGTGGAGGGTTATTGTTCAGCTGAGGTTCCTGATGTTCATGAAACTGATCTCCCATTTAGATGGAAGGCGCCCGAGTGCTTAACGAAGCATCAATTTACCAGCGCGTCTGACGTTTGGGCCTTTGGGGTACTTGTGTATGAGGTGCTCACGTATGGTTGCACCCCATACAGAGACATCCTGGACAAAGACGTGCTTGATCATGTAGGTTGTTTTTCTCGCTAAAGAAAGCTGAAGATAATAACGACTGATCAATATATTGGATGATCTAACGGGATTCCCTAATCTGTATGTGGCGAAAAAAAAAACTGTTTAGTACCCAATGTAAAACTTTACTCACCATTTTCACATACACCATGCTGCATCTTGTTTACCCCCCAAAATTTTGCATAATCATTGTTTCCGATTTCATCCTGGGTATTACACTCGTTCCAAGCCGAGAAATCGAAGGCAATGGTTATCCAAAATTTGGGGTGGGGGGAGTGGGTAAGCAAGGTCCATTATGGTCTGTGTGGAAATAGTATCATAATTTGAAATGAGAATAAAAGGTGCTGAACACTCTGTCTTTTTGCTGATTTTTTGGGGGATTCTCTTTCAACATTATAGTTTTACTACTTTTATGTACCCAGTCAAACCCTTCAAGGAAAGATTGGTTTATTTCTAGAACTGGTATGGAGATGAGGTTTTATGCCTGTCAAAAAAAGTTTTAATTTGCTACAATGAACTTAAAATACTCTTCATTTTGCAGGTCTTACACGGGAAAAAAATTGTGCCGTCAGAGTCGTGCTTTGAAAATGAAGAGTATGAACTAATAAGGCAGAGCTGTGCATGGGAGATAAACAAAAGACTCAAAATATCCCAAGTCAGTGAAAGACTTCAGGAAATGTCCAGACGCGCCAAAAAATCAGGCATGTGTCATGTTAAACTGATGGTTACATCCCGTTCGGGCTTTGAGGTGGATCTTAAAAGGACAAAAAAGCATATGATAACTAGATGAATACGGGAAAAAGGGAAACCAGTTGTAGTATCAAACGATCAACAGCGTGGCTTGTCTACAGTAACTATCTGTTAACTACCTTTATATTAAAATAACGATTGCTGATAAAAATCTTACTGCTATAAACTACTGACTGACGGATATATTAACCACCCAGTATATCTTCAATACTATAAGTCATTTCATTTTGCAATTTATCCACCTTAGGGAAAGAGGGCTTAAGACATCATCCGCCTCCTTTAGAAATGCAGTGCACCGGCAATAGCAGCTCGGTAAGTTGCGATTAAATTTCTTAAAAATTGCCTTTGATTAGAAAGGCGTATATGTTTTATTTTCATCACCCATAATATTACCCATATGATTTCAAACAAGCCGATTGTTAATTGATCCAGTTGTCTTCAAAGTTTGACAACCTTAATTATTGTTAACTTTCAGGATGAAGAATTATACGATTCTATACCAGGTAACTTTCATTACCTCTTACCACTCTTACATTTTATATAAGCAAAAGCAAATGTTCTTTCATGTGGAGGGGCACCAAACTTTATAAACCACTAGTTATTGTCATTAATAAACACCTATTGATCATAAATAGCCATTCCTAACTAACGCTGTGCCTTTTTTCTAGAAAAATCTGACGAATTGAGAATGCCAGTACAGGAAAGTAACTGTGAGTTTGGAGATTAATCGATTTTATTAGAACAACCTCTTACAGTTTTACAATAGCTCATCAATGAGTTGGTTTCCCCCTTTAAATTTAGATGTATGTTGTTTTCTTTAAAGGCGTTTCTGAAGAATGTATGGTAATGCCAGTCCAGGAGAGTAAGGGTGAGTTTTATGATAACGATTCTATAAGAGGTTTTAAAGATTCATCTGATTTACCTAAAAAGGCAATTTTTAACACTTACGGACCTTACGTTCAGTACATGATTCGCTTGTTAGTAGCTGATGGCTCTGTTTTGCTATAAAACTGTCGTTCTCTTATTATCTAACAAAACCACAAATGGCTATTTGTTTTTAGATGTCTGCGGAGAACTAGAAGTCGATGATTACGTGGTCAGGAAAAATGCCCAGGTATGAAAAGTTAAATTCCCTGACAAGCAAATTTAGAAGACAATTAAAGGATGAAAAAATTTGAATATTTGACTTGGTGCACTTCCCTTGGCGCACGACATCCCTTCTGTTGTAAATTGACCTAACTGTATATTTTTTTTTTCAATTCAGGGATTAACTAAAATATGGGAAAAATTGTCAGAAGAAGAAGATAAACATATCAGGGCACTTAATCATCTAAAAAATGACCACCTTTCTTCAGAATATGAAATCGAGTATTTTGATTCGCTTCCCTGGATGGTAAGTTATTGTATTGCATTTGAACTTTCTATAAGGACGTCAACGGATAGTTTTATCTTTTACATGTAATTAATGTGAAAATGCTTCAACATAATGCAGAGCTGGGAATGCCCCAAGGGAAACTTAAAGGAGTACGTACTTGACCATCGATGCAAAGTGGAGGACATCGTCATGTTCCTGTCGCAGGTGGCGTCTGCCCTTCACTACCTCCATGTAAACCATATTGTACATGGAGATCTTCGAGCTGAGCATGTGAACATAGTAGCAACAAACAAGGTACACAACCTTTAAATTTAGTCCCATCAACCATAAACATCAAAAGCATCAAACGTGTTCTCCACTTACCACTTGCTTACACGAAACTGCATTAAAAAAAGAGAAGCCTTATTAGTGAATTCTGAACTGTCGTTTTATTTATGATATTAAAATGAAGGATGACGATTTGTTCATCAACCAGTCGACCGTTTTATAACCTGACATTACACCTCCTATTCATGAATGAGACAACTTTTGTTTGTAAGATGCAGTGATTTCCCCGCGGGGACAGGAAAGGTTAACTACCTTATACCCTTACTTAGCATATACGGAAATGTGTCGTTGGACAGGGAAGGATGGTTTTAGTCCCCTCTATTCTCGCCAGGGTATTTACTCTAGCACATTGTAATAATCCAAAACTACTTTCTGTTCTCAGCTGTTTCAAAAGTTTGCAAATTAAAGATGTATTGTTTTTATTGCAGGTTCAAGTTGGTCGCCTGTGTCGCTCCAAGTCCCTGTCCATGAGTGAATACGAAGTTACCAGTACGTCATGCGTAAAGGGAGCAAAAATGCCACCCGATGCTCTTCGCTGGTAAGTTTACGAGAACAATGTACTCATTTAATCCCGAATTAGTCCCGTAACCTTCGAATGCATCCACCTCTCATTGTTCCCCTCTGCTGAGAGGTCTCAAGTGGCGGGAAATGATAAGAGACAGCTTCCTAAATTGTTCTCTGCTCGAGTATAACGAAGGGTTTCGAACAGAGTTTCTGAACTTCACCAAAAGAGATGATTTGCAAATGTCGATCACTGCTGAAGAGGACAACACGTGAATTGACTGAATTCCAATTTCTTATGAGTCGTGGCGATAATGTTGTCAGAAAAACTATTGAGAGGGCCTGTGTGACAGTCGACTTGCCACTTATAATTAATACCAGCAATAATCATTTAATTTTCAGGAGTGCACCACAGGTTATATTAGATGGACAATACACGCATGCCAGTGATGTGTGGGCTTTTGGTATTTTAGCCTGGGAGCTTTACACGTCCTTTGCAGTTGGTCAACAAAAGCGTCAATTTTCAGTTCCCTACCATGAACTTAAAACGCAAGAAGAGGTAAATCATAGAAATTAGACCGATAGTATGCCAGTAACAGAATATCGTCTTCAGGAAGGAAATATATGTTTTCCTTATTAAGTTGTAGCTATTCTGTCACTTTTGCAAAGGTGATTTTCTGAAAACCCACCTCGTCAGTTGACCCTCTCTCATTTTTTGTAGATTCTGCAATACATGGCAGACGTTGGACCCTTGGGCCAACCCGACTGCTGTCCTGACTGGGTGTATAAAATTATACATCAGTGTTGGGCGTATGATTCTACTCAAAGACCGCCTTTTCTGGCTATCGTTGATTGCTTGACGAGCAGGTACGTTGTTTAATAGTCACCCTTATGGACACTAAGACATATTTTATCTCCTCACCTGGGAAGAGGCTTCCTACGGTAATTTTCACACAGTTTTACCCTTTCCGTGGCAGACTGAAACAAAAGCCTCTGTATGGGGCGAGTTAACCGAGAAAGTTGTGTTACGGAGACATATAATATTCTGTTTTGAGGTTAGAGACAAAAAAGGACACAAAGATGTACAAATAGACCTTCCAAGATGGCTTCCAAAACCATGACAGGGTCTATTCTTTCATTTAACCTCATTAAACGTTTAAAAGATACTAAATTATTTTCTTTCTTTCTCATAAAGGGAGCCAATGAAGTCATGGATGATGCAACTGTGGCTGCAAAATCACAGTGAAAGCGATTGGCCAGACCTGTCCATTTCCCAGGACGGTGCTCACGTATTGAATGAAGGTCGCCACCCATCCAAACAAGACATCGAGAGGATGTGCTCAGAAGACTACTTCGCTAAACACAACTATAGGTACAATAGCATCCGACTTTCCGAGAAAGACAAGACCTTGTACAGTAGCGCATATTCTAACCCCATTTACTTGACAGAAGATGAAACATCGCCAAACAAAAAAATGGGGCAAAACAATATTGATCCGTATGACGTTCCTGGAGAACGCAAACATGCGATAGGGGAAATTAACCAAAATAGAGGTCCGCATGAGGAGAGCCGCAACAAAGCATCTGGAATGGACCTGCAAGATTGCACCATTCAAGACAAAGCGACAAAAAATTTGTCAAAAGATAACAAGGCACCCAAAATGGAACACGGCGATTGCCACATAGACAACAAACCCATATCCAGTGGAGGCCGGAGGAGAGAAAACCAAGACACGCTGGCGCTTAGACAAAATGTCCAAAATAGTGATCTTCAAAGCACTACACTCCAAAAGGAGCAAGACAGATGCTCCTTGTACGACAAACCAACATCCAATCCAACAGCCACTGAAAGCAAAAACAGAGAATACCAAAATGCGCTGGCGCTACAAGAAAGCCCGAATGAAGCTCTTGAAAATAAAACACTAAGAAACAAACGTAACAAACCAACCAATGTGTTAGGCGATAAAGACGAAAACAGACAATACCAAAATGTGCCAGCGCTTAGAGGGTCCAAGAATGGATGTCTTCAAAATAAAGCGCTCAAAAGGGAACAAGGAGGCTGCTACAGACACGACATGCCTGAACATGGAGGCGAAAACAGAGAATACCAGAATGTGCAGGCACTAACACCTGTCCACAGAACTGACGACCTTCAGAGAAAACCAACCAAAATGGATCCTGGGGGTGACTGCTTTGTGAACAGTGAATATCCAACCAACACCGACGTAACAGATGATGGACGCAAAGACCAAGATTACGAAAACGTTCTGGCACAAAGACAAGTCCATCAAAATGGAGCTCCTCAGAAAAAAGAAAAGGGTGAAACTGCTCGTGCTGGTAGACTAACCCCAAGGAAACGGAAGTACGGAAATGAGGAAAACATACAAAGAACCTCAACGTCGGAGGAGAACCAGCCAAAAGAAAATGAGTACGCCTGTGCAAACGAACAGGCGACGCTAGAGGGGCGTCATTTAAGTATGGAAGACGGCCATTCCAATAGAATGTCTGCAAGCCATGATAAAAAAATTGAGTTTGAATATTATGTTTAATTTGTTCGTTGTACATATGGTTCCGAGAAGCAACATGCCTAATAACATTTGACCCCACATAGCATTTTGGATGCTTTCCGACACACTGTAAATCTAACTAAAATAATAGTATTTACGTTGGAAAAAAAGCCGGCCTTATTTTGCTGGCTGAAACTGTGTTGCTACCATGGCCAGTTTGTTCAAACATAACCACAGGCATCCTAAACTCACGTAGCTGGCTATGTTGCGATTTATAGGATTCACTTACTTTTGCTGCATTTTGTGTCCTTGTGTATTTCTGTGGCGATTTGGGCTGGTTTTGCCATACTGCCTTAACCTTAATCAAAAGCCTTTTATTAAAGTCAGAAAGCAGTGGTTTTTAAGTCTCTAGTCAGAGAAGACCTTACGATAACGTTTTGCCCTGTTCTGTCAAATGATCGAGGTTATATGTCAAAACGTCAATAGCTAAATTTGTATATTTACAACCTTAAAAAAGATTTCTTGAAAAATGTTCTGCATGTGAACAGTAAAATGTCAGTTTTAACATGCGGATTCGACGATCTCACGACTTATTTTTTATGCAGAGTAACCTGCCGTACAATTTGATAATCATAAGAAAAGTGAAATTTTATTAGAAAAATAAGAGAAAAAAAGAAATGTGTGATGCGTGAACGTATTTTTATGAAGAAGTTTTTAAAATAGAATTTTTTGGCCCACTCATAATAAGGATTGAACGCTACGGAAAAAGTTTCATCTCTAAGCAGGTGTGCTAATACCCATGGCTTATGACACCATACACATCTGTTAAAATTTCTTGATAATTTTACCTTACAGTTTTTGGCCCAGGTAACTTTTAATACGCATTTGTCTTGTTTTCTCTTTTGGCTTCGCAGCAGTTCCTGGTTCAATATATCTCTAGCGTACCCTTATGTACATGCAATATTGTCTTTTACACTAGTCCTAGGCTCTACAATCATTCTCTACTAAAGCTTAGTGTCGTTTCTTCGTTTTATTCCGGAAAGTAGCTGCTGGTCAACTAGAAAGCTTTCACTACTTTGACCACCACACACATTTTATAACCCGTACTGTAATTATTTTATTTTTGTAATCATCTATTGTAGTTATATTTTTCTTTCTATGTTATTCTCTGTAAATCGATTTGTAACATAATCGCAATTAACGTTTTATTGCTAGTGCTACAATAAACCTTGATGTCTGAATCCCGCGGCTAATTCTTCATAACAAGCTAGCTTTGACGACCCTCTTTGACCAGGGGCACCCAACTAGAATATAGTTCAAAACAACTAAAACATAGCATTTTTGAATGTCTTTTTGGATTTCAACGGAAGATGTAGGCATATTTTTATCCCCTAAAAATTTTCCATCTGTTCGGATTTCCCAGCTGAAAGTCTAATGATCCAAAAATTATAGGGATCAAAACTCACCTTTTCGAAAATTTCATCTAGAAAACGGGCTCCCGAAAATTCTAGGTGACCTTTTTAGAGTAAAAATCCGTAAAAATGCCATACCATTTTTTAGATGTTCAAAAATCCTAGGAGAGGCAGGCAAGCAGCAAATTTTACAACAAATGTTCCAAAATTCTAGATCTCATATCGTTTTCCGAACAAATGTTTTCCAAAAATTGACGTTGGGTGCCCCTGTTTGACCAAACCTGGATGTTTGGAAAATGACGTCAGTGGTACAGCGTAATGCCAGAAAAATGGACAGTAACTGAGAAGGTTGCGTTGTTTTGGAAGAGCAAGATAAAATGGCGGAAAAGTCACACGTCTCGCGAAGAAGAAATAGCACGACTAAGAAAAACAGCAAATACAGCAAAAATACAACTCGAAGAATGACATCTACTATTTGGAGAGTATCTGCGGATCTAAACATCCCTTTATACCATGAAATTGCCGAGAAAAATGCAGATGAAGACGGAAACTTAACATCAATCGGGATAAGCATGTTTTACCTTGGTTTTAAACTAGAGATGATTTTGAATGAATGATAAAGAAATAGATTGGGTTTTCATATGATCTGATCCACCTCCTCTATCTTCATAATTCTTCTGATCACACTCAGCCTTATTTAATTAATTTACTACACATTTGCAAATATTTTTGTCGTTAACCAAAATTACTGGAAAAAAAAGTCAGTCAGTTTGCAATTTTGTCTATCATTATTAATATTAAAAGATGGCAGTATCACAACTTTCTTTAACATCTAATACAACATGGGAAACTAGTAAAGTGATCGACATTGAAAACAAACGAAAAAGTATTGGAACTTTTTTCGCAACATTCAGGCATCATTGTCCATTGAGATACACAAGCTCCCCACTTTGACCCCCCCGGGAGAGCAGAGCCATGGGTCATCAGTAGTACGTTGCCATGTCAGCAACTCCTCACGCAACTCTTTCACTTCAGCCTGATAAGCCGGATTGTTAATTAGGTTTTTCAGCTCTTTAGGGTCAGACTTGAGGTCATACAGCTCCCACTGCGATCGGTAATAGTACTGTTTCAAGGCATGAATCCAGCCCGTCTCTGTACCATTCTTGGTCCGTTCCAAAATATCCATGAATGAAAATGAGGTAAAAATATCCAGGGCAATGGGATAGGGCATCTTGTACCATAAGTTGTGAATCAGTTTGAGATTATTTTTCTGCATCACCCTCATTGGATAGTACATTGTGACTTCATGCAAATCGTGGCTAGCAAATACAGTGTCCCATCCAGAAACTGGTTCTTCTTTCAACACCGGAAGAACAGACTTCCCAGTCAGCTGTACATCATGTGTTCCAAATAATTTGTAAGAGGGATAATCGATGCTAAACCAATCTAAGATGGTTGGCACTATATCCAAAAGGCTCACTGATGCATCGCTAATTTGACCCCAGCGTTTAGTGACGTACGGGGATGATACCAGGTAGGGCTCAGCCATGCCTAATGATTGAAAAGAAAAAGCCCCGCTCGTTTATTGAAAAGCTAAATTAAAAGAACCCTTTTTGTGAGATTACAATAATTAGAATCATTTTAGAAACCCCGTTGTTCTACAAAAAAACTTTGCACCAAATTCAGTCCGTAGCGATGAGTTTTTAAAAACATGATTAATTTTAAAAAATTACAATTTCAAATTCTGAATTACGCACAGAAGGAACCATGATCAAACCTCGGCTAACGAGGGAACACGTGCGATATAAAAGAAAAGTTAGCTGTCATTTATGTACCTGGATTATACAGATTGGTCTTGGCGCCAGGAAACGGGATACCATTATCAGAACTGAATATCACGAGCGTATTTTCCTCAAATCCCGCTTGCCGAAGTTCATCTAAAATAAGTCCAATACCCTGATCCATTCGGCTTATTCCAGTGTACTGATTGGCTATTTCTCTTCTGGCAGCCGGAGTATCTGGTATAAAGTATGGGACAATAACTTCTTCAGGAGAGTAGTGCAAGGGCTTCCAATCTGGTATCACACCCATGCCTGGCTCACCATTTCCAAATTTCTCACAGAACTCACCTACAACAAAAAGGACGTAGTAAAGTTCATCAGTCCCGGTTTTGTTTCTAGTGTGCGAACAACACGGTGAACAAATTTAGTTATTCTTTTGACTTCTCAAAGCCTCGTTTTAAGGTGGAACGCTCTATTTTTTTTTTTGGATCCTGGAGATGCAATCAATGCAAAGCGAGCAAATTAACACAAATATAGAAGAATGACATATGAGTACCATTTTGGCATTAGTGTCAGAGTTCGAAGGGTTAAAATTTTCCGAAGATTTTTGAAACTATGAGCACATTTTCTAAGATCATGTGTTAGTTCAAGCTTTCTTTTTGTACCTAATAAGCTTTCAGTTTCCTGGGAAGAATATCCATTACCATGAAAAATCTGCCAATATGTGCGACAATCAAAATGTTGATATCTTATAACGTTGTTAACGTCCCTTATAGTTGTTTCTATGAACGGGAAGAAACAAAACGGTGCCGGTGAGAACTAGACTCTTATTATGTACACACCGTTTTTCGATACGCCTTTTCTTTTCCTTGACGTTTTTTTTTTTTTTTTGCGTACTTACCGTATTTACCATAAGGGTCACAGCGATGAGGGTCAAAGAAGCCGATATACAAGAAAAATGGCCGAGGGTCACTCAGCGATCCTTGGAAAAATTCACGAGCCAAGTCTTTCATGTGTGTTATGTTACGGCCGCATTGCAACAGATTGCAGTTCAGTTCGGTGTAGGAAAAGTCAAATGGATAAACCTAAAAGAGAGTAACAGTGCCACGTTACAATGGGGTTACCAATAAAGCCATCATTTGCCCTCCACCCCCCTCCCCCCTAATCCACCCCTACTGTCCATCGTTACAGAATTTGAAAAACCAACAAACTTAATTCACCCTTCACTCTCAATTACGAATTTCCCTTCCACTTTATTTAGACTTCAAAATATCGGGACTTGTTTGTCGCCATTCCCGATCTTTCAAGCAACCGAAACACCAAATATCGAAATGAAGCACACGCTTGCGTGCATGCCTAGAATCTGCTTAGAAACGGTAATAATATAAATAATTTCCAAGATATTAGCAGACATCAATAAATATTGTGTCAAAAGCGAGGGGAATATTCTTTTATTGTAATCATTACAGTTGTGTTCCTCACCGTTTCAGGCCCAACATGTTTCTTGCCGATGATTCCGGTTCGTATATTTTCCTTTTGTAACAGAAGAGGCAGACTTTTCACTGCGTCAAACGAGTCGAAGTGATGAAAAGTGTGGTGGAGGCCATACATGCCATTTTGATGCTGAGGGAGGCCTGAAGAGGAAATAAAACCCTTAAAATGTGAAAATGGACAATAACCTAAAAAAACAAGATTAGAAGTAATTTTTCACAATTACCAGTACCCATCCTCCTCTCAACCTCTTCCAAATCTGACTCTGCTTCCGGTTACTTGCCAAAAATGAGCATGTGTCGCATAATGTAAACCTAAGGCTTTGAACTTTGGTTGGCAGCTCAGTCTGTAAAAGATGGGTTATATTTTCTAGGGAACAGCGCTTGGAGGACAGGGGAGGGACCTTTGAAGACCTTTGACCTTTGACCTTTGACCTAAGAGAGCAAAACTTTTATTCTTGCAAAAGTATTTCTTTCTTCAAGAGGCTAAGCTACAAAAGCGAAGGGTGATGTTATTTTGTTCAAGAGAGTATCAAATTCGGGAAATCTAATCGGGATAGTAATCAGGACCTTCCCTTTGTTCATTCAAGGGTTTCCCGAAAAATATGTCCCGAGAACTCCGGACCTTGTTCGGGTCTAGGCGGGACTCCAACGAGTTATCCTTACCTGTTAAAATTGTTGATCTGCTTGGAGAGCAACTGCTCACTGAGGTAAAACCATTCCTAAATATGACGCTCCGTTCAGCAAGTGCGTTGATGTTCGGAGTTTTGCAGACTGAGTTATTGTAAACTTGGGTTTCAAAGCCTGCGTCATCGCCAATCAAAACCAAAACATTCCTTCGTTCATTGGAAAATCCTCGCGTGGAAGGTGCTGAGAAAAGCAAAATTGATATGAAAACAAATCCTTGTAAAGGAGAACTAAATGCGTAACTCCGAACATTATGCACTGGATGCGCTGCACTGCACTGCGAAGCCGTCAAAGCCCTCATCGTGGGTTCGTGAGAGCTAACAGGCTGTAGAATCACATGACCCCGCTTCTGTTTCTATGGGATATCTTAGGACTCCATAAATATGAACCTACTAGAATGCGGCTAGAATGTTAATCCTCCACTCAGCCCTTATTGTGGTGGCTCCAATATTTAGTACATGAAGCAAAAAATTCACATTTTTTTCACATGTTGCATCCTTTTTGTGTCTCTGTTGTACGTAAAATACGGAGAAAATTTGATTTTATTCAGGAAAGATTTTTGGATATTCATTTATTACGATCGTTTGCGCAACCGGAAGCGTGGTTGCTCTGCACATGACGTGTCTTTGAGAAAGTCAACTATGGCGGTCGGCTTTCGCGCCGAAGCATTTCGAATAATTCTGTTATGCTCTCTGTGGTACACGATCAGCTCAACAAACAATGTAATTGGGAAAAAGCTGCTTATGGATTTTCCCTATCCTGTCACAGTGGCGATGGTTCATCTGCTCTCTACAGCGACATATTTATCACCAACTCTTCACATCTGGAAAGTTCCCCGTATGCCTTCCATACCTAAATCTAGTCTCATCACTTTGATTTTACCACTCTCTTTTGGAAAAGCCTTTTCGTCTATAACAAGCCATATTAGTATATGGAAAGTACCTGTCTCATACGCTCATACAGGTAAGACTGTGAAATTATAATAGAAGGTCCATCATTGTAGATTGATGCATTTAATGACATCTACTCGACCCGGCATTCAAACTCCATCAATCCACGCACGTATACGTCTTTAAACTCAATCCATATATAGCTAGGTGGAATACAATGTACTTTGTACAGAAATTCAGTTAACAGAAAAACTTTACTCATCGTATCTACGAATGGAATACTTCGTATATTTTAAAGTAATTTAATAATTACTAGAAAAGTACCGTAAAATTCCGAAAATAAGCCCCTGGGCTCATATTTTTCAAAGGCCTTTTTTGAGGGGCTTATTTTTGGAGGGGCTTATGTTCAGATCATAATTGGCTAAGCTTATACTTGGAAGGAAATTTGCATCTCAAAATCGATTGGGCTAACTTATAGTTGGAAGGAAATTTATGTCAGTAATTTGCAGAAAGGTTTTACTGAAACTCTCCTTGGGGATGTAGATCTTTCTAAAAAATGCAGCCATGCAAGTACTTTGTCTATATGGACTGAGGAAATCCAAGCCCAGAATGAAGAGTGAACTCTGCAAACAGCAATAGACTGTAACACTTTCTGACTGTAATCATTTGACACACGTAATAGTTCTTTGGTAAATGCAAAAATTTGTATGTTACTGTACCGTTATTGCTTTGTTCTACTTTGTGTTTGAGGGCAATTTCCAAGTTTGCAAGTACAATATATTCGGAGGGAGGGGGGGGGGTTGTGTTATGAGTTTGGGGGGCTTATACATGGAGGTGCTTATTTTCAGAATTTTACGGTATTACAGTGCTTAGATTTTTACTCAACCACCGTTTTGGTAAGGTCAAGGACAAGACTTAGTTACTATATTATTTTTGAAAATTTATATTTGTGTGGATTTAGAATAGTCATTTTTCTCTCCTACTGCCGCCATATTGGAAAGCTAGAAGACCCTGGGGACCAGTTTGTCATTTTAATATACCATATTTGGAAGATGGCAGTCCTCACAACTGAATTTTTTGTTACTGGATGTTTGCTTGTAAAAGCCACAGAAAAGCTGAATTGTACTGGGTGATTGTTTACAATGGCAACAAAAGCCTTTAGAGTATTAGTCTCCTTCACAGCCATTTTAGTGTTGTCACAGAACACTCCTTCTCAATCCTTCATGTGAGGAGGAGCATTGCTTGACATACAGAAAATGGCTACCAGTTGTGACATAATAATTACAGGTTCTAAGTGCTGGTTTTTGTTTTTATTTTGTCTTATTTCTCTCTTGGACATACTTCTTCAACATCCCTTAAAAGTTAAGGTGAGTGTGAGAATGTTTTCCATTATTGATTTTTTAAATAACTATACTTATTCTCATTTAATTGTCAACCATACAAGGTGATGTGCATGCCTACATCTTGCTTGCATTTAAACAAAACTCCTTCTTCTTTCTCTCTTTGATAAGCATTATTACTAAATACTCTTCATAGCGCTTGTTCTATTTTTTTTTTTTTTTGTGTTTTGAATAAACATTATTCTGTTTATTTCACAAGTTGGATACAAGTAGATACTTTGTGTATGGGACATTTTTTGCACAGCTCATGTCTAGGCCAGTTGTGAATTAGCCTCTTATGCCACCTTTTATAATCAAGGTGTTGTTTAAAGAAAATACAACAATATTACTCATTGGGTTACAATGTATGTTGCTCATGGTATTGCTGGTATTATTTAAGAACATGTAGATGGATCAGTTAATTTACTTCATCAAATTGATTTGCTTCCAACAGGCAACTATGCCAGTCTTCACAGTTATTCTTTCAAGATTAATTTTAGGAGAGTCACAGTCTCCAGAGGTAAGTAAATGTGGATTTATGATCATTCACTGAGCATTTCAACCCTCAATTTTTTTGCATAGTAAAATAATACTGATTGAATTCATTTATTTTGTACATGTACTCTGCAGGTGTATTGCTCATTAATTCCTGTTGTTGGTGGAGTGATGATAGCAACTGCAACTGAAATATCTTTTAATTTTATTGGCCTCCTCAGTGCATTGCTAGCCACATTCACTTTTTCTATACAAAACATATTTACCAAAAAGGTGAGTACTTCTGCTTATGCATGTTACTTGATTAAAATTCCATCAGTAGTGGTCAGAACTCACTGAGTTTGCCTGTCCCTGAGGAACTCAGATAGTGAAGGGTAGGCAACATAGAAATGCAATGAAAAATTTGTGGTAACAAACATCCCCGATTTCCCTTCATCTTTATTTATCCACTCTCAATTATCTGCAAGCTTGGAGAAAGCTGTCGCTGGGTTTAGAAGGCATGGCACATTAATAACATTGTTAACATGATTATTGATATTATTAATATACGAAAATACTCCTAAATAGCTATATTTCTTTACATTACATTCTCTGATTTCATGCACAGATTAAAGAAGTGTACTCATTTACCACCTTCACGTATATTGACACTTCCAGGGTCCGCACAGTCTTGAAACATCCTTGAATTCCATTTTTCCTTGAAAACTCCTTACATTTCTGCACAAGTCCTTGAAAAGTCTGTGAATTTTCTTCAACTTTGAATCCCTTCCCAGTTGGGGAAACACATATCACTAAGAATATGTGTTTCCCAGGTGGGAGAACAAAGAACACATATCACTAGGTATACGTGTTTCCCAGTTTGGGGAACACATATCACTAGGGATACGTGTTTCCCAGGTGGGGGAACACATATCACTAGGGATACGTGTTTCCCAGGTGGGGGAACACATATCACTAGGAATATTTGTTTCCCAGGTGGGGGAACACATATCACTAGGGATACGTGTTTTTCGAAGCTGGGGGAAAACATATCACTAAGAATATGTGTTTCCCAGGTGGGGGAACACATATCACTAGGGATACGTGTTTCCCAGGTGGGGGAACACATATCACTAGGGATACGTGTTTCCCAGGTCGGGGAACACATATAACTAGGGATACCTGTTTCCCAGGTGGGGGAACAGATGTCACTAGGGATACGTGTTTCCCAGGTGGGGGAACACATATCACGAGGGATACATGTTTCCCAGGTGGGTGAACACATATCACTAGGGATATGTGTTTCCCAGATGGGGGAACACAAATCACTACGGATACATGTTTCCAAGGTGGGGGAACACATATCACTAGGGATACCTGTTTCCCAGGTGGGGGAACACATATCACTAGGGATACATGTTTCCCAGGTGGGTGAACACATATCACTAGGGATATGTGTTTCCCAGATGGGGAACACAAATCATTAGGGATACATGTTTCCAAGGTGGGGTAACACATATCACTAGGGATATGTGTTTCCCAGGTGGGTGAACACATATCACTAGGGATATGTGTTTCCCATGTGGGGGAACAGATATCACTAGGGATACGTGTTTCCTAGGTGGGGGAACACATATCACTAGGGATACGTGTTTCCCAGGTGGGGGAACAGATATCACTAGGGATACATGTTTCCCAGGTAGGAGAACACATATCACTAGGTATACGTGTTTCCTAGGTGGGTGAACACATATCACTAGGGATATGTGTTTCCCAGATGGGGGAACACAAATCACTAGGGATACATGTTTCCAAGGTGGGGGAACACATATCACTAGGGATATGTGTTTTTTAGGTGGGGAAACACATATCACTAGGGATACGTGTTTCCCAGGTCGGGGAACACATATCACTAGGGATACCTGTTTCCCAGGTGGGGGAACACATATCACTAGGGATACGTGTTTCCCAGGTGGGTGAACACATATCACTAGGGATATGTGTTTCCCAGGTTGGGGAACACAAATCACTAGGGATACGTGTTTCCCAGGTGGTGGAACAGATATCACTAGGGATACGTTTTTCCCAGGCGGGTGAACACATTTCACTAGGGATATGTGTGTCCCAGATGGGGGAACACAAATCACTAGGGATACATGTTTCCCCGGTGGGGAAACACATATCAGTACGGATATCTGTTTCCCAGATGGGGGAACACAAATCACTAGGGATACATGTTTCCCCGGTGGGGAAACACATATCAGTACGGATATCTGTTTCCCAGATGGGGGAACACAAATCACTAGGGATACATGTTTCCCCGGTGGGGGAACACGTATCACTAGGGATAGGTGTTTCCCAGGTGGGGGAACACATATCACTAGGGATACGTGTTTCCCAGGTGGGGGAACACATATCAGTAGGGATATGTGTTTCCCAGATGGGGGAACATCACTAGGGATATGTGTTTCCCAGGTGGGGGAACACATATTACTAGGGATACGTGTTTCCCAGGTGGGGGAACACATATCACTAGGGATACGTGTTTCCCAGGTGGGGGAACACATATCACTAGGGATACGTGTTTTCCCAGGTGGGGGAACACATATCACTAGGGATACGTGTTTCCCAGGTGGGGGAACACATATCACTAGGGATACGTGTTTCCCACGTGGGGGAACACATATCACTAAAGATACTCGTTTCCCATTTTTTGGAACACATATCACTAGGGATATGTGTTTCCCAGGTGGGGGAACACATATCACTAGGGATACGTGTTTCCCAGGTTGGGGAACACATATCACTAGGGATACGTGTTTTCCATGTTGAGGAACACTTATCACTAGGGATACATGTTTCTCAGGTGGGGGAACACATATCACTAGGGATATGTGTTTCCCAGGTGGGGGAACACATATCACTAGGGATATGTGTTTCCCAGGTGGGGGAACACATATCACTAGGGATATGTGTTACCCAGGTGGGGGAACACATATCACTAAGGATATGTGTTTCCCAGGTGGGGAACACATATCACTAGGGATATGTGTTTCCCATTTAGGGGAACACATATCAGCAGGGATATGTGTTTCCCAGATGGAGGAACACTTATTACTAGGGATACGTGTTTCCCATGTGGGGTAACACATATCACTAGGGGTATGTGTTTCCCAGGTTGGGAACAGATATCACTAGGGATACGTGTTTCCCAGGTGGCGGAACAGATATCACTAGGGATACGTGTTTCCGAGGTGGGGGAACATATATTGCACTCGGGATTTGTGTTTTCCAGGTAGGGGAACACCTGTCACTAGGGATACGTGTTTCCCATGTGAGGGAACACATATCACTACCGATATTTGTTTCCCATGTTGGGGAACACATATTACTAGGGATACGTGTTCCCCAGGTGGGAAAACACATATCACTAGGGAAATTTTTTCCAGGTGGAGGAACACATATTACTAGGGATATGTGTTTCCCAGGTTAGGGAACAAGTATCTCTAGGGGTGCGTATTTCCTTGGTGGGGGAACATATATGACTAGGGATATGTGTTTTTTAGGTAGGAGAACACATATCGCTAGGATTAGTGTTTTGAAGGTAGGAGAACACATATTAATAGGGATACGTGTTTCTAGGTGGGGGAACACATATCACTAGGGATACACTAGTGATACGTGTTTCTTAGGTGGGAAAACACATATCACTAGGGAAATTTTTTTCCCAGGTGGAGGAACACATATCACTAGGGATATGTGTTTCCCAGGTTAGGGAACAATTATCTCTAGGGATGCGTGTTTCCCAGGTGGGGGAACATATATGACTAGGGATATGTGTTTTTCAGGTAGGAGAACACATATCACTAGGATTAGTGTTTTCGAGGTGGGAGAACACATGTTACTAGGGATACGTGTTCCTTGGTAGGGGAACGCATATTCTTAGGGATATGTGTTTTCGATTTAGGGAACACATTTTAGTAGGGATATGTGTTTCCCAGGTTACAGGCCGCAAAAGCCTTAAAGTAGCCGGCGATGGCGCCGGTTGCTGGCGCATTTTGACAACCCGGCCAAAAGTCCTTGAAAAGTGTTTTAAAATGAATGGAATTTTTTGTATGAACCTTGAATTTAATTAAATTTTTCGCGTGTTTATATCAGGCTATACAAACATAGGAAAAAAGTTTTCTATTGCTTTTATAAAATAACTTTGCCAAGAAAAAACGCAATACCCTTTGTTATGGCACTGATTAAAAGAGAAAGTCTTACAAGTCACAAAGTCCTGTACACGAAGTCTTGCACGCATAATTAGTTCTTTTTTTGCAAAAACATGCTATTCAAAATACGGATTTTCTCGTCCAAACTTTCAGCTTAAGCGAAAAAAAAAATGACACATTTTCTTTGTAGCGATTTTCCAAGTTTCAGCCGTCAAAGGAATGGGTAAATAAAGTAAACTTGTCGAGTTTTGAACTCGAAAAGTTTTTCAAATTCGTGCTTGCGTGATCAGCCCGAGAAAAGCAAAAGATCTTGATGCCACAACTTTGCCACAACCATGTTTACATACTCTCATACAAACACTCCTCTCGGCCAATCAGAGGGTGCGTACTATCTTAGTTATTTTACAATTAGAGGTATAGTATTAATTACAATGCTCTACATACTATTTGATATGCACACTGACATTGGGCAAGAGATACAACCACCTTCATTGCATTTTTGGTTATGCACAATTATGGAAGGCAATGTGTCAGTACTCCGTTTGTTTCATTGCCCCTGTTTATATTTTATAAAGTATTGTTTTTTTATTTCGTAGGCAATGAGGGACTTGCGTCTTAATCATTTACGTTTATTACTGTTGATGGCAATTATAGCATCAGCAATGTTAATACCATTTTGGGCATTGTATGATTTACGAAGAGTTATTTTAGTAATTGAATCGGTAAGTGTCTTACTGCTGGCGTGGTAGTACCAGAGACGTTCTATTTTACTGTCCTTTTGTAACTATTTATTGTTAATAATTTTCACTTTTTTGCATTGATTGATTGATTGGTTTACTTTTATCTGAATTCGGTAATTTCATAAGTTACAAACTTCGTTACATGAAAGCCATATTGAAGCATAAGTAAATACTGTATAAAACAGCAAAAACCTGTAAAAAACAATATGGTCAATATGTACAGTTGATAAAATCTGGTCAACAAATTGCTTGCCTGCTGGCCAGTTTACTACTAAAAAAAAACTTCAGACTCAGATGCCTTTATTTCAGTTAGCAGTGAATTCCACAGCGTTCCTCCTTGACCTATATATGAGAATGACCCTTTGTAATATTCTGTCTTCCAGTGCAACATATATGCTTTGTTTCTTACATGTTTTTAGCTTATATTATGACTTATATAATATAATGGTTGTCCTTTCATGCATTTGTTGCTGTTTTTGCAGGGTGAACAAGATCTTCTATGGCTACTTGTGATTCTGACATTAAATGGATTTTTAAATTTTGCTCAGAACATGGTTGCCTTCACAGTTCTATCACTGGTGACACCATTAAGCTATTCTGTTGCTGCTTCAACCAAGAGAATCCTTGTAATAACTGTATCCATTGTGTTATTGCGTAATCCAGTCAGTGTCATCAATGTGCTTGGGATGTTTGTCGCTATATTTGGAGTATTTCTTTATAATAAGGTGAGTGATGCGCGCGCAGCAGTGGAGTGACCCTGTGGACCCCCTTACATCCTCTCTTCCTACCCTGCGGGCAAGAATGGGAAGAATGGATAACAATGACTTTTAACGAACAGGATTTCAAACATCTGTATCAAAAGCAAAACCCTTTCGTACAATGTTCTCTTACCCTCCTCTTATCAAAAATATTAGTGGGTTTCTTTTACTTTCAGGAAACATTCCAATTAATTGTTATATCCCTATGACAAAATCGTTTAGAACCGAGAGCTAACACTTGTAAAGAATGGCTTAAATGTTACGGGTCAAAATTAAATTCAGGTTAAATTTTTTTAACCTAGGTTGATTCTCAATGTCCTTTGTCTCCTAGCCCTAATTCGTGATTAATTTGGTCTAGTAGACGAAGGGAATTTAGAATCAACCAAGGTTAAACATTTTTAAACTGAAATGAATTTTGTCCTGCAATAGCTATACCATAATACTTCACGGCCCACAGCGATGCTTGAGCTCAACGTCAGGCTAATAACGTCCAAGGTCATATTTTATACAGACCTTCAATTGGTAGAATTATAGCATTACCAGGCAATTAAACTCGAGATTACCAAGAAAACAACTCCAGTTACTGAACTCAGGCCTGTGAAGTTAGGGTTACAATTCTGCCATCCCTTACCACTTGACAGTGCTGCCTCTCCCCAATTGGTTCATGAAGTTTGACACACATAATCCTTTAACCGACTCTTCTGTATTTTTAGGCAAAATATGAGGCCAACAAAAGAAAACATGAACTACCTTTGCACACAAAACATAACGCAACTCCAAACCATGTGAGCAACAATCATGCGCACTATCATGTGATCTGAGTGATGGGAAGGTTCTCAATTCGATGGAATGCAACAAACACGATGGACAATCTGTAGGCGGATGATCTGGCAATACTCATAGTCAGATTTACTTGTATTGTGGGTGATTGGATGCCACGTAATGGTGCTGGTGTTTCTTGCGGCATGTCAGCGTCACACAATGCTACATAAGCCAGATAGAACGTTAAACTACCGTGGGATAAACCTGATGCTTATAAGTGAGAATAGTTAGGTTTCTCCTTTGTGAAGTTCGACGTTAAAACAGGGCCTCATAATTCATCAAAGTTCATCAATTTTGGTGGCTGCTGTTGGTCAGTTTTGATCAGTTAATTTGAGGCGGTAATAATTGCAGTTGTTGTACGAAAAGAGAGAGATGGAGAAGATATGCACAACAATGATATAAACAGTGGATTCTTTTATTTAGGAGCGGATTATTTAAGAAAAAAAATTGAAAAACGCTGGGGCTACAGAGGTGCTTTTGTTAATATACAAGATCATTAGACGTTCAATCTCAGCCAAAATCTTGAGAATCGACCTCTTTAGCTTGTATGTTTTGTTTTGCCAGTACAGGTCATGTAATAATACTCTAGAGGACTGTTCCACATTATTTATGGAAATTGAAATAGTCAGACAAAGGGAGTCAAGTTTTACTGGGACGTCTTATCGGGAAAAACCACACAATCTAAAGAGGTCTATTCAAGAGAAGGGACGTAATTTGACACACCTCCCCTTCACTGTCCCCTTCCCGAAAAAAAATCTGTTTTCTCCCCAGATTTTGCTCGATAAATATTACATGGTTTGGACCTCACGATCGAATTTGACCCTTGTTAATATAACCTCCCGATTTAGAGGAATTTATTAGAGTGTTCGGGCTCTAATCTATTTTTTGAAAGGAAGAGAGGACTTAGGAAACTTATTAAATCTTGCGTTAATTCAGACAGCACGCGGGGAACCTGTGTCAATCAGTCAATTTTGTTGTTGGCTTTGTAGCCAGGTCCGGTGAATGTGTGCTGAAAAGAAAAAGAAAAAGGTGAAATGTCCTTAAAAATAAAACAACTTCAATATTAACACGGAATTGCAAAGATTTTATTGGAACAGATTATTGTCGTTTCACCTTGTACTAACAGGTCATGTTGGAAAACTTTTTTTGTCTTTTTTTTAAATTTTGCTCCTGTTACATCTCTTTTTCTGAGTTCTCTAATGACAGACGATGAGTATTTATTACTGTATTTATCTATTGATTTTGTTTTTTTGATGAAGGAAACAGATATGTGCTGATTATGCAAATTTGAACAATTAGTGAATGAGGTTTTTGTTATGACTGGGATAATCAGGGTCTCGGTAAGTGTTATCAGCCTCGGCCTTCAGCTCGGATGATAACACTTATCAGTACCTTGACTTTTCGAGATATTAGAAAACAATCGAATCTAATAAATATTTCGTGAAAGGTTTGAACCCAGGAGCCATTTCATAAGTAGGTTGAGTGTGATCTTCCGGTTGAACTTTGTCCTGAATAGGACTGTTTTGTTAACAGTGACTGACCTTTCGACAACATTTGCGGTTGTCATCTTTAAGGTCAAAGTGATTTGTATCACGTTAGTTGACGGTATTAAACTCTCGTCATTGACGTGATTGTCAATTAAGTCGCGGTAGGTCAAAATCGTTGACCTACCCCAAAGGGGAAGGTCAACGATTTTGGTCAAAAATTGGAAATTTTCCGTTGTAAGTTTTTTCCCATTGTAATATTTTATTGATATTCTAGATGGAAAGAAAGGCTTTCTAGACTATAAAAATACTCTTTTAAAACAGTGAAAAAAATTGAATTTTTCCAAACGGGTAAGTCCACGATTTTGGTTAAAAATTCGAATTTTTTTCCATTCTTTGTTTTTTCCAAAAAACGAAGCATGGAAATATATTTTGTTGATATTCTAGATAGAAAGAAAGTCTTTCTAGACTATAAAAATTCTTTTTTAAAAAAGTGAAAAAACTTGAATTTTTCCAAAGGGGTTAGTCCACGGTTTTGGTAAAAAATTCGAAATTTTTCCATTGTTTGGTTTTCGAAAAAAATAAGCCTTGAAATATATTTTAATTGATATTCTAGATGGAAAGAGAGGCTTTCTAGACTACAAAATCCTTTTTTAAAAAGGTTAAAAAAAATTGAATTTTCCCAAAGGGGTTAGTCCACGGTTTCGGTCAAAAATTCGAAATTTTTCCACCCTTTGTTTTTCCAAAAAATAAGCCTTGAAATATATTTTAAATGATATTCTAGATGGAAAGAAAGGCTTTCTAGACTATACAAATGCTTTTTTAAAAAAGTAAAAAACTAAAGTTTTCCAAAGGGGTTAGTCCACGATTTTGCTTAAAAATTCGAATTTTTTTCCATTCTTTGTTTTTTCGAAAAAAAAAAAGCATGGAAATATATTTTGTTGATATTCTAGATGGAAAGAAAGGCTTTATAGACCGTAAAAATGCTTTTTTAAAAAAGTGAAAAAATTGAATTTTTCCAAAGGGGTTGATCCACAGATTTGTTCAAAAATTCAAAATTTTTCAATTCTTTGTTTGTCGAAAAAATAAGCCTTAAAATATATTTTTGTTGATATTCTAGATGGAAAGAAAGGCTTTCTAGACTATACAAATGCTTTTTCAAAAAAAGGGGAAAAAATTGAATTTTTCTAACGGTCCACGGTTTCGTCAAAAATTTGAAATTTTTCCACTGTTTGTTTTTCGAAATAATCAGCCTATCTAACCCCTTTGAAAAAATTCAATTTTTTTTCACTTTTTAAAAAAAGCATGGCCCCTTTTTGACTTAAACCATGGGTTAACCCCTTTGGAAAAATCTCAATTTTTGGACTTTCTGAACTTCTTGTTTTTATAGGGTAGAAAGGCACTTTTCTCGTTCTAGAATATCGTAAAAAACATTTTTTTGGCCTATATTTCCTATAAAAGAAAACATGGAAAAATGGCCACTTTTTAACCAAAACCATGGGTTAACCCCTTTGGAAAAATCTCAATTTCTTGGCTTTTTGAATTTTTTCTTTTTATAGGATAGAAAGGCGTTTTCTAGTTCTAGAATATCGTAAAACACATTTTCTTGGCCTATATTGCCCAAAAAAAAGATGGCAAAATTGCCATTTTTTGACCAAAACCATGGGTTAACCCCTTTGGAAAAATCTCAATTTTTCGACTTTTTGAACTTCTTGTTTTTATAGGATAGACAGGCGTTTTTTCATTCTAGAATATCGTAAAAAACATTTTCTTGGCCTATATTGCCTTCAAAAAAAAAGATTGAAAAATGGCCATTTTTCGACCAAAGCGTGGATTAACCCCTTTGGAAAAATCTCAATTTTTCGACTTTTTGAACTTGTTGTTTTTATAGGCTAGAAAGGCGTTTTTTCGTTCTAGAATATCATAAAACACATTTTCTTGGCCTATATTGCCTAAAAAAAAAAAGATTGAAAAATGCCCATTTTTTGACCAAAACCATGGGTTAACCCCTTGGGAAAAATTTCAATTTTTCGACGGTTTGAACTTCTTGTTTTTATAGGATAGACAGGCGTTTTTTAGTCTAGAATATCGTAAAAAACATTTTGTTGGCCTATATTGCCTAACAAAAAAAATATTGAAAAATGGCCATTTTTGGACCAAAACCATGGGTTAACCCCTTTGAAAAAAAAAAAAAATTTTCGACTTTTTAAGCTTGTTGTTTTTATAGGCTAGAAAAGCGTTTTTTCGTTCTAGAATATCGTAAAAAACACTTTCTTGGCCTATATTGCCTAACAAAAAAAGGATTGAAAAATGGCCATTTTTGGACCAGAACCATGGGTTAACGCCTTTGGAAAAATCTCAATTTTTCGACTTTTTGAGCTTGTTGTTTTTATAGGCTAGACAGTCGTTTTTTCGTTCTAGAATATCGTAAAAAACACTTTCTTGGCCTATATTGCCTAAAAAAAAAGACTGAAAAATGGCCATTTTTGGACCAAAACCATGGGTTAACCCCTTTGGAAAAATCTCAGTTTGTTTACTTTTTTAGCTTGTTATTTTTATAGGCTAGACAGGCGTTTTTTTTTGTTCTAGAATATCGTAAAAAACATTTTCTTGGCCTATATTGCCTAAAAAAAAAAAGATTGAAAAATGGCCACTTTTGGACCAAAACCATGGGTTAACCCCTTTGGAAAATCTGAATTTTTCGACCTTTTGAACGTCTTGTTTTTATAGGCTAGAAGGGCGTTTCTTGTCTAGAATATCGTAAAACACATTTTCTTGGCCTATATTGCCTAAAACAAAAAGATTGGAAAATGGCCATTTTTTGACCTAAACAATGGGTTAACCCCTTTGGAAAAATCTCAATATTTGGACTTTTTGAACTTGTTGTTTTTATAGGCTAGAAAGGCGTTTTTTTGGTCTAGAATATCGTAAAAAACATTTTCTTGGTCTATATTGCGTGAAAAAAAAAGATAGAAAAATGGCCATTTTTGGACCCAAACCATGGGTTAACCCCTTTGGAAAAATCTCAATTTTTGGACTTTCTGAATTTTTTGTTGTTATAGGCTAGAAAGACGTTTTCTCGTTCTAGAATATCATAAAACACATTTTGTTGGCCTATATTTCCTATTAAAAAAAACATGGAAAAATGGCCATTTTTGACCAAAACCATGGGTTAACCCCTTTGATAAAATCTCAATTTTTCGACTTTTTGAACTTCTTACTTTTATAGGCTAGAAAGTCGTTTTTTCGTTCTAGAATATCGTTAAACACATTTTCTTGGCCTATATTGCCAAAAAAAAAAAAATGGAAAAATGGCCATTTTTTGACCAAAACCATCGGTTAAGCCCTTGGGAATAATCTCAATTTTTCGACTTTATAAACTTCTTACTTTTATAGGTTAGAAAGGCGTTGTTTCGTTCTAGAATATCGTTAAACACGATTTCTTGGCCTATGCTGCCCAAAAAAAAAACATAGTAAAAAGGCCATTTTTTGACCAAAACCATGGGTTAACCCCTTTAGAAAAATTTCAAGTTTTGGACTTTCTGAACTTCTTGTTTTTATAGGGTAGAAAGGCGCTTTTCTCGTTCTAGAATATCGTAAAACACGATTTCTTGGCCTATGCTGCCCCCAAAAAAAACATAGTAAAAAGGCCATTTTTTGACCAAAACCATGGGTTAACCCCTTTGGAAAAATTTCAAGTTTTGGACTTTCTGAACTTCTTGTTTTTATAGGCTAGAAAGGCGTTTTCTAGTTCTAGAGTATCGTAAAACACATTTTCTTGGCGTATATTGCCAAAAAAAAACATGGCAAAATTGCCATTTTTTGACCAAAACCATGGGTTAACCCCTTTGGAAAAATCTCAATTTTTCGACTTTTTGAACTTCTTGTTTTTATAGGATAGACAGGCGTTTTTTCATTCTAGAATATCGTAAAAAACATTTTCTTGGCCTATATTGCCTTAAAAAAAAAAGATTGAAAAATGGCCATTTTTCGACCAAACCATGGGTTAACCCCTTTGGAAAAATCTCAATTTTTCGACTTTTTGAACTGGTTGTTTTTATAGGCTAGAAAGGCGTTTTTTCGTTCTAGAATATCATAAAACACATTTTCTTGGCCTATATTGCCTAAAAAAAAAAAGATTGAAAAATGCCCATTTTTTGACCCAAACCATGGGTAACCCCTTGGGAAAAATTTCAATTTTTCGAGGGTTTGAAGTTCTTGTTTTTATAGGATAGACAGGCGTTTTTTAGTCTAGAATATCGTAAAAAACATTTTGTTGGCCTATATTGCCTAACAAAAAAAATATTGAAAAATGGCCATTTTTGGACCAAAACCATGGGTTAACCCCTTTGGAAAAATCTCAGTTTTTCGAATATTTGAACTTCTTGTTTTTATAGGGTAGAAACGCGTTTTTCCGTTCTAGAATATCGTACAACACATTTTCTTGGCCTATATTTCTTATAAAAAAAACATGGAAAAATGGCCATTTTTTGACCAAAATCATGGGTTATCCCCTTTGGAAAAATCTCAATTTCTCGACTTTTTAAACTTCTTACTTCTATAGGCTACAAAGGAGTTTTTTCGTTCTAGAATATCATAAAAACATTTGCTTGGCCTATATTTCCTATTTAAAAAAACGTGGAAAAATGGCCATTTTTTAACCAAAACCATGGGTTAACCCCTTTGGAAAAATCTCAATTTTTGGACTTTTTGAATTTTTTGTTTTTATAGGCTAGAAAGGCGTTTTCTCGTTCTAGAATATCATAAAAAACATTTTCTTGACCTATATTTCCTATAAAAAAAAAAACATGGAAAAATGGCCATTTTTTGACCAAAACCATGGGTTAACCCCTTTGGAAAAAATCTCAATTTTTCGACTTTTCGAACTTCTTGTTTTTATAGCCTAGAAAGGCGTTTTTTCATTCTAGAATATCGTTAAACACTTTTTCCTGGCCTATATTTCCTAAAAAAAAAACTGGAAAAATGGCCATTTTTTGACCAAAACCGTGGGTTAACCCCTTTGGAAAAATCTCAATATTTGGACTTTTTGAACTTGTTGTTTTTATAGGCTAGAAAGGCGTTTTTTTTGGTCTAGAATATCGTAAAACACATTTTCTTGGTCTATACAGCGTGAAAACAAAAAAAGATGGGAAAATGGCCATTTTTTGACCAAAACCATGGGTTATCCCCTTTGGAAAAAGCTCAATTTTTCGACTTTTCAACTGTTTGTTTTTATAGGCTAGACAGGCATTTTTTCGTTCTAGAATATCGTAAAAAACATTGTCTTGGCCTATATTGCCTAAAAAAAAAAAAAGACTGAAAAATGGCAATTTTTGGACCAAAACCATGGGTTAACCCGTTTGGAAAAATCTCAATTTTTCGACTTCTTCAACTATTTGTTTTTATAGGATAGACAGGCGTTTTTTAGTCTAGAATATCGTAAAAAACATTTTCTTGGCCTATATTGCCTACCAAAAAAAGATAGAAAAATGGCCATTTTTGGACCAAAACCATGGGTTAACCCCTTTGGAAAAATCTCAGTTTTTGGAATATTTGAACTTCATGTTTTTATAGGGTAGAAACGCGTTTTTTCGTTCTAGAATATCGTAAAACACATTTTCTTGGGCTATATTGCTTAAAAAAAAAAGATGTAAAAATGACCATATTTGGACTAAAACCATGGGTTAACCCCTTTGGAAAAATCTCAATTTTTTGACTTTTTGAACTTCATGTTTTTATAGGGTAGAAACGCGTTTTTTCGTTCTAGAATATCGTAAAACACATTTTCTTGGGCTATATTTCTTATAAAAAAAACATGGAAAAATGGCCATTTTTTGACCAAAATCATGGGTTATCCCCTTTGGAAAAATCTCAATTTCTCGACTTTTTAAACTTCTTACTTTTATAGGCTTGAAAGGTGTTTTTTCGTTCTAGAATATCATAAAACACATTTTCTTGACCTATATTTCCTATAAAAAAAAAACATGGAAAAATGGCCATTTTTTGACTTTTTAAACTTCTTGTTTTTATAGCCTAGAAAGGCGTTTTTTCATTCTAGAATATCATTAAACACGTTTTCCTGGCCTATACTGCCTAAAAAAAAGGCTAGACAGGCGTTTTTTCGTTCTAGAATATCGTAAAACACATTTTCTTGGCCTATATTGCTTAAAAAAAAAAAAGATGTAAAAATGACCATATTTGGACTAAAACCATGGGTTAACCCCTTTGGAAAAATCTCAATTTTTTGACTATTTGAACTTGTTGTTTTTATAGGGTAGAAAGGCATTTTTTCGGTCTAGAATATCGTAAAAAACATTTTCTTGGCCTATATTGCCTAAAAAAAAAAAGATTGAAAAATGGCCATTTTTGGAACAGAACCATGGGTTAACCCCTTTGGAAAAATCTCAATTTTTCGACTTTTTGAGCTTGTTGTTTTTATAGGCTAGAAAAGCGTTTTTTCGTTCTAGAATATCGTAAAACACATTTTCTTGGCCTATATTGCCTAAAAAAAAAGATGGAAAAATGGCCATTTTTTGACCAAAACCATGGGTTAACCCCTTTGGAAAAATCTGAAGTTTTCGATATTTTGAACTTTTAGTTTTTATAGCCTATAAAGGCGTTTTTTTTGTTCTAAAATATCTTAAAAAGCATTTTCTTGGCCTATATTGTCTAAAGAAAAAAAAAGATGAAAAAATGGCCATTTTTGGACCAAAACCATGGGTTATCCCGTTTGGAAAAATCGCAATTTTTTGGACTTTTTAAACTTCTTGTTTTTATAGCCTAGAAAGGCGTTTTTTCGTTTTAGAATATCGTTAAACACATTGTCCTGGCCTGTATTGCCTAGAAATATATTTTATTGATATTCTAGATGGAAAGAAAGGCTTTGTAGAGTATAAAAATCCTTTTTGAAAAACGTAAAAAAAATTGAATTTGAACGGTTTTGGTCAAAAATTCCAAATTTTGCCATTGTTTGTCCAAAAACTAAGCGTACAAATATATTTTAATTGATATTCTAGATGGAAAGAAAGGCTTTGTAGACTATGAAAATGCTTTTTTAAAAAGGTAAAAAAATTGAATTTTTCCAAAGGGGTGGGTCCACGATTTTGGTCAAAAACTAGAAATTTTTAAATTGTTTGGTTTTGAAAAAAGAAATACGTCGAGAAATATATTTTATTCCTTAGATTGTTTTTCGGGAAACAAAGATAGAGATATAGTTTATTGATTGTTTAGATATGAAAGAGCGCTTTCTAGACTATAAATTAAACATGTACTTTTTTAAAAATTCTGTACAAAATATTTTTTAACTTTACAATATAATTATAAAGATATAACACTATTTCTGTCATAAATATGGCTGCCTGCAACCCTAAACAGAATTAGATTAAATAGATTAAAATAGAACCTAATAAAAAAAATAAGCACTGTCTCTTTTTCTTGGCCATAGTAAGCGTTTTTTCGATCTCTTAATCTCACAACTAGATGGTGTAACTCCACATCTGAGTTCTGGCTTCTGTTTTCTAAAGCGGCACAGCAAAATTGTCTCCTCTTGGATCATAATTAAAATCTCAGTTGCAGCAGCGACGTGGTCCACACGGGTGCGAGTCTTTCAGTTTGCCTTACTCTCTTTGCATTGGTATACAGTAGCGTCTTCAAAAGCATTTGTCCCTGCAAAATATCAACTAGTTAAGGACATGGGCGTCAATGGAAAAGCAAGTCATCTTGTTGTCTCTTCAAAAAGGGGATGATACCACTTCGATCTCCACCCTAATTTGATTTGAAAAGGAAAGCAGTTTTGCATCCGACACTACTCTCTTTTTGCCCAAATCTCCTCCCCCTACACTCCACTCCTTCTCCCTGTACCTATAATCTTTAATGCGTTTATTTACCCGTTGAAGATTAAATCTTTGAGAATGTGCGATGTCGCTATCATACACCCCAGACATAAACACCTTGTCGACTGTTATCGAATCTTGCCATTATTAGGGTTAAATCGAGTACTGGATTTCCGTAGAATATCTGAATACTTTTGAAAAGTTAATTTAAGAAGTACTGCAAGCATTAACCTTTTTCGACTATATATTTTTTTAAATTTTACCTTACTGGTCATATGTATCATGGGATTTTCCTCTTTGTTTGCCATTACTTCCAACAAAACCTCTTTGTATTTAGCAGCACTCAGTGAATTTCGCGCGTCCTCTAAAGGAAAGCTGATCACACTATGATCACAAAACAAAACTTTGACCAGTGGAACGTAGTTATGAGAGAATACGTCATGTACGACCAAAGTGAGGCTGGGCGTGGTTGCGTCTGTGTCGCTTGGCACGTGAATGGTAAAACATCTTTTTTTCTGGAAAATTAAAAAAGCGACATAGTGAAAGTAGCCGAAAAAAGGAGATGAATCAATATCTTATTGCGTCAATAACAAAAGTCTCGAACTTGATTGGTTCTAAGCAGCCGTTAACTGTCCAATTTGACCCGTCCGATTGGCTGCTTGTAATCTGATAGGTCAAATCGATCAGTTGAAGAGCCAATGAAAATTGAGCATCACTATTGCTAGACAATTACGTACTGGGCAAGTTTTCGACCTTCAGACTGACACATTTTATTTTTCATTTTCAAAAATGTATTTAAAATAGTTGAGAACAGTCATAAACCACGTTTTTTCTTTAGAATCTGTAAGCTGAGATTCTCACACTTTATTATTGACAAAATCAATAATTGCTAATTGGACTTCAGGGTAATCAAGCTCGTTTCGCTCGGCCGACTTTAAATAACTCGCCTGATTACTCTCTGAATTGCACTCCACCCAGTACTATAACCATACCTTAGTTTTGACAGAAACGTTTATTTCATTAGGCCATTCATGCGTCATTGATCTGAAGACAATTTCTTTCATTACATGTACCCGTTCAACTTAATTTCTCATAACATTTTAGATTTTACCTGAGGATACTGTAGAAATGATACAATGATACAGCGCAGAGCATTTTGTAGTTCTTGGAAGTCTCTCTTTTCTTCAGGTGGTGAACCCTCATCATCTTCTTGTTGAGTGAGGATCATCAAAAGACTTACAAAACAAAGGTAAAAAGGTGGTTATGATTTGAGCTTTTTGTGTAAATACAGTGTTTTGGCAAGGATTCTTGCCTAGGCCCAGAAATAATAGTTAAGGAAAATCTTGTTAGAAAAGAGATTTTAACTAGACTGAAAAGAAATCAATTTTTCATAGTCAACATATTGGATTTTTCAAAGGAGTTGGCCCATTAAATTATTCCTTGAAATTTGTCTCTATTTATAAACCTTTTTGAATTAAAAATAATGTCTAAGGAAGTTCAAGATAGAAAAGAAGGTCTTTTAGAGTCAGAGACCACATTGGATCAATTAAAACGGGTATCCCATAGGTTTGGTAAAAAACAGGCCTAGAAATAATGTTTCAAGGGGTTCTAGATAGAGAACTATCTTGTTCTTTTAGAATTAAAAAAGCGGGGTGTGAGTCCTTATTATCTGTTTGGGCGAATACCATCAGAGGACTCAAAAACGAAGCAAAGGTAAGTGGTGATGATGATTGGGCTTCTTCTTTACTCATTTAGTTTTTGGCATGGATTCTTCGATGTGATTTTAGTATGCGTTGGAAAAAGCTAAAGGGCGCTTTACGCGTCTGCATTTCTATTAAACATGAAGACAGTATTGAAATGAAAGTTGCGATGACTTTCGTTTGGACTATGCGTTATGATTGACTTACTTTAAATCTTTCGTTCCATTCCACGTTGAAAGACTAGCAAGGTCAATCGTTTTTGGTCTTTTGATGCAAGCTCGTCCCTGTACACCGAGTTCACTCTTAGGAAAGTGACATCTTAGGCGGTGCTTCTCGGCTAGTAATTGGACTTTGGAAGATTTGTCGTCCACCGGAGAAGAAAAGTACAGCGTCAGTGGTTTTCTAGAAAATAGGCGTACAAGGATTGATGCTACAACCAACTGCTGTTTTGCAGGCGCAATTCAAGAAGGACGAATTACATGTATTGAGATAACCAAAAATGCTGTTTCAAAGACACAATTCAGGAAGGACAAAGCACTTCAATATCGATGGATAGGATACTGGTTTAACATAAACGTGCTGTACTTTTTAAGGGGTTTAGTACCTTTTGCTATCAAACGAAATTTCCACAGCAGTAGGCATTTCTATGGGGTGATATTCCACTCTGGGACACCCTGAGAGGCAGACCGTGTTAGCTGTTGTTATAATCTTTATGTCTGCGTTATAACACATGGAATGTTCCTCTAAGGCCAGCAGCTGCAATTAAAAGGAAACGTCAAAGACATTGAGAGCAACATCCGAAATGTCTTGCTAAAGAAAATGCAGTAGTCAGACTGGCGATAAGCAGCCCATATGAAGAAGGGGCTTTTTTCTCAAGCGTGAAAACATCATAGCAAGCAAGAGCAGTGCCCATTTGGAAGATGATGATATACGAAATAGACTTATCCCACTTCCCTGTATGTAGTTACATGTCCAGGTTCAAGGTATGCGTACATTTTTGACAAGCGCCACCCAAAGACGCTTTAAACATTGCCGAGAAATATCCACCCTTGATACGTTTCTATTTCGGGTAAGGTGTCTACTTGAAAGTGTAAGAATGATGAGAAAATAAATATCCACCTCATGCTTCTGACTGATATGTACCTGGAGATGGTCAGTCTTTGTAGCTTGGGACATAACTACAGACAGTACATCACTAAGTCCAATATCATCCATTCTTTCCGTCTTTGCTTTCTCACGTCTTTGTCCTTCGTCGTTGGCGTATCCTCTATTATGAAGACTGACGTCATTAACAAGCTTATTTTCAAGTACAAAGTCGTCATTTAGTTGGAAAGATGAGGAATCGACTCCCGATTTAAACAAATGCACAGGCTTCTTGTCCAGTGACACCAAACAATCTTCACTACTATGCATAGTAGAATTATGAATAACCAGATCTTGGCTACAAAGAATATCTAGCCGGTAACAGCTGTCATAGTTTTGAAGACCTCTTCTGCTTGTGTCACTCATACAACTTACACTGACACAAGAAATATTTCTTGCAAGTCGCGATTTGCGTTTTTGGGGAAGAATTGTTTCTTTAACGTCCCTTTTTCCGCTGTCCGTGTTCAAACCTTTGTTGGTAAAGCAGCATACATTGTTCTCCATGGCTTTGCAACTATGTTTTAATTTCACTGCATTTGAGATGCAAGAAATAGTGGAGCTGATTAAGATCAGAACCGACTCAGGGTCAAGAGTTTCCCAATCGGTCTCAAACACCAAGAGGCTTGCCGTTTCTTTGTCAGGGTCGTAACGCACGTTGTTGTAAAAAAGGTGAACTGGTCTGTGGAATGTTCTTTGCTCCAACTGAAAAAGAAAGAAAAAGAAACACGCTTTAGTCATATGGAATTTATAAGAAAAGACTTTTTCTTGAACAGGTAAGAAAATAACTCATGTTCATCCGGGAATACCACTAACACCAAACCAAAACTCATTTCAAAAGGCTCCCGAACTAACAAAACGTCTTTTCCAGAACCGCCGAACTCCATACACGGAACCACCCAAAAGGGTCTAAAATCTTTAAAAAAAGAGTGTAGTTCCAACAGTCTCCAAAGACCAACCAATGTCCTCTTAACCTCAGTTGTATGAGACAAATTTGTGTTATTTGGGAAGGATGGTGTAAACTGTTCGAATGTCTTCGTACACTTTTTCTTTACCTGAGAAACTGGCCACACGCTGAGAAATCTCGAATCACTGGGATCTTCAAATACGACTGCTTGCATTACAGGTGTATTGCGTGACAGCTCAATGGTAGGAAACCTGACTTGCACTTCCACTTTTAAAACGGTACCTGTTTGTTTCAGAAAAAAAACCCAGTCATTTCTTATAAATCGGACACGGTTAAAAGAGGATACCTTTGTCAAACATGCATTGAATGAACTATTTTCGATCTCGGCGTCAAACGCTACCCCCACCCTAATGTGAATACTTTAGAAAGACATGCATAAAAGCGTATATAGCATCCTCGGAGACCCAGGGGCAGATAGTGGGGGCGAGGGAAAGTCTAAAATAAGGCACGAAGAAAAGTAAAGAACGGCGAGAAGAGCCCCTGGGGACAATGTCTTACCAGACCAGTTCCAAACGGTCGCCGCCGTTCTGGCTTCTGATTGGTGTCAGAAAACTTGTGTCTTCTGGCCGCTCTTTACTTTTCTTCGTACCTTATTTTTCCGCCAGTTTAAACTTTCCCTCGCCCCCACTATCTGCCCCTGGGTCTCCGAGGATGCGTATATAGTGGCATCTAAATTAATTGTAATGATAAAAAGTGCCTTGTTTTGCAGTTCATTTGTAGGCGTTTTGAACAACGTGATCAAACATTCTTTTTCGTGTTTTAGCCATTAATACCTTTTAATAATCCTGACAAGCACTTGAGAGCATTCCATGAGAGACTGCAGAGCTTGGAACAAGCTCGCTTTTTAAAAAGTCTTACTGCTGGCAATGACTCTTCTACATGTGACAAAACATGCTCAGCTTAAAAAGAAAATCGATAAAGGATGAAAATTAGTTCAGATAACTTTCGCAGGAGAATGTTGCTATGTCTATTTCGTGGTCTTATCCATAGACCGAGCAGATACATCCTCGGAGACCCAGGGGCAGTCAGTCAGTTTTCAAGCACAGGCGGAAGAGCCCCTGGGTACCGACTCTCACCGGACCATTTCCAAACGGTCAAGTGAATGCTGGCTCCTGATTGGGCACAAAAAATGCTTTGTATTATTGTGCCCAATCGGCGAACATGTTTCTCGTGAGTTCTTTTCGTGAGTTCGTACACGATGGGTATTATGTCGCCACAGTTGCCCGGTTCGTTCACCAAGCTTGTGCGTACAAGGGAAACTTCCATTTTCTACTTTCCTAACCAGAAACGAAGGACCTACCGATGAGTCGAAAAACGTTTCGGATGCTATCAGCAGGAACAATTCATTTTGCACTGAGAAAATTCTGTTTCTGACGGATCACAATGTATCGTAAATAATCAGATAATAGGAAGTTTAAGATGCGGCGGCGACGAGATAATAAAAAAGCAATAGCTTGACAAGGCAAAACAACAACTTTGCACGTGCATTACGCATTTTGCAGATTTCTTTGCCGTCACTGCACGACTACCACGTGAAGATGCCTAATTTCAGGTTTTGTGAACGAGGTAAACAAACAATGACAAAATTTTCTTTCTCTTTATGAACTTGGATATGGTTGATAGAAAATCAGCTCCAGAAGAGTTCGCTTGCATTTGACAAAGTAAGCGAGTTGGGATAATCACGATAGAGACTGGAAAAATGTGAATTCACTTTTCATGCGACGTTTTCGTGGCTGTCAGCTGTCGTGGAATCTTAAACTCCTTAAGATTTACGAAGGCATAATCGATGCAAGTGTGAATACCTGTTGTAAGCTCAAGCTTGTATTTTTGCAAAAGCGTCTTTAGTTTTCGGGTAGACAGTGGTAGTCTTTACACTAGAGCCTAAATAAGCTAAGAAATATTTCAAGACAAGTAAATTTTAATTACTTCAAGTAAAATAAAGCTTCACACACAACCGATTCTTTTTTACTTCTGGTTATTTTCCCACGCAACAAAATTAAGATTGATTGACATGTCTCGCCTTTCTCAAAGCTCAAGAAACCGCAAAACCGCAAGTCAGCTAAGTAAGTCATAAGGATGGTTTTCAAGTCGCTTGAAACTTTCTTGAATCGTTTCAGCTTTCCGACTTTAATGAGATGCAAAGCAAAGTTACTTGAGATTTTACTTAGCCCTTCACACACGAATTTTTGGTTAAGTAAAACTTAGCGGCTCTTAAGTCTTACTTAACAGCCTAGTGTAAAGACAACCAACCAGTATTTTGAAATAAAGTGTTTATATCAAACTGAAAGTTTCCTGACTGCGTGCATTTGTTTGGTGCATGAGCCAGACAAGCCGTGATCGAGTCAATAGCTGTCGCGTCGTGTACGAACTCACGAAAAGAACTCAGGAGATGCTGTTCCCCGATTGGGCACAATATTACAAAGCATTTTTTGTGCCCAATCAGGAGCCAGCATTCACTTGACCGTTTGGAAATGGTCCGGTGAGAGTCGGTACCCAGGGGCTCTTCCGCCTGTGCTTGAAAACTTTCGTCGCGCCTTTTCTCCCGACCCGACTGACTGCCCCTGGGTCTCCGAGGATGGAGCAGATATAGGTCAGTTAATCCTTTCCTGGCCCGATGCTTTACAATAAAGTTACAGTTTTACCAAAAGTGAACGTTTTTAACTCAAAATAAAGTATATAAAAGCTAGGCGTTACACGGTCCACATAAATGATAGTCACTAACTGTCATGGCAATCCCTTTAACTCACCAGATTCTTTAAGAGTTTCTATTGATTGCAAAAATGCCACGAAAAATGTTAAGGGTGATGAAAGAGTCACACCGCTTAGCTGCAGGCATCGTTCTCTGGGTGAAGGCAGTCTAAAGCAACGAGATGCCATGTTCTTCAGGGCGTCCAGAATGTCTGGGGAACGGTCTAAAAACGAAAATAAACTTTCAACATCAAATAGCAACATATTTCATTTCTCGCAGTAGCTGTAAAAGAAAGTTGTTGTAGCAGGCGGACGAAACTCTCATGGATTGAAGAAAAAAGGGAACTTACCAAGAGAAATGGGTGTTCTTTCTGGCTGAGCTCTTACCCAGACTAACCTATCCACTACTCTTCGCTCCTCCTTAAGGGCAAGGATGTCGCTGAAAGAGATAAAAGGTCCTAAAAGTCTCGCTCTTCTTTTGAAACCAAAAACAATTTACCACCTATGAGGTCATCAGTTGCATGATAAACACTTGGGCCAAAAAACAGTTTTCTTTTAATTAGAAGTATGGCCTTGGAATAAACCGATTGATTGGACTGTACTTAGTGCACTGAATGATAAATCAGTTCTCAATCAATTCTCTAATGCTTCCTTCTTAGCTTACCCCGCAAAACATACGTTTCACGATAAACGGTTTACTTTTACAGAGGTTTTCTAAAATCCGAGAGTAAGACTTACGATGCCAATGTTGTGCATAAATTCGACATCAACCAGAGAGGCGCATGTGTTCAGGTTATAATCCGATTCGGAATGTTGACGTTAAAACGATTCTTGGATACACGGGAAGAATACGTATTTACATTTTCCTACCAAACTATGTTGTTTGACAATTACGAGTACAAACCTCTTTCCAAGGTTTAGGTCTTCAGCCAACTTGACTCCAAGTACTGTGGGATAGAGAGTTTGCGCCATACCAAGACTGTAGTGTAAATACTCTTGAAGACTACACAAACCAGATGCCCGCCATAACATTGTCGACGTCATCAGCTGGGACTGACCTGGCCTTGAAAGGAATGAACACAATTGGCACCGTGAAAATTTGATCATTTTGAAAGTGGCATTCTTTGACTTTACCTCATTTTACGTCGTCATAATGAGTGACATGGGATAAACTATTATTTGTGCTTTCTGGTGTGTACCGTGAATATCCCACTTTTGGCTGCCAGTCACGGTATATGTACTCACCCTGCATGTGCATTGTCTTTTAGAACTGGGAGAAGGAATAGGCCATTACCGAGTTCTAAAAACTCTCACTTTCAAAACGAGACCGAGCGCAAAACTTTTCTTGTGAAAATGAGTTTTATATGCTTGGGAATGACAAATCATTTTCATATCAATAGCTTAGGTCTTCGCCTCGCTTTGAAACAGAGGCATGAGAAAAGTCGGATATGGCCTACTGACCACTCCAGAAATACCATAACATACCATAATGCTCTTTGTTTGTCACCCCAAAATTTTGCATAAGCATTGTCTTCAGTTTCTCTTAGGAGTTAAAATGGCCCCAAGAGAAACTGGAAACAATGTTTACGCAAAATTTTGGGGTGACAAACAAAGAGCATTATGGTATGTTCTGGTATTTTCTGGAGTGGTCAATCGACTTACTCTTTCAGTCTTTTTGCACAACACACAAGAATGTTTAACAAGCCAATGTGGTCGCTGAGGTTACTTGTGTCAATAACATCAAATAACATATCTTCTGACAATCCGCTATTGCATAAGTCCAAGGCATCTCCGTTCCAAAATGTTACCTAAAAATGGGAGAAAATAATTGTTATATATCATGATTATCATATAAATGGCATACTAAATGTGTGGACCGTGGTCCTGTGCATCGCCACGTGAATTCCTACTTCTACCCCCCTGAGTATGAGTCATTGGTTTGGCAGTCCCGTTTTCCTCATGTATGTGCATCATTATGTTGGGTTCTCTGCGTAATTGTCACTGTCTTGGGTACTCTGTGTGTATCATGTGTTTGGAAACCCTGTGTTAAGGTGTCCTGTGACTATCCGCGTGATTGGTAACCATGCATTCGCCAAAATAGTACAGCCACGTTTTTTTTTACCTCAATGTGTTGATCAAACTTTCTTGGTATCTTTGCTTTGCTGTCTTCTGATTGGTTAAACTCAAATAAACTAAAAGTAACACTGATACGGAGCTTTTGGGAAAATTAAATTTATGCACCTTAATTGAGTGAGTTCCTGCACATTTAGATCGGTCAAAGTTTTGAAAATTCTCAACCAATTTCCTCAGCCTTTCCTTGCATGCTTTAGTAGCACTCTTGCAGTTTCCAAGTAGGTTCCTGACAGTGAAAAAAATAACACGTGATAGTAGAGTATTACTGATCACTTGTTGGGTGCAGGTTGTCTGTTTATAGTAAAATATATTCTGGGGGAGCAGGAGTAACATTAGTCGTATTAAAACATTGTCAAAATGAAATAGCACTGGTTTTATAGCATCGAAAGTTTTGAAAGGTTTTTACGTCGTAGTCTCTGACACTGAATTGTAATGCTCATGCTATGACAGTGAATACTTAAATGTTATTTAATGACAAGTGGATTACAGTTTATCAAAGCTTTAGTTTTACAAATATATCAAACAGAGTGAAGTTAATGACGATAATATCAGGTCGTCGTTGGTTGATACTGGAATTAAAAGGATTAAGCATATACATGCATGTCTAACATGTGAAGGAAATGCGACTTGGAGGGGCATATATCATAAACGGTCATTCTCATTCTGTGACAAAACCACAAAACCAAAATCGTCTGTTTTCTCGAACGTAGCCGGAATTCAGCCCAACCTTAGCAATGTTACCAAAGCTAGCGACGCTCAGAAATCATTCTTTCTGAGCTTTAGAACACTCATTGTGTTTACATGTCATTTTCAAAACTAGTAGACAGTGAATTACTGACCCGTCGATAGGAATGTAACCAGAAAACGGACAACTCCCATAATGCACCTTCCATTTGCGCTCAAATGGACGAATAAGGGTGGGATTGACTCTGACTGGATCAGTGCTATGTTGCCATGTGCTGCCACTTAAAAAATATGAGTAGATTTCTTGATATATCGGGCCTGATTTATGAAAACATTTGCAACCAAGCTTTTGCTCGTCAAACGGTGTTAATAGTTGTTTAACAACTGTGTTAGTAAGGGACGTTACTGCACTGATAAAATTAACATAGTCTTCTTCTTCGTCCATATCGTCAGGATCTGCCAGGTTAAGCCCAAACAGGATCAATTTCTGTCGCTGTAGAAGAACGTCTTGAAGATTAACATTCATGTCCATCCAATCTGTCCATATATTCAGACTCTGCGTAAACACATCCCTTGAACCAAACTGTAAATAACTTTTCGCGTACGCTCGTGACATAAGACTATCCATGATCTCTTGAAGTCGCTTAAAATGTTCAAATGGAATTATAAGGTTGTACCAAACGTTCCACAAAAAGTCCACATCCCTTTCACAGTCTGGATCGATTGTCAACACAATCTCCAAAATGATAACATTTCGAGCGAGCACCGATGCGTCATGGTCGTTGAGGTGAAAAGAAAAGTTCTCTGGAATAGCGTCTTGGTTTCGTAGCGATAATTCAGAAACAGTAAACAGAAGATTTCGGACATCTCCTGAGCCGAGTAATAAAAAATTCAAATTACCATCTTTTCTTGAAGTCCCGAAGTGCTCTGTTAATTCAATGGCCGGTGTGTTTCCAAATGCGTAAGTGTAATATCCGCAAGGAAAGAGAACTTGAGCTTGAGGATTAGATAAGTCCAGTTTTGGGACGCCATTCGAATCATTCGAAGCGAGTGGCATGACCAACGATAATACAGCTGCAGAAGTTCATCAAGAGAGAAATAACCCACATAGAGTTGTTTCAGCAGTCATCACCGCGGCTAGCTTCCCGGCCAAGCTATTTAAACAAGTAAAAGCAATTTGCATTTATTACTGTTTGAAGACAAACTCAACACATGCATAAGCTATCAAGCTAAAACAAACTTGACAGACCACTGATTGGGGGCGGCAATATCCCAAAAGAAAGTCGAGAATACTTAATGCTGTAAATTATAAAAATAATATGATAACACTTTGTGCTCTTAAGCTCCTTTTTAAACTGTTAAAGTTAAATTAATTTAAATGAAAAGTTATAATCCCTCTTAATATTGGCATCAAGCTATGACACCCTACGAGCTAGGCCAACATATTACTGAAGCAAATGGTGGGAAAGCACGAACCTGACCTCCTGACATTATATTCACCAGAAGTGAGCTAAAGAAGTAATTTTCTTTTCAAGGCACACATTAAAAAAAAACGTCGTTAAAATGTTAATACGAGCGACATAAAGAAGCACTCCAAGGTGCGGAAAGCAAACATGACGAAAAGATACCTAGCAATGCATACATTTGATCAACCCGAAACCTACACGAAACATAAATTTACACCAACAGTTATCCAATTTATAGCTTCTTTTTATTGTATTCCTACCTTCAACATGAAAATAACATCTCTCAAAATTCAAAAGCTTATACACCTCTTAGTCTTAATGCTACCGTCGCAAAGTTATGATTTTTCCTCTCTGAGTCCAGATAAATATACATTATATTATTCAGAATGGTACTCAAAAGCAATAAAGGAAAAATTTCTAAGTCAAACTCAGGCTAGTAAGGTAGTCCAAAGCACCAAACATTTCGCTAAAACATTGCCCCAGTAAACGACTAGTGTAGAACGAATATAGTATCGCCTCTTGTTGTTATAAAGATTAAGCTTAGATGCGGTTTTAGGAATTACAAGCGTTATAACACAATTAAAATAGAACATTACCAAAAAGTCTACTTTTATCCTTGAGCGCTTCCGCCAGCAACAAAGATCACCTTCGATAAACAAATGAGCCACTGGGATTTTAAAAATATAAAATTAAAATTAAATATTCGCATACATTAACAGCTTGACTATTACACACAATTTTTAAAATATAATATTTTTATACGGCTTCGGGTTGTTAATTCCGTTTTTATTCTTCGTTTTTTTTGCAAGATTTTTCCAACTTCAAGTGTAGAATTACGATCGCGATTTCGTTGTAGAAACACTCTTTAGGCGGTTTTACAGTTCAAAGATCCTAGTGATTATACCCATTGTTTTGAACAGGTAGTTATCACTACTTAAATCAGCAACTCTTCTCTGAATCAAATTTATAACCCCTCCCCCCCTCCCGTAGAAAATATCAGCCATGTTCTAATTTTTGATGAATTGTATTTCTTTTAAAATAAAGGTATGTCAGTGCAGAACCATCTGAAAAGTCATGGCCGTCCCGACAGTATTCTTCACTTAATTCTATTTTCCGTAAAGGAGACTTCGCTCAAATTCTTTAGAAATAGAATAGCTGCCTAGAAACGGAATAGCGGAGCTCCCGCGCGAGCGAAGCGCGCGAGGTGGCGGAGCCGCATTGCTGAGATAAGTTATTGGTAACCTATGAAAGCAGGAAAATTTAGTTCTGACGTAGCGTACGCCCGCAATACAATACAATACAATACCCGTCCGTACACACAATTCATGTAAGTCGACGTAAGATGTCAGGTTATTTTGGCGGGAAAGCGAATGGCCACCCGCTCCTTGTGACGCAGAGCACAACTAAAGAGTCAATAAAGACGAAAACGGAAAGCGGAAAATGTTGCTGTATCCGTGTTGTCTAAAGTATTAAGCTTAGATTAATTGTCTGATGTCCACAAATTTGGAATATAGAGAAAGAAAAAACAGGGAAAAAGACAAAGTAGGGCGACAGGCCAGCGAAGCTCAACGAGAAAAAGAGCTAGAGCGAGAGAGAAAAAACAAAGGAGACAGTTTTTGTTGGAGGAACAACATGAAATTTTGTAGCGACGGTGACAAAATGAGAAATGTTAGCACCTACCAGGGTGAAAATGGGCGACGTAGGACATTTCCTCCATAAAATTTGTAACCATGCAGGAAGCTTCTGGAAGTTTCACGTTGTTTTCGGTATATATTGATCACAGAATGATGAGTGTAGTACAAGCATGTAAAAGCCCAAGAGCATAACATTCAGGCAGACTTATTGATCAGTAATGCACCTTGGCAAGTCGGTGATATTTTTACCTCCATAGAAGATAAAGTATGATCAGTACTAGAGAGGAGTATTCGAACGTGCTGTGAATAAGCACTGATGCAACAATCAAAACGGAAAGAGAGTGTGAGAACAGGATATCCCTTATATGACACGGCTTTGGAAAAATGCACTGAGAATAAAAAGAAAGTATGCTAGAAAGTTTGCTAAGCGGGATAGTACGAACGAGAACTTGAAACTCGACAGAAAGTACCGAAACCTAGCTACGCGGGAGCTTCGAAAAGCGATTAGAGCGTTGTGATAAAAAACAAAAACAACAACAACAACAACAAAAAACGGAAGAACATAAAGATTGAAGATAGCCCAGATACGTTCTACAACACTTTCAAGCCTTTCGTCGGCAATAAAGGCAAGGGATCTACATTTAAAAACTGAGGAAAAATGTCGAAAAGAATCATAACGACGGAAGTGGCAGAAATGCTGGCCAGTTGCCTTTAACTGAGCCAGATGTTGAACTTTTCATGACCTTAACCGACAAAGTTTGGTTCATCACATGTAAAGTTCGACGGGCGTTTGGCCTAAGCCTAAGATTTTACTTAAGGAAGTTATTCCTGCGGTAAGGTGACAAATAAGAACACTGAGTACGAAGCAAACAACAAGAACACCCCCCCCCCCTCCGAAAAAAAAAAACAACAACACACACACACACAAGAAAAACAAGAGACATGAATAAGAGTGTCAGTGTACTATGTTATTGTTCGTTTTCATGATAGAGTTATTATCCAAAACCTGATTAATGAAGTCAAAACCATGTGACAGCCTATAGTCTTGTGTAGACTGAGAGCAATAGTCTCCTATTTTTCTTTTCAAAGATTTAACTTACTCCATGCGTAAACTACGCGCTGGCTGGGATGAGAAAAGGACGGATTTTAAGAGAAAAGAGAGATTGTAATCAGTCCAGCTCTTATGTAGAACTGGATGAGTAAAAAATTCGAATCTCTAGCAGAAGAACAGTAAACTGATCCGCTTACGGTAAGAAGACTGGCAAAAAAAACATATTTCGAGAAAAATTAAGTGGTAAAGTGTATTTGGAAGATATTTCGGTTTGCAACAAGCCCCCATTGAAGGTTTGTGTTGCAAACCAAAATATAGGGAAAATATACTTAACCATTTGTTTTTTCTTCTCATGCGGTATATCTTTTTCTCTCGGTTTTCTTGCGATGAGGATCAGTTAAAAATGTGTTTTAAAATGTTATTTTGCGAGTTATTATTCTCCCGTTTTTTCCTTCCAAAGCAAATGAAAACTCTAAAAATCTTCCTTGTCTTTTCACAAGGCAGGTTTTTGCTTACAATCAACCATCTTTTATTGCTTTTTCATCTCAGACAAAATTAGAAGAAAACAATATAGACCGGTAATAATTAAAGTATTGACCCGTCAACATGGTGTCAGTTTCATTTGCGGAGAATCAAAGTAGTGTTTAAGACATCGCGGTCACGCAATAATAATGGATGGTAAAAAACATTTTCACTCCGAGTTTTTGATGTTTGGTTGGCATAAGGACTGCCAAAGGCCGGGAACATTTGAAAATAACCGAGGGCAATGACACAGCTTTGCACGAACCACTGCAATGTATCAGCTGTTCGGGTCTGTGAAATATGTCTGCCGCATGACATGCAGATATCCTGCGCGCTGTATCAATTCTTTCATATTTATTCAAGTTTATTACATAAAAACAGCAGATATCATTTCCTTCCAGACTCTCGTCGTGCATAAATTCAGATTGCGAAAACTTTTAAGGACCTTTAAGCCACACAGAAGCCACATTAAAAGAGGATTTCCCCTCCTGCCCGAACACACAGATCTTTCAATGGCTGTAATGGCTGTTGGTTCTTTTCAATAGTTTGAGGTTATCGCCATTTGAATCTTAGCATGATATCTACCTATAAAAACGTGGAGAGGATCGAGTTTCGATAACTTTATTCATTTCGTCTGTCAGGGAACCTATTTGATACTCACGAGACTCGACAAACCGTACAAACCATAGGATTATCGCTCGGCTGTAAATGACAAAACGAAGGCTTTCTTCGTACGCAAATCTTTGATAAACTGACGGGATTTGTCAGTTTTTAAAGAAAAATAAAAAGAGGTCAATACAGATCGCTATTTTGGGCTTGGAAAATAAGGATTGCGTGATGCGGGATAATTGGGGGAATTTCCGGTGTGATTTTGTTATCAGCGGTAGTTTATCAGCAGGCATTTTGGAGCCAGTGAGTCTTGCCGATATCTCGGAAGCGTGTGATGAACAAAAAGCTTTCTAGATTTAGTAAAAATACAAATTAAACGCAAGCGATATTTCATTGGGTGTACAGGAGCAAGAAGCACGAGTCTGCCATATTTAGATGATCGTTTCTTTTTTACGACAAGGCAAAAATACTTCGAGAACGGCCTGCGAAAATAATTAAGCAGTGATTTGTAATTAATTAGCAACAGGGAGAATCAAAATACTGCCATTGAGACAATCCAAGAATAGAATTAGAAGACAAAGGAAAACAGGAATCGGATTTCACGCATAGTGTTGTGTGTTAGGTAAACATTGCTGGCAATCTTCACACTCTGTCATAACCGGTAATTAATGGCAAACGACACAGTTTAATCCACGGCAGACGATCACTGCTTTGAAAGACGTGCTTGGGCGAATTGGTCGCATTGTAAGAGATCTATTCAGGAATGCAGCCTCAAAACTACGAGAGAGCTTTAGTAGCGATTTCCGCTTGGTTGTAGACTGCCAGGAGCGATCTGATAACAGTTGTTCTTGAAGGCTCATGTAATTAGCTGTGAGTTGTTACTGCTTGGATATTTTAACTCATGCGATTGTTGGTGATAACCAAGCATTCTTCGCTGGATTTATAAATTGACATTAAGATAGCAAAGCGCATTTGTTGTTTTCATTTTGAAGTTGTTCTTACGTGCAAAAGGGGACAGATTCAACTGGACTTAACAGTGTTTGTCAACATCGTGTAAAGCGTCGACGACGTTAAAAAATGGCGGACAAATTTGATACAGCAGCCCCCTTACTCAATGATTCATTGCCATATGAGGAGCAGGAGAGTATTCCAGCTCATGCGATTTTTCAACTTATCATGTTTACGGTCATCTTTATGGTTGGTTTCTTCGGTAATTGCATCGTAATTTACGGTGTCCTCCAGCAGGGATCTGCAAAGACCACCAGCAGTATTTTCATAGCGAATCTTGCGCTTAGTGACCTAGCTGTTCTTGTGCTTAGTTTGCCAATAGGACTGTTACAAGAGCTGGCTTCGTGGCCGTTCGGTGAGATGGCGTGCAAAATCTTTTATCCTCTCGGAGACGTTTTTTTGACCGTCTCCATTATGACGTTGACGGCGATCGCATTGGACCGTTACCGTGCAATTGTTACGCCGTTCAAGGAACGATTCACAAAAACGCAGGCGAAAATCTGCGTTAGTGTGATATGGGGTCTTTGTTACTTAATAGTTGGGATACCGACATGTTTTATTCTTAAATTGGTACCGCAGACAAATGGAGTGATTGTGTGTTTTCCCTATTGGAAAGATGACATGTTGCGGCAACTACACAAGATCTTCATAGCATCTCTAGCGACACTGCCATTGTTTCTAATTAGTTACTGTTATTTCCGAGTCTTTATGTCTCTATGGAAGGCACGAATAATACATCGTGATTCCGCGAAGAACTCCCTGACAACGATTCGCCTGGAACAGAAGCGCAAACTTGTAAAAATGTTGATTATTATCGTTGTCGCCTTCAGTGTGTGTCTGTTGCCCTACGTAACATTTGCTTTAGTTTTGGAATTCAACGGAATGGAACGGACCTCCACGGTAAATGTTATTTTGGTCGCGGTTCTATCTTTGCTCTACGCAAATAGTGCCATCAACCCGTTAATTTTGTGTACTATGAGCAAAGATTACAGAAAAGGTTTAAGGCCGTGTGGTTGTTAGAGCACTGGCAAACAGACGCACACCATAGTATTATCATGGATGAACATGGTAAAAAAAACCTCGCGGAAATTTTATTTCGCGCATCGCCCGTTGCCCTAACTTCTTCAGTCCTCGCGTTACGGAGTGAAGTCCTGTAGTTTTATGAGCACCGTGAAATAGCCACACGCTTCACAAATCAAACCACTCTTCATGCCTTTATGTCAGTCAGTCTTGAATTATTGACAGTATTGACAGTGAAAATCAATGAGTACAATGTCTCATATGTTTATTAAATATTCCAAGATGTAGATTTGTCGCTCGAGGTTTTGCAGTTGATGTACCTGTTAAATGATCACTGAATGTTATTGTTTCGAATAAAGTCAAAAGGATGGGCAACATGTCTTTGCAATATGCTTCCAAACTGTTGATAGATGTCGCCTTCAATCACGCCTAAAATTTTGTTGAAAAAGTAATTGTTTAACCAGCTTAATGAAAGCCAGAAAGAGAAATTTGAAATGTCAACTGTAGCTCCCCGTCGATTTTAACAGGTGCCTTCAAGATTCTGGGTTACTATTACTTTTTAACAACGGTTAAAGAATAGGCAGGGGTATATTGCTAAGCGCTAAATGACACTGAATTCCACAGATTAGGGTTAGGAAACTGAGTGAGTCAGGTTCCGTTAAGGTCATCATACAAGGCGAAAATCATTTGCGGCGTTGTACAGAACTCTGGGCTTTTAACACACAGGGCTTTTAACCTCTTGCTTAACTTGAGGGAGTTGACTTAACATTACTGTCGGTCTTTTTTCTTTTTTTATCAGAGGAAAATTCCAGCACTACAGTGACAGGAGAGCGAAACACATATCTTCTTTAAACAAATGAGTTGACAAGATTATAATTCGCAATTTAGAGTTCCTTTTTTATTTCCATTTTTGGCCAGTTCTCAGTTCACTTCATCAACAAAACCATGACAAAACCAAATGGAAAACAAGGAGATAGAATTTGTTTTTCATGTTTACCATCGAAACACCTTGAAATGTGTTGTAGTTTGTTGTAGTTACAGATGCGGCGACCTGGGTTTGATTTCTTGGAAAAGCTTGTTTAAGACAGAGAAGACTGAGAGCAAGGAAGAGAACCAACAACAAACTTAGCCAATAAAAAACGTCTTCTGTGATAAAGCAGAGATCAGGCCCCACACACTATACATTACCAACCTTACTCCTTCCTCAGTAAAAAGTTAAAGTAGCATCTTAAAGATCCACGAAGCAATGCCTCGCACTAATGAAGTCAGTTTTATTTACTGATCTAGCGTTTCAACACGAAATTGCAATAAATCTCTGGCTATTAGATCCCTCAACCGCTTTGCCTCTCTCTGAGGTCTTTCCTTTTAACGAGCTTTGTCCAAGCACCAGGGTAAGTCAACTTAAATCGTACTAGAGCCGGGACTCTCCCCAAAGTACGCGATAGAGACTGTTTCATTACATTCAGCAATGAAATGGCCCTGATATGGTAATCATTAAATCAATGATTGTTCTCCTGTTCTCTGAAACAGGGCTGATAACTTTTGTCTATTTCATTGTCAACAAGTGTCGGCCAGGTTCAAAAACTTGTTCAAAACTTTTCCTTTTCTTTTGGTTAAATTTACCTCTGTAGATTAGTATGGATAAAATGATCTTTCGTACAGTATACGAGAATTTTGCAAACAGAAAAGTATCTAGAGACCCTCCAACCCCCCCCCCCCCCCCCCCCCCCCCCCCCCACCCCCCCCACCACTGCCCCTCCCTTCTCCTCCCCTCACCCATACTAAAAAACCACCCCCCATCACCCCCCTCCCCCAATTTTAACATATTTTCTATCCTACTTTTTTTTATGATGTTAACTATTCGATCTTTTTTTTTTATGTTACAAATGTTGGGGCAGGTTTAAAAATTTTTTAAAAACTTTTCTTTTTTTTTTGGTTAAATTTTCCCCTGTAAATTATTATGGAAAAAAATTTTTTTCGTAACATAAAAGAGAATTTTCAAAACAAAAAAGTTTATAGGGCCCCCCCCCCCCCCCCCCCCCCCACCCCCCTGGCGACAATTCCCACTGAGTGAGTTCATCATCTCTGGCATCCAGCAGTTTAATAAGCCCTACCCTTCATTGGCCTTCATGCAAATTTCAAGTTCTTTCACAAACTGCGTTTGATAGATAGTGAACTGGCTACCTGTTACACTGCTACCATGAAAAATTACTGCCGATAAATTCGAAGGGATAGAAAACAGAACTCTCTCATAGACTCAAAGGTTAGGCGGTCAAAGGATTAACATCATTACTTCGACTGACGAGATATTTTAATCTAATCGGAAAGCAGTGCGGGTCGTATCTATATGCTTAATACTGCTTTCCGCCGGCAATTCACCAACGCTTATCGCACATTCGTTTATCTTGGGAAGTGGATATTAAAACTCGCGCGGAAATTCCAGTCCCGAGTTATTTGTGCTACCTATTGACTCTTCCTTGATTGTTGTCATTTATAGAAAACCACTAGGGCGTCGACGTTTAACCCCAATCGGATGTGTGAAGATGAGAGAGACCAAGAATGCATAATTGCAAATAAAACCTATTATCTAAGTCATAGACCTATTCGGCTAACTCAATGTTGTACCGAATTCAAACCCCTTTGGAAATAAACGTTTTGATTCAGGAATTTCCATATCACTTAAATGTGAATGCGACACTATAAAAATACAAATACACAAAGACTCTTAACCCGGGAGATTTGAATTGGGTTATTGTTTTATCACTGACCATTATTACAAATCAGTCAAAGAATTAAGGCCTAGTTTGAATGTATCTAACCATCGCCTACGGCCGTCTTTCTGGTTCTAAAATCTGTTAAATTCAACGAGAAGGTTTGTATATCGTGAGAATTTAGCCTAAAACTGGTATCGTATTTTAAGCGCTTTACGAGATTAAAAATTAACGAATTGTTTCACTATCTTTTCATAGGAAATCAACTTGTTTTTCGGTTTTTAAAGCCGTTTAACAACCTAGCCAGAGTGTCCAAAGCCAGTAAAGAATGATGCTCTGTAACAAAGACATCCAATCAAACGGTTCCTATTGCGGGCAAAAGAATGTTTTTGTTGTCGTTGTTGTTCAGTTGTTGTTGCTTTTAGCCAGCGAGCTATGGGTGGGGGGATTCCACAGGAAAGGGATGTGCTTCACTTGTGAGGTGTTTAGCCGATGGTCGTGTGTCAAGAAATATATACAAGGAAAATAACACGCTGTCATACTGTGTTGAAAAACATTAACTTCATGCATCTTTCGTAAACACTTTCAATCACTAAAGCAGGTTGGGTGGTTTCGGGAATTGGTTATCTGTTTTTATAGGAGTCAAATTTGAAAGCCTAAGGCATGCCCGGATTGATCTCTTTTGGGGGTTTAATTCCAATTTTCCGACACGTGACTATCACTTTGCCCTCTTAGGCAGGAATCATCTCCCATTTCCAACTAATCTGGTCACTATCTATGAAAATTGAATGCTACTGATCGTAAGGTATTTTTACCTAAAATTTCATTAAAGCACATTTCGTAAATGTTAAAATGAGTTCTTGAATTAACGCAAGATGATAAACTGAATATTATTGTTACAAGTACTGTAATATGAAAGCTTTTCGTAGACATCGTTCGATAAAGGCGGAAATGAATATAATAATAGCATAGAATAACTTAAATCATATGGAGAATTGGAGTCTTTTATTAATATTGTGATTAGAGAACAATTTAGGTCTTTCACTTGGGTGTCCACGATCTCTGCTATAAATATGGTAGATTTATTTCTAAATCAGCACAGTGCGACGACAAATTTCCATTGTAAAGGAAAGGAGAGGCCGTAGAGATGCTATCAAAAACCGGAATCAAGCTGATTTCAGTTCATGCCACGCTCAGTGACTGACAGCACGTTTTTAAACAATACGGGCTTGTTTTTAAGGTCGTTTTACCTTTCACTTGTTGCTGAATAAGGTCAGTCCCACTTTTGGAAATGCCAGACATGCGACAGAAAGGATACTTTTGTGTCATTTATGAACTTAGACGTCTCCAAAATACATTTAACTCCGCCTTCACTGATAGACTGATTTACTGAGGTAGTTCTTCTCTTTACAGAACGAAAGAAACAGTATCAGCAACAGTTATAAACGTCTGAAAATCGTTCATAATGTTTCTTATTTAACAGCACCCTTTATTCATTGTAATTCAGTAGGACCTCCAGAAGCATGTCAAATCTCGTCTCTAAATAAAATTTCCTCCCTGAGATCTTGCTGTTAGAAGTCAAGTCAGTGCGGCAAACCTGCTGCAAATAAAGACAAACAGCCACTGAGCTGCACCTTACTTGATAAAAAGGATAATGACACCAACACGCTGGAGAAAATAGGTTAACCACGCTGAAATAGATTAACTGCCAATGGTCGTCCAAAACCCATACTTCAACACTTTCCTTTTTTTAAGGGTTAAAGTTTAAAATGAGAAATGATATGATGGAAAACTACACGTTCAGCGGTAGCTTTTATTTGAACGGACACGATCATGATAATTCGGAGATAATCTTTTATATCGGCACCAACGATAACCAGTTTGTACCACTTGTTCTAGTCAAAGATGTGCGCCTGAGGTTAGATCAATTGTTAAAAACTACAAGAAAATCGTGTGGTTAATGTAAAAAGGCTCCGAGAGCGAATTCGACTTGCTCCTCAGCCGAAGTAGCCTGAGTATCAGGCCTTCCTTAGGGGACAGGGGAGAGGAGAATAAAGAGGGCAGAGGGGACAGGGGAGAGGGGGATCAACAAAGGACTGAAGGTCATTTTTCTCCTTTCGCTGGTCAGGTAAGAAGGTAACATATAGGTAGGAATTGAGAATTTATGACACACACCCAAAAACGGAAAACTCAAGGGAAACGAAACGAACAAGAAAACGTAAAGAAATCATTCACAGGGCTATCGCTAACTTTTCAAGTTGCAGGGTAAATGCGATTAGTAGGAGGGGGATTGTACAGCCAGGAAGTTCTTCTGGCTCTATTTTCCTTTTGTTTTCTATGAAAGTAGCCGGGGAAAATCCCCGGTCCCCGGCTCTTTGTGACAGCCCTACAGAAATGAAAAAGAAAACGTAAAGAAATGAAAACAAATGTAGCGTCATAATAGCGCGACACAAAAGAACATAAGATCTCCGATTTAGCTGAAATGTACACAATTCATTCTGTTTAAATAAAAAACAAAAGATAAACAACTTATTTAAAGGTTATTTGCATTGCTGGTTCAGTTCTTTTACGACTATTACAAATTCACAAGTCTGTGGACAGTTCATTTGAGACGATTGTATCTCGGGCACAAAGACATTATAAACTGTCTAGCTATTTCAAAAAAGTTTCTACTTGTGGGGTTAATTGAGGCGTCTAAACAAACTATGAGTGTTAGATGACACTTAAAAAAAGTTTAGCCTTCCTGTTTTGTAAGAGAACATGATGCCGTAAAATCTTTCCGGGAGAGTATCGTGGTGATATGACAGAGAATGTTTGCTTTGGCGACGTTTTGGAGAGGGTGTCGATTAGGCGGGCAGTTTTCCGACAAGTTATCATTCTCATTAGCTTTGGATTTATCAGTATCGTTTGTTGTTAAACTCGCCCATGTTTTATCTATTGTTTAGTATTTCCAGAAAGAAAAGCTGTTTCATTTCACCTTATCAATAATTGTTTTCCTTAATGTTATAGAGTCAATTTAAGCATTCAGATTTATTGACAAAACACAATTTTAGACGTAAGTCTCGAAGACAGCAAGAACGGAATTTTGAGCTAATGGCGGTGGTTCGAGAATCAGCACCCCTCAGTTCCCTGGCGTCACACAGTTGGCCAGTTTTTGACCCAATGTTATATTGGGATATTGCAAGCGCTAACTCTACATTTATGTTTCAATGACACTGTTAGCCAACAGTTTTTTTAGGGTTAGAAAACATAGTTGGGAGTTGCTACGTTGTATTCAAAACGCTCGAAAATATTGAGAGGCCAATTAACAAAATCTTTGCCACTGGACAAAGACAGATATTGATATCCAATTCAGTCACCAAGAAGTGGAATGCTGAACGTTCCCAAACTTTTAGCTAACGATGTTTTTGCTTGTGCCCTTACATGGCTTTGTAAAAAGGAAGAAACGATATCTCCTGCCGCAGTGTGACTTATGTCTGTAAAGACTGTAAATGAATTGTGTGGCCATTAGACTGGAGATCTTCTTGGCACTTTTTTCTTTTTTTAAGGGAGCTTTTGTTGGTACGCCAACTTATGAAGATTAAGTATTTAACCCAAGAGCGTCTGAAAAGAAAACATCTCCAGTTTGCCCTTGAAAAAATACTGTCAATAGAATAGTCAATAGGGCGTCAGTCAAGGTCTGCGTCTCATAGAAATGTCCTGAGTCCTAACAAAGACGACAAAATAAACGTAAGAAATGCATGTATATAGAACGTCACGTTCAAACTCAATAATAATTTTTGGCAACTTTGCCGAAGTTTCTCTAGGCCAAGAATTTAAAGTAATCTGAAGAGGAGTTTCATGTACTTATCCCGGATCAGCTGAACATATTTTGCATAGAATAACATTCTCACCCTACTATAAACGCACGGAAGCGGACCTTTACACGTTCAATCGAAAGCGAAAATAACAACTCTTAGACTTACTGGTTTGGTCCCGTTTCAGTGTCAGTTCTCTCAAACCGTGAAAACAAGATTCAAATTTTTGTTTTTGTAGCTCATGTATATTGTTGTTATAATCATCGGGAGGAGAAAAATAATTTCACATAATAATCTTAGAGTTCTTTGCCTATCGATGATAGCGTCTGTGGACATGAGCCTTTGAATGTGGGAAATTATTAGAACAAAACCATTGTCACCACTGAGACTGATCATCATTTCTCTCAAGCACCAGTAGTTGGAATAGCTGGGTTGTTGGAGATTCAGGGGCACCCAACGACAATTTTTAGAAAATATCTGTTCCGAAAACTGTTTGAGATCTAGAATTTTCGGAACATTTGTTGTAAAATGTCTTGTCTGCCTGCCTCTCCTGGGATTTTCGAACATCTAAAAAATGGTATAATTGCCCATTTTTAACGGATTTTTACCGTAAAAAGGTCACCTAGAATTTTCGGGAGCCTTTTTTCTGGCTGAAATTTTCGAAAAGGTAACTTTTGATCCTTATAATTTTCGGATCACTAGACTTTTAGGGGATAAAAATATGCCTATATCTACCGTTTAAATACTATAATACGTTCAACAATACTATGTTTAAGTGGTTTTGAACTATTTTCTCGTTGGGTGCCCCTGGAGATTTATAGTTTTGACAGGACTGCTTGATCAGGTTGGATCGATTTCAGTTGCTATGAAAACAAACAACCTTATGGCCATTCTAGATCACCCTCTTTGTACACATAATTTCTTTTGAAAGCAAAATACCCCAGACAAACAATTGACCACCAACGAAGGAGCATGTCAGTTGAAGAAACCGAGACATTTCTCGCTGTTTTACCTTTTAGTTTCAGAGCTCTATTTTGATGAAAAACAATGAATTGTCTCTGTAACGACGTTTCTTCGATTGTATTGGGCATTTCAATAAGACTGTTAGAAGTTGATATTTCCGGGTCTCGTGATCATCTTTTACTGAATATTTCAAGGGAAGGCCAGTGAGGGGAGGGGGAGGGGGAGATAAACTACAACTTCATGCAGGCTAAATGGTTTAACCTTTCTTACAATTCTGGTTAAGGGTGATATGCCCGTGCTAAAAACGTCTTTAGTTGCAAACGTTAGCAAATGAGGAAGCATTTTAGGCATTCACCACCCCTGCAGTCAAAAAAGAGGATAGGTTAGGAACCAAAAGGATTGGGAGAAAAGCTGGATCAGGGACAACACTCTTATTCCTTTATCCAATTAGTTAACAATTATTCAATTTGGCTAGCCCGGTGTTTCGAAACAAAATTTTACTGAAATCATAGATTGCCTGTCGTCGGGACATAATACCATCTAAATCCTTTAGCTAGCTTTTGAGCTACGATCCTAATGACCGACTCCGTATTGGCTATTTAGCAGTAAGAGCATACTATACGTTTTCTTTTAAAATAGAAAGAAATATCACCTTACGTTTTAACACTTGAAGAAATAAGGTATTTTGACCTTTTGTTGCTCTTCTGGATTAAATCAACAGATTCTCAGTTTCAAAAGAGGAAAGTTAAGTTCTTTTATCCAAAAACCGTGGTAATTTTAAAGAATAAACCAATATAAATTAACAACTACATTTGCAGGGGTCATTTCCATTTCAGCGGTTCAGAAAAGAGTAATTGTAGGAAAGTTTGTCTGTCATGAAAACGTTTACTATCCATTCTTATTTAGTATATACGACACGTAGAGACTATTTCGAAAACTACTTTTAAAGGACCTTTATTTAAAGAAAATAGTAGTTTCCAGGAATTCAAATCCGACATTTAGACACACTGAGGAACTTGTAAATTCAAACTATTTTGCAAAGAGCCAAGCAATTGCAACACGAAAGTAGGCATTAACCGTGTGATACTTCGTCTTTTTATTAAAAAAGATCACAACAAAGGAAAGGTAGTAAGAATTAACTACCGATATTATGGCGCGGGCTATTATGGCTAAATGTGAAAGGAAGTAGTTCTGTCTCGAAATCTGCGTGGGTCTCATTCTCTACCAATAAGTTGAAACACATCTATTTATGAAAAACAACGATTGAGACGGCTACTTTCCAGCCTTGACCTAAACTTTGTCGCAACTCAGGAAGATCAGAACAAATAGGCAAGTGTAAAATGCCTCATTATTATGGCTAAGCTGTTGATGATTCAGTACACATTTGCACTGTTTCAAAACTCATACTGATCCATGTGTGGCACATAGGATGGAACCCACGAGAGAAAACGTCAAGTTTATTCCACAGAGTTATGACCACCGGCGCGAGATCTCCAGCCTGACCTAGCGTATAAATAGTTGACCGATTTTTATTTTTCACCGTAAGCCCAAGGGTTACTACACCACAATGAATGCCATTGTGGTAATTCTTCTGACACTGGGGGCAGCTTGTAAGTTATGCGTCCTTTCATTTTTCATTGATTTCCTTTGCTAATTTGGCGTTCAAAAGAAAATCGACGACTGTCTTGTTTCAATTTTGCTTTTATCTTACGTCGATACACTTCATGTGCTGACTGAAAATGATAGCTGACGACACTCTTAAGAGCACTTTCGTCCTGTACAAAAAGCCTATAGTATTATTTAACACTTTTCAATTTTTGTACATGTAGTATAGTAGTACTGGAAGCTTAAAAATTGAGTTTATCTTTTTCCAAAACTTCAAGTTATATTCTTATGATGTAGTTTTATTATTAACGTCTTATAGCACACGAGTTCGAATATACACTAAGCTAAAAGACAAACACTTTCCGCGTGTTTCTTTTTTAAAATTTGTATTTAGGCTTTAATCATTTCATGTTAACAATTCTTTTTTTCTTTTCTTTTCAGTTGCGATGCCATTAGGTAAGTAACAACTGATACCATTGTGTACTTTTACTATCCCAGCGAAGAAAGAACCTCTCGTCCTGTGAGCTTTCCTCACGCGAATGACTTATGAGCTAAAAAAATCTCACAAGAAGATCACTTAAACTACTCTTTTCACTTTGGCTAGTTTCCTTTCATTTTTCATTTCTTACATTTGAAACTTTGGCGTTCAGATGGAAATGATGTCTGGCCTCGTGTTTTATAAAAAATGTCCCGGGTTTTAAAAACAATTTAGACGGATTTCTTACTGATGCCGATATACCATGTACGTTTAGTTATAACTAAAAAAGATAGCATTTTTGTTTCCAGGCTTCCAGAAGGGCAAAAGGTACACGTACAGCTACCAAAGCGAGGTTTCACATGCCATTCCTACTGGTTCCCAGAAGACCCTGGGGTTGAGAGTGAAAAGTCAGGCGCATGTTGACGTATTAAAGAAGACGGAGATACAGATCACGGTTAGTGCTAGTTCAGTAGTCCAGCCATCATGGACAAGAGTGCGGCATGGCTGGAAAGAGTAAAAACGTATTAGCGCCTCATTTTATCGATTATATTTTAATGCTCAACTGAAAATTCAAATTGGCTCTCTATCAGGTAGCCCTGACTCACCAACTCGATCCATTCACCATTGTCTCTGTCAGTGATCCAATTTTACGGAACAACATTGGAAGAGAGTGGTGGGGACCAGGGGTGGAAGAGAAATTAATTAAAAGTGAAAAGTCCTTACTTACTAAATTCTTATTTTCTATCTTTGGGTTAGACAAAGCCTAAATTATAGGAAAATATCTAAACAGTGAAAGTATACTTCCAGTTTTCTACACTTTCGTTGTTTTTGTCGTTCTTTGGTCTTCTTCATCTCTTTTTCTTTTGACGTACTGATGTTATTATTCGTAATCAGTGTTAGTTAGAACGAAACAACGTTTTAGACTTAATAATTGTATCCAGTTTGTTTCAATCCAAACCCAAAGATAATAGTGTGAAATATTTCAGATTTGCCATTGCCTCCAATCGAGCTCGGGCTAGCTTGGTTTATACCCACGAAATTACCGCCTTGTTTTCACAGAAAGAAATATTTAAAATGAAATTACATTTTACCCATAACGATTTCTTTCGTTATATTTCATTAGCTGGCAAACGTTCAAGTCCTTCAAGTCACTGGAAACCTCCGAGACTCCAAAGAACAAGAGAAACCAGCAGATGAGAAGATCTTACAGGCAATGCAAAAGAAACTGTCCTTACCCGTGAAAGTCGGTTTCAAGCCACAAGATGGTAGCATTAAGGAAATCAAAGCGCACCCTAAAGATGAAGAATGGTCGCGGAATATCAAACGAGGTCTCGCTAACCTGTTCCAGATCTCAGCGAACATAAAACTGGAGGAGAAAAATGGAAAACAGTTCATTACCCAGCACGAGGTTAGAAAACGTTGGCTGATAATTAGATTTGACTGGAAAACTGTATCCAAATCTTTCTCGTCTTAGTTGCAATTTGCACATCTCCAATAGTAAACCTTCTTTGGCCCACAAAAGTTCGCATAAGCATTGTCTTCAATTTCTCTTGGGACGACTGTAATACCCAGGAGAAATGAAAAACAAAGGTTACTCAGAATTTTTTTTTGTTTTTTTTTTGGGGGGGGGGAGGGCAAGGTATATTGTGGGGGATGTGCAGATGGCAAATTCGTAGACTGTATGGACTTGGACAGTCTCATAGCACGAAGTGGTTTGCATTAACATTGTCATAACAGAAACAGAGATTTATTTCGCCTTCTAGTCTACAGCAGTAGGTGATTGCCAGGTATCTTACGTCGTCAACCTAGAGAACAGCCAACAAGGAAAGAAAGACCAAGTCTGCAAGATTACCAAGGTGATCAACTATGAGAAATGCAGGCAACGCCCTCAGTTTAGCCAGAATACCTTTTATGGCCGCAACTGCGATGGCTGTCAGCAGGTAAAGATGGAATCAAATACTTTAAAGATGTACTGATATTGTAATAGAGCAATTTTTCTTTTTTGCGTTACAACCATCCTCTATTTTATACTAGGATCTGATTTTGACTAAAAGGTTTGTACATGTGTAAAAAAGACAGTTAGTAGTCAAACAGCCTGTTCCAGGCTCCGAGATAATCCGATGCCCGAAATTGAGAAAGCGCGAAAAAGAAAGTAAAACGGGTTGAAACTGGGGAAAGGAAGGACCATCGCCACCTTTTCCCGGATCACGTGGTCATATTCTTGTGTGCCTTTCACTTACGCGTCATCCCCGCTATCTGAGAGACTGAAACAGACTAGAAGGGAAACGTTTCGTAAAAATTAATTTTGCACTCATCATGGTGCGATTAACCTCGCGTTATAATGAACGACTTATTTTTCAGAGCCTGGGCTATGCACCATACCTCCGCTCGGTCGGACAAATTGACCACACTTTGACTGGCTCAAAAGTTGATGGTTTCGTCATCAGTAGAACTGAGGCTTTTGAACAACACGTGATCACTCCATTCTCTCGGTTAGGAGGACAGGTCACTGCATCGTCCAGGTACAAATATGTTATAGTTATCCCATAATGCGCTATACTCTAAATGCATACAAGACTTGTCTCTGCTGTAATTGGCTACCAAACCTGTTTTTCATGTACCAAAGAGAATACATTGGACTTACTTAGAGACTTAGCACAATGAATTCAGGTGTATCTTTGGCTACTCATAGAAAGCTCTATCGTTAATCTGGACTCAATACAGTATTCAAGGTTTGAAATACTGCCAGAAATTTCAGTATTGTTCTTAAGAGCGAGCCTTATCATAGCCCTTTTGAATAACAAAATTTTATATAAGGTTGTTAACTGCATATGATGATGATTTTAGATTTTGAATAATATTGTAAGCATGGAATTAAAAAAGATTGTAAGAATTCTTATAAAAAAGTTGTCAACTGTCATTACAGCCTGAGCAAATATTCTTCTAAGATAAGTTTTAGCTGAAAAAGGTCACAATGAGTGGTGAGTGTTTGATTTAAGTTTGAATAATGACCAGGCTATTGTTTACTCTTTAGTTACGATATTTCCAATCCATAAATCCTACACAAAGAACAAAAATGAAATAAGTAAGGAGGTGAATGTACAAAGATTGACAGAAAACTACAAAAGAGACAGTTCTGTTATTGTTTTAAAGTTCACTGACTTTTTGAGTCTCTCTGTTCCTTTCAACAAAACCAGACAAATGCTACAGTTCCAGAAAACAGATGCTGTGGGACAAGATTGTAAGTATCACAAGTTGTTAAAAATATCTCTTACTTCTCAAAGTTCCACGAGACCCATACAGAAGGTAAAAGGGGGTAATGAGAGAGAAAAGTGGGCCACAATTTTTAGATACAGTTAACTCAACTGATTGGGTGTTTTCTAAAGATGCCATAACCAATTAAATTTTGGCTTATATTATAAGGAAATGTACGTATGTTTACATTTGTTTATGTACGTTTTGTAATAGGTTTCTTTTCCTTATTTGCGCCGTGAGAGCCCTTGGGCTCAGTAACTATAGTGCAGCATTTCCCGAAAAAAGGCCACAGTGCCGCAATGCTGCCGCAGTCTGGTAAGAACACTATTAACTTCAGCAGAAACAGGTGAAGTGACATCCCAGGGGGGTGGGAGGAGTACTTCCTATAACTGCCTATAGAGAGAGGTGCCTCAGGCTTTACTTATGAAAGGGTAGGGATTTCACTACATGAAGTATAGAGAAAGGGCAGGGAAATCTGTCATTTCGGTATGTAAAAAGACTCAAAGAGCTAAGAGATGCATTTTATGGCCGTGAAGAAATGCTGAGAAAACGTTCTTCTTTTGTGAGTATTATTTTTTAAAGACAGTAAATTTACAGGAGTTAGAAAGGATTCAAAGTTCTAAGCTGGGTGTGTGAAAGTGGTACCATTGTCCATAGATGGTATATGAAATGTTTCCGTCAAAAAATGAACATGTGAGAGTATTAAATGAACTTTAGAATAACCAAATGATCAGAAATTATTTCTCTTAATTAGCCCCTGAAGTGACCAAGTTGATCAGCCAGACATGTACCGCTGAAGATCCCGACAAAAGCGCCCGCGATGACGCTCAACACCAGCAGTCATTAGCACAACAGGTGAGATAGCCAGGAACTGTCAACTGTCAAAAGTTAGAATTATGGTAAAGTATCAGTCAATTTATAGTAGCTCTTCTGTGAGTGGTTATGGAAAAGTACTTTTGCATTTATTGGCCTTGCTCAAAATCCCCCGAAAATCGTCCTATAAGAGGTTTATTCATCACAAATTGGGATCCCAGTTATTCAAAACTTAATTAGTTACTACATGATAAATCAGCCATAATTATGTCCTCAATGGATAAAAAAAAACTTTGATCATACAATGCTTTTTGATTTTCATAGGCACAAATATTGATTGAAGAAATGTGCAAAGCAGCTAAAGATCCAGTCAGACAGCAGGCAGCGCAGAAGTTTACCGCTGTTGTCCTACAGTTAAGGAAATGTAACAAGGACTCACTAAAAATGCTGGTTGATAACATGCTTAAAAAACAGGATCCAATTGAGAGGTACAGATGAAAGGACCTCTATATGATTCAGCAAGAGAGACTGTGATCACAGAGCCTATAGTTATTCCAAAGCCAGCTTTTGCAAATCTAACTCTACCTACTACTTCTTGCCAATAGTCAAAGAAGACAACACACTATTTCTGCAAGTCAACAGTTTTCAGTTTCTGTTATACAATAACTGAGCAACGTCTAACGCGCTTATTGGTCGAAAGCTATGTTCTATGAGTGTTTTTACAATAACTGAGTGATTTCCTGCGCACCGATCAAAGAGCTATGATCCTTTTAATTCTTCCTCGAATAAAAAATAATAGTTGATCTCGTCTAGAAATAAGATGTGACAATAAACATTTATTATAGCCTTATCGGAGATTCGTGTTTTATTTTCCAGAAAATATTGCTTGGATGCCCTGTCTTATGTGGGCACCTCTGAGGCTTTCCAAGTCTTGAAGCAAAAGATCATTGAGGACAAGAAAATTAGCAAACAAGAAGAACTTCAACGAATGCTTCTAGGATTAGCCTCTGCTCCTAGACCCACCGTTGACCATATTGAGGCTGTTTGGGTAGGTTAGAATTCATAGCTTGAGTTAACAACACTGTTCGGACTCTAAGATTAAGTAGTCATCAAACTCTGTTGAGCATGGAAAAACCAACAAACAAAACAAACGGACAAACAGTTGCAACATGTTGTTGCTATGTTTCTCATAATCAATTAGTAGTGCTTTAGATCAAGGACCTAATTTCCATTGGTGAATTGTAAGAACACTGAATAGACCAATTTCCTAAGAAATGTCACAGACTACATAACTAAAAACGTAGTACTTAATGCATAAACAACACAGGTTTGCTTCATAGACTAGTTCCTGTGAAAGATTTCTCTGCTCAATCAATTAACTCTGATAATCTAATGTTTCACTTATGGCATTCATGATCCAAAGTTTAGAAGAAAAAAAAACACCCCCCCTCCCCCCACAACGTTTCGGTATTGACCCTGTTATATATTTTACACTTTTAGGCGCTTTGCGAACAATTTGCCGCATCTAAGGATACCACGAATCACCGCCACTGTTTCCTCTCTTTTGGGGCCCTTGTACACAAGATTAACCAGCGATCAAATCTACAGCAGGATACGAAAACTGTAACTACCTGTCAGCAGCGTATCAAGGTTTGGACACCATTCATTGCATTCATTAAAGGGGGTTTTTAATCCTAGGTTAATCCAAGCTATAATTATTAAGGCCATAAAATCAATCGTTTTATTTCAATTGTTTCGTTGCTAACAGCTCGTCGCATTTCACGGTTTAAGCGATTCAAAAATGGTGATATTCACAAAGCAAATTATGATCAAGCGGAAAATTTACAGTTCCATTAAACTGTGTCCATGTTTTGTAAGAATAAGAACTGCTACCCAGCGCTATAACCGTTACATGTTTATACTACAGTGTATATCATGCGGCATTGTTAATTAATTAACTAACATTTCTCATTGAAACTGTTGTTGCCTCCAGGATATACTGGACCGACTTAAAGACCCTAAAACATCACAACAAAACAGACTCACCTATATCAAGGCTCTTGGGAATGCAGGAAGAACAGAGGCTCAGCAACAGCTTCTTGACAACATTAAGGACCAGACACAGTCCCTCCACATCAGAATTAACTGTGTATGGGCTCTTAGACGCATTGTCTCCCAGTCTAGAGAAGAAGTAAGTGATTTCAATTAGCTTGTTCAGTTATTATGGTGGGTCCATGTTTAACACACTCAGTATATCTTATTATCTTAAACATGTTCGTTTTCGGTCATTCCACAGCTCGGAAGGGGCAGGACCCTTAACAATGTTTGAGATTCAAGTCGTTACTTCTTCCACCGCTGTTTGGGAAATTTGACACAACATCACTCAATAAGGCATTTGCTTGAAAACCTAATATGGAATACTAAAACAACATGTAGATAAGTTATTATGGTTATTCCAATGGCCAACACCAGTCTCCATCAGGGTAACACGAGCAGATGAGTGGCAATTCTTCTGAAGAATCTACTTAAAAACAGTGACCAGACAGAGCAATGAAGAAAATAAAACACAGAATAACAAAAATCAGATAACAACAACAAAGTTAACAACATCAAAAACCTTTATCTTCTACGCATTAAGAATTAACCTTTTTAGCTAATGGTTCGGCATAATAAAAATAACATTAATGACAGTCCGTACAAACTACAACAAAATTGTGGGAAAAGATATGTCCTACTAATGTGTTCAGGATTGGGCAAAAAACAATTTTTACATCATCTTCAAACATATATATTTGCAGACTTATCCAAGGCTTATTTCTACTTTTGCTGATGCGAAAGAAAATCCAGAACTTCGAATGGCTGTTTTCCTGCTGATGCTGAACTCCAAACCGAACTTTGCTACAATGCAACTCTTAGCCAATACCCTAAGGCGTGAGATGATCAATCAAAAACAAGGCCCTCGCAGCAACCAACTTGCATCTTTTGTTATCTCTCATCTGTTCTCACTCGCCTATCACAGCAATGTGCTCATGAAAACCAGGTAATTAATGGGCCCAACTTTGACAAACAATCTAATAACCAGTGTAATGGTTTTTATTGCAAGTCAAGCCACTAAGACTCGGGGATAAGTAAGTGGATAAGTGAGTGGGGAAGTTTGTGCAATTCAGTGTAGTAGTATAAACAGATAATAGCATGATTTGTACGTGATATTTGGTATAAATACCACTTGTGATATTTCAAAATTGTTTCAAAATTACGTATGATAATTTCGAAATATCACTCGTGGTATTTATGCCAAATATCACTACAAATCATGCTGTTACCTATACTAATTCAGTGTATAACGAGTTTAATAAGAGAGAAAGGGTTTCACAGAGCCACGATCAATTTTTATCAAAAGCGAAAACTCAGCAGTATCTTATCGCTTTTTAGCCTTTTTTCAAACATAAGCCTAGTGAAAATTAGTATATTTATCAGTGAAGTAAAATGTAGCTCCTACAGTACAAGAAAGTGCAACGTTATGTTCATTCTCTGAATGAACTGAACACAACAGACAGAATTTTTGAAATTTTAAATAGCTGTGACGGTCGCTGGTTATCGAGTCTGTTATTTAGTCTGAGTAATCAGTTTCTCTTTTTGCAAAACACGTGTTTACAAACGATACTGAGATTTTTGTTGGTTCCAATTCCAACTTGCCAAGGTAAATTCACAATTTTTAGATCGCCTGCCTATCACTTTGCCTTAGTTCTGCAAACAGAGAGAATGTCCAGCTGGGTTTTGTTGTCGTTTGAACTGTTAATTTTCTAAATATCCCCCGTACCATCCAAACATGTTTCATGCGACGCAACAAAACCTGAGAACCAGAATTCGAAGGTCGCGCCTTCGCACGCAGTCTATGACATACGTATTCCTGTATCCGGTGCTTGAACCAAACACTAAAATCGACTAGTGCTCGTACCCAGGATTTTCACGAGTTCAGTTAAGGTTGCGTTCTCCTGACGTCTAACCCAATTAGCCATACTCTACAACAACTGTAAGGAGTCTACCCAAGCTTACAATGACAGCAAACAGTCCCAGAACGGTTTAAAACAAAACTGAAGACGTTTCTCTCGGTATGGATTACCGACAATTCTGGTATACTAAGTTTCAGCGTGACAGGAGAGAAATATTAACTTCGGAATTACCGTTATGTGCCTTATTGAGAAAGGAACCGACGATTGTTGCAGGTCGATGCAGGCCCGTCTGGCAATGAGAGTTTTGCCAAGAATGAGTTTTGGACTGGAATACTCCAAAGGAATGAGATGGGCGCAGTACTCAGGTTGGTATATAGAACACACGGCCGGAAGAGAATGACGATTTCAATAAACGTTTCTGTCTTTGTCACATACTTCCTTTCGTTACGGTTACATGTAGTTAGTTACAACCATACTCTAAGCAGCATCACTACACACATTGGGCAGATTTTTCGGCGGAGAAGGCGGGGCAAGTTACTAATCCCCCCGCACCGTTGATTTGCTTTGATCAGTGTTACCTTCCTCATACAAGTTATCCGCACTTCAGTCAATATCATGAATTCTGTGTTGCGATTGGTCATTGAATTGTTTGCATTTTAACAACTTGACATCTCTGATAAGACTGACTTTGGTTTTTCAACAGAAAAGTTCCAGGGGGGATTTGAGTTCGAGGCGAACAAATTCAATGTCCCTGATAGCATGCTTCCCAGAAACATGAATGCACGATTGCAGCTGAGCTTACTGGGCTACAAGATGGATGCAATTGAGGTAATTAATAAAAATAAATAAACTACGCCGTGCTGTATTAGCCGGAGAAAACAGCCGACGTCTCGCGAAGCTAACACTGGTTTCCCCGCGAAATGGCGTCTGATTAACAAGCGTAGAAATTCCATACTGATGACGCGTCACTACCCACATCTGGGTAGTGCTTCTGATTGGTTTAAATTTGTTTCATCCAATCAGAAGAACTACCGACATCTTGGTAGTGACAGGTCATCAGTATGGAATCTCTGCGCACATTCCTCAGACGTCACTTAACGAGGAAACCAGTGGCGGCGTCGCGAGACGTCGGCTGTTCACTCAGGCTACGTTGACTTTGTTGTGGAAGATTAAGAGTTTGAAACATTAGCGTTCAGTTCTGTGCAAAGAAAAAAAAACTACTGAAAAATAGGCGCACTACCGCGCTGATAAAGGATTTAGATTAATGCTGACTGTGAGTGATTACAAAGGATTCCAGCTTCAACGTTCCGTCCGCCACTCTGTGGCTCAATTGTTTTTTAAAAACTTTAGTATTAGATAATGTTTTTAGATCTCTCAGAAATAAAATAATAATTTCTGCCTGAATTTTTTTCCTTCAAATTTTATCATTCCATATGTATTCTACCGTTTTTATTGCTTTCAGTTTGGCTCTCGTGTTGAAAACTTAGACGATGTAATTGAACAAGTTATATCCAAGGTCCGCAGGCGACAGAAACGATCTTTACTGGATTCTTTGTCTTCCTGGTTCAGCGGCAAAGTTTCTGATGACGACAGCAACACTACTGAGAAACCAACAGGACGTTCAACTCGCGTCGTTTCGAAGTCTATGTCTAGGCGCCGCCGTGCAACTGCAACCCCATCAGTTTCTACGAAAAAGAACACTTACCACCAAACAACGTCTCGTCCAACAACTCGTCCTACGACTCGTCCTACAACTCGTCCAATGACGACCCGCCCAAGCTATTCAGTTAAGCAAGCGGTAAGTCTTTCATTTTTTATGACTAGAAAAGTTCAAAAACTCGCGCACAGTCTCATTAAGACACCTTACTCAACATATATTACTTTCAACGGCTTCCTCATCGATTGTAGTAGAAGCCTCGTATTTCTGATTTGATCGAAAATTCACTAACAATAGACTTTTTTGAAAATGAAAGAACGCATCGAAAGAGAGGTTAATGACACAAAAATAGGGGCCATACGAAGGAAAAGCAAGGAAAAGGTCCACGAAAAACAGGGGCCATACCAAAGGGAAGGTCAAGAAAAATAGGGGCCATACCAAGGGGAGGGTCCACGAATCCCTCATCCAACCCTCGTTGTATAGAGCCTTACTGATAGGCAAAAATGACTGTCCTCCTTTCCAAAGAACATAGACACTGACGCTGTTGTGGAAATTTTTATTTAAAAGGTACCTCGATACCAGTTGCTCATTGACCTTCTGTCGACAACGTAGGAAATACTGATACGACCTTGACAAAGCTTTGTATTTAATTCTTTGTAGAAGAAACAACAACGTGCATCTGTTTACATGAAACTGTTTGGTGACGAAGTGAAGTTTGCAGAACTGACGCAAGAGCATGTCGATCAGCTCGCAAACGATATTGCAGATCTGCTTCTTGGAAAGAAAGATCGTATTGAATACCCGAGTCTAGGTAAACTGCTGATCTAACTACTCTCATGAGTTCTCACCTATATACCGTAAGCCCCCGCTCATTTTTCTTTTATACTTGACTACATCCACAGTTGGCATTTTTCTTGGCTATGGCCTGCACCTTAGACGGCTTGACTTTTAAACTTGATTTTATTTACAACTTTGCTACCGTTTATTGATTCAAAAGAACATCGTGAAAACAACTAAAAAGGAGGTTTTTTCCTTTGTTTTCTTATCCTTCAGGTATTGTTATTTCTAAAGATGGTGTTGCCATTAACCAAAACCAACAAAAGGCAATGCTGCTTGCTAACGCTCGACACATGCTCCCAACACTGGCTGGAATTCCGCTGGACTTACAGCTCAGGTCTTCAGCTGCACTCAGAATGAACACAGTCGCAAATGTAAACATCGGAGCATCACTACTAAGTTTCTGGTATTTCAAGAAATTTAACGGCAACGTCGAGATTAATCCAAGGTAAAAACATTTATACTATAAGCCAAAGCCATTAGCTCAGTTCTCGAACCATTCAAAGCCATTAGTTCTCAGTTCGTAGATTCAGTTTTTGAAGTACCCCAAAACAAAACTTAATAAATGGCCTTACCAGTAATAAGTTCCTTCTTTAGGTCGCCTATCGGTGGTTAGAGCGTCCGACAGTCGTTTGGGAGTCTTTGGTTACGAATCAGGGGCCCGTTTCTCGAAAGGTCCGGTTACTTTTCAGGTCCGAAGGTAAATTTTGAAATCAAAACCAGTTGAATAGTAGCGTAGTTCCTAGCTCACAAACCGGACGATTTTGGTTTGTTAACTGATAGTTCTCTTTTGCCATTCTAAAAATTATTGAACTTTTGATCTTGAATGCAAACCCGGCAAACACAAAACAGCTGTTTGGCCCCCTAAAAGTTATCGGGACTTTGGAGAAACAGGCCCCAGATCAGAAACTTCATTCTCTTCATTTTCCCCACCGATCCCTCCTCTAACCTAACATTGTATCCTGAGTGAGCAGTTAGACTTAACGCTGGATTAATGCTGGGAAGGGTTGGCTCTCTCCTCCGCACCTGAGGAAAAAATGAAAGCGCGCGGGAGACGATGGGATACCCAGCGAGAGTCTATGCGGCGAGGAGAGGAGGGGCTGGGCAGTTTCCCCTGAATCTGACACTACTCCAAATAATTATGACTGTAGATTTATTTATTTATTTATTTAGTTATTCTTCTTTTATCGCTTGAGGGTGAAAAAAACGTCTCCTGTGACAATTTGACAGATACAGCTCTTTTTCTAGAGGAACCGCCATGTAAATTTTCATGTAACAAGTTTTCTATACTTTGGGGTCAAGCAGCACCTCACTGAACGGTTCACACAATTGGCTGTGACAACAATAGAAACAGTGACTTAACAATGCTCCTATCCCTGAAAACAAAAGGCAATATTTTTTTACTTGACCACTGAAATTAGATGTTCATTTGAGGTAATGGACTACTGATATTTTGTTTCAGTGTTCATGTTCACGCCGATTCTCGCATTGGAATCCATACTCCATATCTGCGCGTTGGACTACGGATGAGAAAGACTGCACAGTCTGATCAGAAAGTTCACTTTACAGTGGAGTCTGGAAAACAGTACAAACTAACCTACAACATTCCACAAGACCGTCGAGATGTCGCGCATGTCAAGTAAGTCAATCAAGACAAAAGTGTACACAACAGGTTTCATCTCGAAGCGTGTTCTTTTGGTGTTTTTCTACATTGTAGGTTTCTGTCGAACGCGCTTCTTCATTAAACATTAGTTTTTCAAAGTAAAAGTCGTCATGATTAGTTGTTAGGCTCTCTTGTCAAAAAGTATAGCAATAAAATCTCCAACAAGGGGGAATTAACCTTTTGAGCCTGAATCGTGACGTGATAAAAGAGGGTTGGGTCTTAAATACTGTAGGTTGATAATCACATATTGATGAAGTAAGGATTTCAGGGAGGCAGTCCGCACAGCTCCACCTGAATTTTCCAGGGGTATTTCCTCCTCGGGATGAAAAGTTGAAATATCAATTTAATAACACCCACTGCAAGTGAAACTAAGCGCATTTTGAGCTCTGTCTGAACCAGGACTCTCGGTCTAAGAAAGATAAAAGTCAAATGTAAGATTTTCTCTGTAAATTAATTTTAAGGGCAAGTACGCGGGGATTTGCTGAACAGTATAACCCAGAGACTTGTGAGCGCACGGAACAACAGATTTCCATGGACCTAACCACTAGTCATCTTAAACGAGTAAGTCAAATCTTGAAAAAAATTGGAGAACAAACTAATATGACGGTTTATTTCTTTCAGTTTTATGTCGAATTATTTGTAGACAATCGTTAAATTCAGAAGAAGTACGTAGAATGTGCAAGGAAAAAATGATTGAAGACATCAATGACTACTACAAAGGATGATTTCCACCTCTACTGTGCACCAAAACCAAACACAGAGAGTTGTCCCTCTTAGATTTAAAGATATCGAATTTTTAGTAGCGACAAACCCACGAAATAATTCAGCAATTAACTAACTACGAAAGAAACTACCTGGTCCCCTTTTGTGGATTGGCAGCCTACCTATATGTTTTCGTCCAGGAATAAATGGGAAATTTTCAAACACTTCAGTTATTTCCTTTGTTTTCTAAGGTGCAAAAGTCTTGTGCTGGTCAGGATATGTTCGGTGTTCAGTTGTGCGCAGCAGCACAAGTCCCCGACATTCCATCACTAAGACTTCAACAAATCCCAGTCCTTTCAGCTTTTGGTCAAACAGATGTTCGACTATCTATGGAACCTTCTTCCGACAAACCAGCCTCAATTCAGTTGACAGGCGTAGTCAAGAATGATGAAAAAGGTCAGAGAGATGAGGTTTCTGGGTATTTACTTCGTATGCCGGACATAAATGACGTAAAACAAAGAACAAAGACCATGAAACAATACCAAACAGAATTTTCTCTGAACAGAAAAGAAAGAGGTCTTTTGTTTTGCGTCATCTGTATCCGGTGCACGAAGTTTTGACCGGTTTCTGGGTAACTGACCATCTACCCCTCCCCTAAGTCACAATTTTGCCTAAGTGAGTACTAAGTGTTAAATGAGACCTGGGAGAGGGGTAGGTGATCAGCTATCCAGAAAACTCAATCGCTCGGTCATGTTTATGACAAGTGCACAGCGAAACTATCAGCTGACATGTACTTGAGGCATTACACAAAATTTTATTGTTAGTATTTTACTGAGAACTTTGAATATTTTTTTACTAAAATCTTTGAGCACCCTTCGAAGGTCAATGGTTATTCCTTTGGTTCTACAGCAATGCAAGCCGATGGTGAAATCATTGCCTCGTCAAAAACCGTTCAACGACGAATCCCGTACAAAGTGACTTACAGAAAAGGTAACCAAAAGCAACTGGAGTTCGAGTCTAAACTGCTGCAAGTCCAGGGATGTGAAGATTGCAGTATGAAAGTTACAGCAAACCTAGACGGATTGACAGTACAGTTTGGAAAAGGTAAAGCACAGTATCAGATCACAGCCTCGGGACAAATTCAGAACCAGGGCAAAAATTTACACTTGCAAGCCCAATGGACGGAGGTGAGTACACTTTCACTCAACAAAGTGTTATACGCGGAGGCCCCGCCTCGAGGTCCAACCCCGTACGACCGAAAAGGTACCCCTTTCACATACCTTCTATTAAAAACTGGTACCCCCTTTACATACTTTCTACTAAATGCTATTACTAGTTGTTTCAGCAGCGAAAGGTTTTATCCATTACTTTTGACTCATTTCACAGCTTCCAGAGAAATGGAAGAAATTCTTCTATAACTGGCAGCCTCAGATCTGGTACGTCCTCCAACAGTTTGCTTGGATCAGACGCACAGAACAGAAAACCAAACAGATTGCGTTTGAATTTCAACTGACGACACCACTTACTGCTGATTTAAAACTCAAAACACCGGATGCGGAAGCAGTGAGAACCAATCTTTTCCTCCCAGTTCGAATTGAACGGCTGCCTCAATCCCTAAAGGATATGGGGAACTACTATTACGGTAAGAAGATAAATCAGTGGTGTAGCAAGTCTATAAACATGACAATTTCTCACAAGAAATAAGTTCTTTTGAGCCACGGTAGTTCGAGAACACGTATGAGGGGAGAGGAATGAGGGCGAAGGGCCGAGCGAAGAGAGAGAAAAAAAAGGAATCGCCTTTCTTTCCTCTCTTCGTCCCAGTCTCTCCCCCTTTATACTGTTAATTTGCATGATTTTACTTTTTCAGTCGCCGAGGGTTGTCCCTTTCGTAAACTCTGTTGAAAAAAGGGCGACCTCTCGCGGTCTATATCATGTCTCATTCTTATTTCCCTGGAAGTTCTAATTAGATTTTTATCCCTCTGGTTTGCGGCATATATTTTTAGCTCGTTGTGAAGTTCAAGATCAGACTATCAAGGTGTTTGATCATCAGCAGTACCAGCACAACATCAGAGGAGAGTGCCTTTACACACTGGTACAGGAGCATAGGAAAGGCAAACAGAGTAGGATTCAGGTATGGTTGCTTCATGCATTCCAAGGTGGAACTTTCTGCAGTTCCTAAGATAATAGTCAGCTTAGCTAAAGATCATCTACATCAATACAAGTTGGGAACCCTAAATTCCAAGTTTGAAAAACTACATTACGTTTAGGGGAATCAATGAAATGAACAGTATCACTGAAATACTGTCACTTAAATGGTTACAACGTTAATCCTTTGAAACGAACGAATTTCATCCATTTGAAAAAAAAAGAAAGACACGTCTCACTTGTACCCAGAAAGGGAAGGCGGATAATGGAAGATTGCAGGTAATTACAGAATAATTCTGAATAGTGTAACTGAAAAGGAATCCATCAAAGTATGTGATAACACAGTCCAAAACCGTCCAAACCCTGATTTGAAAAAGGTTATGGCGGGCAAACAACACTCTTTAGAAACCAATTAAAGTTAACTAAATTATTCCAGCTAATCTTTCTTTCCTGTTGGTTTTCATAAGCTTTTTGCGAAGATTGGCGAGCAGGGACAAAAGACAGTTGTTCTTTCCATCCAACAACAACAACAGCAATCAAAGGAGACGGTTGAAGTCAAGCAAGATTCTACAATCCTGATTGACGGCAAGAAACAGGAATGCAGTCAGAAGGCCTGCCAATCGAAGCAGGGTGGAGCGACTGTGCAGAAGGTTCATACAAGTGATGGCAAGACCCAGATTCGCCTTTCAACCAAGGTAAGAAATATTTTCCCGCTGAACAGCTTTCGGGGACCGCCTTGTACAACAATAAATAAAATAAAAAAAATAACGATTTGCAGGTAGCACATCCACATAGTGGTTCTTCGTCTACCTGATTCCTGGTCGAATTGGAATATGGAGATGTTGGTTTTTGAGGAGAGGGGAAAACCGGAGTACCCGGAGAAAAACCTCTCGGAGCAAGGGAGAGAACCAACAACAAACTCAACCCACATATGGCGTCGACGCCGGGATTTGAACCCGGGCCACATTGGTGGGAGGCGAGCGCTCTCACCACTGCGCTACCCTTGCTCCCCAACTGAATAACGATTACCTAACGAAGTATTACGCAAGGAGGTTATTCTAAATGGCCTGCCCTAATATCTGAGCACACTTAGGCATTTCATCGACCAACTTAAACCTTTTCTAATCAGCGTTAGCTAACGCATTTAAGCACTTATTTAAGCACAAATGTATTTATTTTCCTTTATAGCTGGGTCTGTATGCCACTATCGAAGGTCCCCGTATCCAAGTTTCTGCCTCCCCTCTCCTACGCAGCCGCGTTCGCGGTCTGTGTGGTGATGCTGATGGCGAACAATGGGATGACTACAGAGATCCACAAGACCAACTGCAGAACCTGCAGAAATTCATTCAGTCATGGCGACAACAGTGTTAAAGGTATGAAGCTTCCTTAGTTAATTCCATGATCAATTTCAAATTACCGAATTACCACCAAAAGAACCTATAACGCAGCTTAGCATCATTTTCTTCGTCAGCCACACTCCAAAATTTAGTTCAAGAATCATTAATAATTCATAAAGAAAAAACAAAAAAAATTAAAATGTTTAATGAGTGTTTTTATATCTGATGCCAAAGAATATAAAGACTACAAAGAATACAAAGACTAAACGTTACGTCCAATTTTTTGACCAAAGCAACCACAAATCTAAATATCAGTGCAGAATGAGTTGATCTATATCAGAGATTTTGAAGCCGTTCAAAAAACTCGCTGTTGTGTATTATCAGGTTTAAAACCTCTTCAGTTGGCGAATACACTCCTGCTCGTTTTTAAACAGTACAAGAACCACTGAAAGCAACAGATGAGTCTCACTGAAAGCTTACCTACGCGCACGTAACGTGAACCCGCCTTAAAAATTCCATCCGTAGACTTCAAAAACTGAATCAAAGTTTATAATCTTCTTCGAATGATCAAGCTTAAAAGATAGCGTCTAGAGGCAAAAGATACCACTGAAAATGTAACATTGTACGTGACATCCGTTGTTTTAAGACTTATAACACCTTATACGGATCAGTAGGGCTACACTGGATTTTATAAAAGGCTGATTAAACTTTTCTTGGTATTGCTTTTCATTGCAGAGGCAAAAAGGCAAGTTCAAGGACCAACGAAAATGGAACCGAACATTTCTAACTTTTTGATTTAGTGGGGTTTTCACAGTTTGCTTTGTTTAAGTATTTTTAATTTTTTTATTGTTTGAATGTTTTTAAAAATTGCTTTTAAACTAGGGAATGACAGAATAGACATAATTCGTTTTACATGTATCAATTTTAGGTTTTAAAAATGGAAACCGAAATAGGGAAAACAAAACTTTTAATTTATTTAAAACAGTTTACAGACGTAAATGGATTTTGTAAGGTGCTGGGTTTTGCAAATAAAATGAGAAAGCATTAACTTGTGTGTTGTTAAGTTGAATGTCGATTGAAAAAAGGGACTGTCTGCCATTTACCACCCAAACGTTTTCCAAGGGAAATGGTCTTAACATTTACTGTTGTGGCAAGTTTTCGTTGTTAAGGATAGCCTACGGGTGAAATAACTGTACAAGGAGTTTTAGTATACAGAAACACACTCATTGGTACTCAGGAAGTTTTTAGTGTGACCCCTGAGTCCTGCTACTTCCATGGCAAGGTTAATTGCAATGAAACCCTTCAGCGAATTGGATATTGGCCCTGAAACTGGACCACTGCCTACGTTGGTTACAGGTACTTAAGTAAATGACGTATATTGCCCCGCGACTGCTTAACAAAGGAAAACTCCTTTGTGAGGTTCTCTTCGGGTCTTCGCTATTCTTAAGGAATTTGCCTGCTAAGTTCACTGAAATAACTTTTCCGAGGTTTTCTTTTCAGTAATGCTGTCGAGCTTTTAGTCACCTCTTACTAAGGGTAGAAAACTCTCAATCATTTCGTAACACGGGCCAATTGCTGTGTGATGCAGTGAGTCTGAATTAATTTCAACTCATTTTTGAACAATGCAGCTGTCACCATGTCATGGAAGTTGATTTATTTTCTGCGCGAAAATTAAGACAAATGCCGTAGATCATAAATCACAGATGCAATTCATAACTTTAAAAAATATTAGCTAATGTTACTCTGAAAAATAAATATACACTTAAAATATATATTCAAACTCGGATTCTAATCTCTTTTTGAAGTATATTAATGCTAATAAGGTCAACAGTTAAGAGTTAATATATAACAAAAGAGAAAACGTGATACTAGTGCGGTCACGAAAGCTTCTGGACGAGCTGTTAAAACTAACGTTTGCGGTAACAATGGTTTTTCAAGTGAAAAGACTCTCCATTCAAATACCCCAAGACATTACTACATTTGTAAATCCTTACTCATGAAAATATGGAAAGGTTGAATAAAGCTGTATCTTTCTTACAATTAGTTTCTAATACTCGAAGTTCGAAAAATTTGGGTTTTTATTATTTTCGAAATGCTTTTAAAAACTGGGAGGTAGGAACTCAAACGTGCTGTTCCGAAAGGGCGAGGTCGATGTGAAGTAGTCCATGATGAAGTACTATTTCCGTGGCTGTGTTTTCCTGTTTGACGGAAACGTTTAATTTGAATATCCTAAAGGTCACTTTTCATAACACTTGAAGATAAAAATTCGTACACAACACTTTAGGACGACAGCTGGCATAACTGGAAATCTTTTTATCTGCTCAATAAATCGTTCATTCTTTGGTAAACAACTGAATTACGCTGCGACATATCAGCATTTGCACAGTTAAGGCTGATTATTGCGCGGAAGTCCTTTCAAAAATAGATGCAATCATTGGCAATAAATCATGTTAAGAGTACTTTGTGTAAAATATGTCTTGCCACTTAAATAAGTCACATAAATCTAAAATGGTTTCATTCGTTTCCAAAGGCGCAATTCCGGTTAAACCACGCAGTTACGTTAATGTGGGCATAAGTTTCTTTAAAAAAGGCAAGCGTCTTTTGATTGGCTGAAAACTACCTACAATCAATTGGATGCTAAAAGCCGTGCTCTACTTAAACTGTGATGTCCCTAGCTGGCTGATAAAGGATGAAAAAGCCTCAGCCGCTACAGGTCATTTGCAAAATGTATGTCTTGACAGTTGTTCTTCTATCACTGGGAGCGGCTTGTAAGTAGGAGCGCTGTTTTCTTTTCTGTTTTTGTTTTTGTTTTCTTATTTCATTTAAGATCGCTTTCCCTAAGCACAAAAATAGCCATTGAGGTAGCCTTCTTTAATGCAAACTGTTTTACTAAAACAATTTAGTGTAGTTTGGAATGCAAGGAGAGAAGCTGCGAATTCCACTAAACGTTTTAATCAATGTTTAAAGAAAACTAACAATTATTGTTTACAACAAACAGCTGCATAGACAAGGATGGTCATCTGTTTAACTTCTGAGTTGGTATTATAAAAACGTGCGAAACAATAGAATGCCAAGTGAACTCAACTTCGTCTACAATAATAGAGCTGTCCTTCTCTTAAAACGAAAACACTCGTCCAGTTCTCCCTTTCGGTTTATTCTTTTCCTACCGGGTTCTTAGTTCTGAACCCGTTAGTTTTTTTGTTAATACAGTTTCATGAATTTGACTTTGACCAGATTCACTTTCTTTTTCCTTCTCTGTAGCGTCCCTTCAATTAGGTAAGTACGATTCCATTGTCCTTGTGCGAGCCTGAAAACTTACTTTTGAGATTTGCTGCTGTTTATAACGAGTCAACCAGTTTCTAACAAGACGCTTAGTAAAAAAAGTCTCCCGTTTTGAACATCCCTCAACCAAATCCTCTTTTTTAAGCTCGTGTTGGAACAACGCAGAAAATACGCATAGGCATGTAATTTCTCATTTGTTTCCAGGATTCTTAGAGGGCCAACGATACACGTACAACTACCAAAGCGAGGTAATTACATCTATTCCACACAGTTCTGACAAGGCCCTGGGACTGAGGATGAACTCTCAGGTTCATGCTGATTTCTTTAAAAACACAGCGATGCAGATAACGGTCAGTTTTTTATTTTTATTTTTCTACTGAATATGTGTCTACTGTGTGTATTTTATAAGATCTGTAGAGACATAAATATATATGTATCACCTGAAATAATAACGTGCATGACACATTACGTCATTCTCTAATTTGGGTCTCGCGCACTGTACTGAATGCAATGAAGCAAAGAGGTCCTCTCTGTTATGTAGCTGTTTCGATAATATTACATATAATTAGACCGTATAGGAGTTATATTATTGCTCTCTTTCCCATGCGCAACTACATCGTGGACAACGAAACCCACCCTGCAGCCAGCAGAGCTTTTCTTCCGCTTGCTTGATTTTGGCGTACGCGAGAAAGACTCTGCATGAATCAAAATGAACCAATTAAGATCTTTCTTGAGCATGCGCGACATGTTGCTAGGATATAGCTCCAACTCAGGCCTAATACTCGTGCGCTTACTACAGCGGGCTGGGTTGAAATGACCATCGGTTTACTAATAACAGGATGCTCGCCTTCGAAAAAAACAGTTTGACGAGTGAGAACAAGATTGACTAGTCCAGACGTTTGGGCTGCTGACTCAAAAAGACAAAAAAAACAAAGTAAAAACAAGAAAAAAGGAGGTTCTGCTCGAAACCTTGAAAGCACTTAAAAAAGACAATCTGTTTGTTGTTTTCAATTTAGTTGGAGAACATCTCATTCCATCAAGTTACTGGAAACGACCAAGACCCCAAACAACAGGAACAAACTGCAATTGATGACAAGGTCTTGAAGACATTGGAGCTACCATTTAAAGTCGTTTTTAACGGTGGTAGGATTAAGGAAATCAGTGCCCATAATCAGGATCCTGAATGGTCCGTAAACATCAAACGTGGACTGGTTAATCTGTTTCAAATCGCACCAGAAATGAAGTTAGAGGAAGAAAAAGACAAGCAAATCTTGCACCAGCTTGAGGTTGGAAATGATTTCCAGAATGTTTTAAATGAAAGTAAATCAGTAACAAAATAAAAAAAGGAACAGGACACCGCATTGAATTCGTTTGAGTTTGCAAACTTCAACATGTTTTTTTTTCAGTCTGAGGCTCTTGTCAGTAAGCCCTTTAGGAAATATCCACTCAAAATTTACCTTCATGATATTAATTAGTCAAGTAAATATTTTTCAACAGGCTCAAAACTCACTTATCAGAACAGATTGGACTTCAAAATGAAAACGTTAAGTGCCTTACGAGCCTCATCTTTAACGTTTTCCTCGACAGAATATGGCATTTTTTCCTTTACAACTAACTACCATATACTCAAAACTACTCCTTCAGCCACCTCAGTAGGACTGATGATAAAAGAGTACGAAGGAAGGTTGAAGTGGAAAACAAATGAACGGAAAATTTTTAACGGAATTTGACCGTCCCATATAGGTAGATAGTAATTACATTAACCTTGACGAAAAATACGTCGTAATTTTTCTTTCCTTTTACAGTCCACAGTAATGGGTAATTGCCCAGTGTCCTACGTCATCAGCCCGGACAAGAATCAGCCAGACAAGAAAGACCGATCTGTTAAATTGAGCAAGTTAATAAACTATGATCAATGCAAAAATCGCCCTGAGTTAAACAGAAACATATTTTATTCTAAGCGTTGCGACGACTGTCAACAGGTAACTCAGAAAACAATTATTGTAAGCTAATGCATGCTGTAAATCGGCTTTTAAAACAATGTAATAATTTTTGAAGTTTTCCTCTCCAAGAACTGCAGTTGCGTGCCTTAACAATCAAGCGCACTTCTTCAAGCAAGTTTATAGCAAAAAAAAATAAACTGTCACTTTTGTGGAGAACCCGGGTAAACTACTAAAGAAGGCTGTACTAACTTGCACACCACTGAGGCATGCGCTCTACAGCGTTTGGTGTTGTCTAAAAGTAATTGCTACAAGTTCACATTGGATTACTAGAATTTCTGCTTCTTTCTGATTTGTCAAAGTGGTTACTAAGGTTTTAATTAATGAGAGTCCTACATTTTAACGGCAGTGATCAAGTCTTTTAGTCTTTTTAAGCTTAAAAGTTGTTGGTAGCACAACAGGGTAGTAAGAGTCAAGCTTTGACGAGGCGACTGAAAAACTTCTGGTTCAGTTTTGATTGTCTGCAGAGGATCTGCAGATTTTCAGAAGTTTTGTTTTCTTAGTTTTTATCTGCAATAACCTTGAATAGAACAAAATATTGTTAATTAGAAGAGTAAATTGTCCTACAACAAATTTTGGGTAACCCTGCATGCTTTTTCTTACAGGCAGCTAAATCATATTTAGACTGACTTTCAACATGCCCTTTTAAAAATTGTAAATAGTATTATCCTTAGTTCCGCATTAGGAATTTACGTTTATTGTCCTTTCAGAGCAATGGCCATGCACCATACCTTAGCACAATCGGAAGAATTGATCACACTTTGATAAAATCCAAAAATAGTGGCTCCGTCATCAATAGAACAGAGACTTACGAAGAACACATCTTCACCCCATTCTCTCGGTTTGGGGAAGAGGTCAAGTCATCTGCCAGGTAAAAAAATCCCATTTATGTAATACATCAAGCATGAGACGCAGTGTTTCATCACCAGATGAAACACTGAGAAGAGAGTTGAAAATACGACGCGCAGCGGAGTATTTTTGAGGAACTTCAAGGTGTTTCATCTGGTAATGAAACACTGTGCCGAATGCTTGATATTACCTCTCAAACAACATGATTTTTGAAGGAGAAATTAAGGATGCAAAGACAAGCAGTTTTTCATCTGATTTCCAAACACTCATTAAGCATTAATTTCCTTTGTATTTTCTTCATGAATTAATTTGAGTTTGAGAAAGTAAAATACCACATAAAGCTCTTGAAAATTTTACCCACGAATGATGCGTGTTACAAAATTGTGCTCTGCCTACTTAGCATCTGCATGAGGCGCTTTTTCTTTTTTGAGAAACACGTGTGGAGAAAAGAAGGGCATAATCACAGACTACGTTGCTATAGGTTCAGCTCTGTTTTCCTTGTGCTGATGTTTAACGACAGAAATGTGATGTTCATATTTTATGTTCTTTTTCATAAAAAGACAAGTCTTGCAGTTTAAGAAAATAGATGCTGTGGGAAAAGCCTGTGAGTATATATCATCATAATTGTCTTCAAGCTATCTGTTTTCCGCCTTATCGTATATTAAAACAAAATATAAGAAGCAGAAGATGAACAAGAGAATTCATCACTTTCATGATTCAATGTTTATGTGTATCCGAAGAACTGAACACGCATAACTGATAAATAACTTTTTTCTCATTAGTAACCGATCGGACAAAGAAGGTTAACCTTCAATTTACCGCTGAAGATCCCAACAAAAGCGCCCGCGATGATGTCCAGCTACAAACTCAATTAGCTCAACAGGTGAGAGAACTGTCAGAGAGCGATGGAAAATGAAACTTACGAGTTTAACAATTCAATAATATTATACTTTAATAAAAAAAAAAATTCAAATAAAATTGCTCTTCAGTTAGTCGCACTTAAAGATGTTACTCACGAACTCAAAAGTTAGAACAATATGGTGTAGGATAAACAACACAGCACAGGAAAGTAACATTCGTGTGAATGACAGACCACCAAAGGATCAAAACTGATATTCTATCTCTAGTGAGAACTCTACAGCATGTCATATTGTACAATAGACATGGAAACTATTTAACAGTCCTTTTATCTGATTATGATGATACAGTATCAGATTCTTAAGACTGGAGCCACTTGACAACGATACCTATAATCTGAATGAGGGTTATATTCTCTTATATGTAGACGCAAAGACTTGTAGAAGAAATGCGGGAGGCAGTTAAAGATCCGAGCAGCCATCAGGCAGCACGAACTTTTATGGATCTGATCCAGCTGCTAAGGAAAAGCAACAGAGACACTCTAGAAAAACAGGCCGATAGAATGCTGGGGTCACATGACCCAACCGAGAGGTAAAGTTAATGGCGGTTATATATAAAGTAACAGCCGAGCGGCTAAGGATATCGTAAAAATTATGAGAGGTCATTTTACAAACTTTCTTAAGCACGGTTTCATGAAGTTCTTGTCCCTTAACGTAACAATTTCAACCTCTTTCTAAATACAAACTACTAAAATACCACCTACCAGTGCTGAGCCAATGTTCACACAACTGAATTTTGGAACAGCAATTTTATGGTCTTTGAAATCCAATTTATCCTCAGCTTTATAACTGACCATCATTTATCTCCTCCCTAATTTCGCAGAAAATATTTTTTGGACGTCCTATCTTCTGTGGGAACTTCTGAGGCTTTCCAAGTCTTGAAGCAAAAGATCCAGCAAAATAAAATCAGCACAAAGGAACAGCTTAATCGAGTTTTCATGGGACTGGCTTTTGCTTCATCGCCAACCGCTGAGCACATCAAAACCGTTTCGGTAAGTCAGTAAAACACTTCTCTGTCTGGCTCTGAATAACCCCACATATTTAAAGAAAACAAATAAGCCAAACTCGCTTGAGCAGGATTATCAGTTTGGTACGCAGAGAAATTGTTCTTAAAAAACTTAATAAAGACATAAAAAAGGCTGAACAAAAATTTCTACACATAGGAACTGATACTGGCTTGACACAGACTCAAAACGTAGGACAACTGAAAGAATTTTAACTACAACTAACACGAACCTGCTGTAACTCTCCAAAGGAAACCCCGTTCCATTTAGTATTTAGAATTTTTCCCTGGGGGATTACTATACTCGAGTACCTTTGCACACTGATCCGGCCACCCAGTTTTGAAATAATTATCGTAATGCTAATGTCAGTGTGTGGTGTTCTCCTGAAGAGGGCAAAGGGTGTTTTTTTACAGTTTTTTGTTAAGTTTATAAATAAGAAACATGTAAAGTACTTTTAGCACACAACGGCTAGATGACTTCATGACGATTGCAGCGTTAGTCTCCTTATAAATTGTGCGGATTTTTAGGGACTTTGTCAACAACAACGCGAAATCAGCACCCGCCGTCAATGTTTGCTCTCATTTGGTGCCCTGGTAAACAGGGTTAACGAGAGAGCCAGACTACAACAGGACATGCAAACAGTCGCTGCTACCCAGGAACATGTACAGGTATCAAAAAACATTTACAGCACAAGTTCTTCAAAATAACATAGTAGATATTTTTGCATTAAGAGATGCTGTCATTTCGTAAATCGTAAAAACCAGACAGAAACCTTAGCGTTTACAACGTCCAGAAAACAAAAAAAGGAAACGAATTTTTTTTAAAATGTTCATAATTCTACTTTGTTTTTATTGTTGTTGCTTCTTTTGCGAACCTGAGAGAATCAAACAACAATTTTTTTTTATTTCAAACGAGAATTGAATGAGAGTGAATAGGCAAAGAAAAAGAAACTCAAGCCGGCTCTATTTTAAACGATGCTCTCATAATATAACTACTTTTTAAAAAGCTATGAGTCGGTTATTAAAACGAAGTCTAACTTAGAAAGCGGTTTAGGAAATCTTTGGACCTCCAGATCTCTTCCTTAGTGGGTTATTTTAAGAAGATAAATGCTTTTCCAGTTGACGCCATATGCTTTCATGAAACTGTTCACGATAAATGGTGTTTACATAAAAGCGTTCCGCAAACTGAAAATGGCTTAGCTTAGAGCGGGGTTTTGTCAAACACTGGATAAACTCCGTTTAAATAACTGGCCGTATGTATTCAATCGAGTAAAGCAGACGAAGTAATATTTCTGGCATTTTGAACTAACTCGACGCATCTACGAAGATAGCGCTTTTAGTCAATAAGAATGAACAGTAGTCTGTAAGATTTATTTAAAAAACAGCGATTTTTAACTTTCACAACAGGGGATACAAAACTACCTCGAAAATCCACTTACATCGCAACAAGACAGACTTACAGCCGTTAAAGTTCTTGGAAACGCAGGGAGCACCCAGTCACAAGGACTACTGCTGAAGATCATCAAGGACCGAAGCGAGTCATCACAGATAAGAGTTAACAGTATCTGGGCCCTAAGGCGTATTATATCGCAGGCAAAAGACAAAGTAAGCGTCTTTTTAAGTTATTGAACGTCTGTATGCGTTTTATAAGATGAAAATAAGAGCAAGTCTGGTAGTATGATCAGAAAGGATTTACCTCTGACCCTTTAGTTAATTGTTATAATGTATGAAAGGCCTGCACACACAAGAAAGAACCTAATTCTCACGCACAGGGTGAAAATGCATATATGTATGGCTATTTAGAGAGAGTAAGTCACTGTAAAACGCCATTTTCGGTAAGTATCATGCTTTTGGCTTGCGTATTACACGTAGATACTGTTAATTACAACACTTCAGAGAATTCAGATAGAAAACTCTCTAAAGTCATACACTACAAAAAAAATATGTCAAACCTACTGGAAGGACAGAGACTATGGTAATGATAAGAAGTGTAGTGAGATAACAGGCAAGAGAAAACTACCAATTATGCACTAGTAGCATCAAATCATGCAACTTATAACGGCAAAAAAACAGTGCATAGATTGCTGGTAGCCGGCCAATTAAGTGCTTATTTGAACTTTACTCTGTTTATTTTGCACAGATTTATCCAAGTCTTATTTCAACCTTTTCTGATACGAATGAAAGTCCAGAACTTCGCATGGCCATTTTCCAATTGCTACTTAACTCCGAGCCTAACGTAACAACACTTCAGTCTGTCACTAATATTGTTAGACAAGAGATCACGAATCAAGACCCAGGCCCTCGTAGTAACCAAGTTGCATCCTATGTAATTTCTCTACTGTCCTCAGTCGCCAGCAACGATAATCCTGTGATGAAAAAAAGGTAGTGAAGTCACCTTTGACAACTTTTTTTACCTAACTTCACCAAATATAGGTATTTGAAGTAGAAACCTGAAAGACCTTTTTGATTTAAGCACGTCTTCAACAACAAATGCGATCTCCATGGAATGAGAAGTAACTACTCATTGAACAATTATCCTGAGGCACTTTGTTTCCAAACAGTTTACATGGCATCAGTCTGATCTTTTTAAAAGTAAGAAAAGAGACAATTTTCACGAATACATTAACAAACAGAACGCGGACATACAGTTTACCAAGGAGATCGAGGAAAATGGTATATATAACCTTTTCTAGACTTCTTGGTCACTTGCGACAATAACAGACTACGAACGACAATTTACAGAAAACCGGCATATACCGACAGATTACTAGACCAGTCATCGTACAACCCGACCTCTCACAAGGCTACAACTGAGACGAGCGCAACTAGTTTGCGACTCACCTGACAGCCTACAAGACGAGACTAACCTACCTTAACAACGTTTTTAGTACAAACAACTACAACACGGACTTTGTTGGACGGAACACTTTCATTAACACTGATTCCAACAATCAGACCAACGTCAACTCTGGCCCTGTTACGACTGCGACTATACCGTACGACCCGAGGCACCTCTGAAACTATCGCACGTATATTACAACCTCACAATATACGTGTTGCACACAAACCTGTAACCACTTTACGACGACAAGTTACAAATGTCAAGGACAAGGACAAACCAGAGGACAGACAGGGAGCAGTATATAAGATCAAATGCTTCGACTGCCAGGCTACTTACATTGGTGAAACCGGCAGAAACCTTAGCACGCGACTGACAGAACACAAAAGCGGGGCAAGAAATTAATGGTGACGTCAACAATCACATTTCTGGACACCATTTACAGACGAAACATTAAATCGACTGGGACTCTGAGACATGTATCACGTATTCTACTGACTACTATCAACGAGTCACTTTAGAAAGCAGGTTTACTAACTTAGAACAAAAGCCACTGAATCGTAGTCAACAGTTACCGGCACCGTGCAAACGACTTATTGACGGAATCAAGCGAAACTAACTATGAGAGAATAATTGGACAATCGACAATTTGACTGATAATAAACCACTGTTTAACTGTGATTATTGACGGATCAAAACGCACCAATAACATTACGTGTCTTCATAGTCAATAACATCACGGCTTAACAGACAGACGATCAATAACATCGCGACGTAATTGACCAATCAGGTCAATAGCCAGAGTTAAATACCATCAACTGACGTGATACAACTCACTTTGACTCTGAAGATGACTACCGCATAGGTTGCCGTAACGTCAGTCACTGTCAACAACAGTCCTATTCAGGACTACATTCACCCGGACGATCATACTCAACCTACTTATGAATTGACTCCTGGGTTCAAACCTGTCACAGAAAATGAAAGAATCAAAAAGGTCCATTTTGAATCACCATTTGCTCGTTCAACTATCTTATTGAACAACTGCCAAACACCGCTTATCAACTGATTATTGTTTCAGGGCCATGCAAGCTCGTGGAGCCTTGCAGTTGCTGCCAAAAAAGATGTTTGGGCTGATGAGTTACTCTAAAGGAATACGATTGCCTTATTACTCAGGTTTGTTACCAAGGAAAGGATAATTAGATCAATGTACCAGACTAACAATAAACCAACTCTTCTATCAGAGTAAAAAGTTATGGAAAAGCAAGAGATTCAAACCACACAATGTAGAACAAACAGAGAGTCCAGGCATAGAAAATATATATAAAAAAGTTTTTCCAGTTAAGGCCGAACTGGCAAGGCCAATTGAAATTAGTGAATGACTGATGGACTACTTTCCTCTCACTGACCATGCCCTAAGATTTTATAAATTTACTACACAGACAAAACTAAAGCTTAGTTTAAGACTTTTTTGACAAATTACAGGCCTCAAACATTGTCTTAAGCGTGTTAGTGCAAGAAAGGGAAACTAATCTGCTCTTTGTTTTTTTAAACAGAAAAACTCCAGGCCGGAACCGAAATTGAAGTAAACAAAATGAATGTCCCAGAGAGTAGCATTCCCAGGAACATGAATGTGCGACTAATGTTGAACCTCTTTGGGCACAAGACAGACGCAATTGAGGTAATTTACTCTATGAAATGATACTTACAGAGGAGCTCCGTTTATACGGCCCACAGGGCCATAACAATTTGGTCATATTAGCAGGATAATCTCTTTTTCCCCTCGTTTAATAAAGGTACCACACTGCGAATTTTAGAAAGAAAAAGGCTATTATGGAGGGTAACGAGATATTAAGACAAGATGTTCCATAAACGCCTTTTGTTGAAGCATATATCTCGTTATGGTTTCTAAAGATTTTTTAATTGGTTATTTGCCTGTCCTGTATACTTAAAGCTTATAAGACTGTAGGCCGCACTTATCAGGGTTATGTATAGGCAATGATTTCTCCGGAAAAAATCAAGTAGCTGTAATAATTATAGGTGGCTGTAGAGCACTATTCCACGGTATATATTATGACGTATTGTGGACGAATACCAAATTTTAATTACAAAACTACTATAAACTATGGAGTTAAGCCAACAGCTATTTGGTTATAATCTTATATATATTTGAAGCAAATAAATATAAATTTCTTTCTTTCTTTCTTTTTGTTTGTTTACTTTTCTTCCTTCCATCCTTCAATCATTCTTTCATTCATTAGTTTGGCACTCGCATTGAAAACATGGACGACACAATCCTTGAACACCTCACACCGAATGTTCAAAGGCGAAAAAAACGATCTTTGTTGAGATCCGCTCTGTCCTGGTTCACTGAGGGAAGCTCAGCTGGAAAAGCGGTGAGTCCACTTTATTATATATCTTCATCCAAACGCTCAGAAGTTGAAACTTGGAAAAGATGCACCCAACTGGTGTTTAAACATAAATCTAAGCAGATCATCCTATGAAGCAAACAAGGCTTTACGAATGGGAAATTCGCCGAACAGAAATTGCATAGCTACTTACTAATCTTATCTTTAAATAATGAAAACTCTTTCAAATTGCCACAATCCGCGACGAACCCCCTTGCACTGTTTAATTCCTTATACATGAAGACCTACAGTATACCACGACCTTAATGCAGAATAAACTCGTTCACAATTCATATTTTACATGACAGAAGCAAGGAAGCGTGTCTACTTACATAAGGGTGTTTGGTGATGAACTGAAGTTTGCAGAAATTTCTCCGGGACAACTTGATCAGCTCGCGGATGACGTCACAGACCTGTTCAGTGGAAGGAAGAGCCGATTAGAACTCAAAGATCAAGGTATAAAACCTATTTTTATGCTCACTTGGCCATCTTTAAAATATAACTGGCTAAATAGAACGCAATATTTCAATTTTTTTTTTCAACATAGGTATTGTTATATCAAAAGATAAAGTAACGATTGAGCAAGCCTTAGAAAAGGCGATATTGCTGAATGATGCTCGACGCATGCTCCCCACACTGACTGGAATTCCGCTGGATATACAGTTTACGTCCTCAGCTGTAATCAAACTGATCGGAGCCGCAAAAATGAACATTGGAAGCTCGCTATGGGGTTTATTACCAGATATCAGCAAAATTACCGGCGATGTTGAGATAAAACCCAGGTAATAGTCTTATTCTTCAATTCTGTCTTCAGAGTTACCGTGAATGATCGATTAAGCGCCACGGCGCTCATTTTATTTTCCCTGTTTTAGGCGCAGCGCTTCTACGAGAGCGGCGCTTATTCGAGAGCGGCGCTTAATTGATTATATAGGGTAAATACAGAATTACCGCAGAGCAAAACATACAGTACACTGTGAAAGAACTGCCGAAGTGGTTTCATTTAAAAATGGTCACACCACGGGATGTATTGTCCACAGACTCTATAATTTAGACTCATTAAGGGATTTAAAAAAATGGGTGATAAATCGACTGTTCTACCTGATCACTGAATCATTGTTGGAAATGATGGCCTAATATTGCGCCTGTATTTTATTTTAGTGTTCACGCCCACGCCGATGTCTCTGTTGGAATTCATACTCCATATTTACGTATGGGGTTACAGCTGAGTGGAAGCGCAAGTGCGAGCCCTGTTCATAAACTCTACTTCCTAAATGATGCTGGAACAAGCAGAGTAAGATACGACATACCAAATGAACGGCGGGATATCGTGAATGTCAAGTAAGTTCATGCGTAACGACAACCTCTTTCTCCTGAATTTGTCTCCAAAGAGGTAATTTCAAGTTTGTAACTTACTTTCAGGACAGCCACGCAAGGTTTTGTTGAACGTTTGAACCCGGTAACTTATGAGCGTGATAGACAACAGATTTCTATGGACCTTAGCGCTCCTCATCTTAAACAGGTTGGCAAACTAAAAGTATGAAATAAGTATTTCTAAGTCGGTAGTGTGAGCATCCTGTATAGACTAAAATGCTGAATTTAAGCCATGTGTTAAACAGAGCTTCTTTGTGGGCTGTCTAAATGCACATATATATATATGGGTATTTTTGATTTCCAGTTGCAAAGTATCTTCACCTCATGTCAAGATAAGTTTGGTGTTCAGTTGTGCGCAGAGGGACAAGTCCCAGATATTGCATCTTTGAGGCTACAAGAAATCCCAGTATTATCCGCCATTGGTCAGACTGAAGTGCGTGTATCTATGGGCGCTTCCACTGACAAAAAGACGACCATAGATTGGACAAACAACATCGTCAAAAACAATCATGAAACAGGTGAGAGGAAGAAGCAGATAGGTAGCATTCTTGGTTTCTAAATTATCCCTTAATATTCATGAGGTTTGTCTGGTGTATTTGTTACACAGAAGTGAAAGTTAGCGGACAAATCAGTTCGTCAAACACAGCCCAAGGAAGAATAACTTACAAAGGCACTTACAGAAAAGAAGACAACAGAGCAAAACTGAAAATGGAGTCTAAAGTTTTTGATGTACGAGGATACGAAGACTACACGGTGAACTTTACCGCAAACCACGACGGATTAAAACTGGAATTTGGGGACGCGAACGTTCAGTATCAGATCAACGCTTCGGGACAAATTCAGGACCAGGGCAAAAATCTGCGCCTGCAAACTCAGTGGACAGAGGTGAAACTAACTCAAATTTATGTAAAAAAAAAAAAAAAGAAAACGAAATTAGGGAAACCACGTGAAGCATATTCAAACTAAAACGGCTACATCGTTTGACGCTTCATAACGCGCCTATAATCTGGAATCTTTAACCATATCAAAAGGGGTTTTGAACGTAAAAATGCAGCAAAGCATATGCAAACATAATCATCAGTTTTACCATTCTCAGCGACACGATTTTTACCCATTACGTTCAATTTTATTTACAGCTCCCAGAGCAATGGAAGACAACATTCTATAACTGGCAGCCTCAACTGTGGTACGCCCTCCAGCAGTTTTCTTGGATCAGACGCACAGAACAGAAAACAAAACAGGTTTCGTTTGAACTTCAAGTAATGACACCCGAGACCGCCAATCTAACTTTGAAAACCCCGGATGCAGAGGCAGAGAAAGCCAATCTCGCTCTTCCTATTAGAATTGAACGCTTACCACAGTCGCCACAGGATATCTTCAATAACTTATATGGTAAGAAAGAAAGAAACTGGAGCGCGTGAGTTTTTTTTTTTTTTTGAACTTTTCACACAAAAGGCTACAAACCGACAATGCAGAAGCTGCCAAATAAGGTTTTATAGCAAAGGGTTCGAAAACTTACAAAGAGAATTATGAAGCCTTTTAAATTCCATTGAAAGTACTCCAGATTATAAATCTTACACTTGTTAACGTTTGTCTACATTGACCCTTTTAATAATATCCGTATGAATGAGTCGCGCACTTGTGACGGAAACGCTTTTTGTAGCTTTTCTCTTGCATCGCTGTCTTGTACAAATACAAAGCCCCCGCTTAAGCTCTTCCTGTGTCGTTCATTTTCAGCTCAGTGTGAGGTCACAAACCAGCGCATAAAAACATTTGATGGAGTGCAATACCAACATAATATTGCAGGCAAATGCCCCTATGTATTGGTTCAGGAGCACAGCAACGACAAAGAGAGTAAACGAGTCGAGGTACGGTGCCGCCTTGTGAGATCATTCCACACCATTTTGAGGTTGCTGCGTTTGAGACTGGGTCAGAATAATTGTCGATGTGCACTATGGGATTGTTTTGGGAAAGCTATCCTTTCTCTCATTGGCTATTACAAGGTTGCGCAAGAAACTGGGTAACAGGCCCGTAGTGCAATTCGAAAAAGCACCAACCAAGTTTCAATTGCAAGTTGAAAATGGCCAATAATAAAATACTTTTTGAGCGTGAAAGCCTGTGGAGTAATTATTGATAAAAAGTGAAAGGCGGCCAAAAGCCAGACAACTAAAGTTAGTCGGCGGTTGTCCTATAAGAACGGCGAATCTTAGCACTTTGATTTTCTTAGACATGTATCTCTATAGGTTGCTTCGTGTTTCACACTTCAAACGTCCGTTACAAAAATCCAGTCATTGTAACTGCTC